GATTCAGTGCTGCAGCCAGTGTTTAAGGAGTGACTTAGACTGGTAAACATGACAGGACTGCATTTTTTCATTACTATATCACAACTACTGTGCCTTGCTCATTCAATATTTTTAGTGGATTATTTAAAATGTTGGGAATGAGGGGCTGGGACTGTGGCTCAGTGGTAGAGTGCTTGCCTACCATGCATGAGGCACTGGGTTCGATCCTCAGCACCACATAAATGTAAAATAAAGATACTGTGTCCACCTAAAAACAAAACATAAATATATAAAAAAAAATGTTGGGAATGAATTCCAAGAAGGCTTCACAATTAGATTATGCTCCATCAACGAGAAATAGGCTTTGAAGTACATACTTGGCATAATCCCTGGAACACAGTATAATTTTTTTTTAAATTGAAAATATTGTTTTTAAATCTTTTTAGTTGTAGTTGGACACAATACCTTTGTATGTGGTGCTGAGGATTGAACCCAGTGCCTCCCACATGCTAGGCGAGCACTCTACATCTGAGCCACAACCCCAGTTCTGAAAATATTGCTTTTTAATAAAAGATTCTAATGAAAAACATGTAAAAACATTAGCTTTAACCTGCAATAAAAATGAAAAAATTTCAAGAAACGCAAATTTACAAAACCAACTGGAAGAAACAATCGGAGTAGATCTCTAATAAGCAGAGACTGAATCAGTAATCACCCCCCCCACACACAAGAAATGCCTACACCGGATGGATTCACTGATGGTTTTCTAGAAAACATTTAGAATAATTAACATTAATTCTTCTCAAAATCTTCCATAAAACATCAGGAGACATATTATCATATCATTCATTTTAAGGGCAGCATTACCTTTGTACCAAGGCTAGCCAAAGCCACTATAAGGAAAGAAAACTAGACACTAATATCTCCTCTAAATATTGATGCAAAAATCTACAAACAAATACCACAAATTGAAATCAACACATCATATCAAAAAGATCATCCACTGTGGCCAAGTGGGGTTTATCCCAGAAGTGCAGGGAGGGTTCAGCATACGAATGCCGCTACTGTATGCAAAAGCGTAAGAGAAAAGATAACACAAATGGTCAGTTTTGTGTATCTACAGTAGCCAATAATAATTAAAAAAGAAATTAGGAAAACCACTTCCATCTACTGTAGCATCCCAAAGAAAAAAATACTTAGGAATAAATTTAACCCAGGAAATGTGAAAAATTGGAAACATTGAATATTACAACACACTGATTAAAGAAACATAACACCTAAATAAATGGAGTCATTCTCTGCTAATGGATTTAAAGATACAATATCCTTAAGATGACAATAGTAGGGACTGGGGTTTTGGCTCAGCGGTAGAGCATTCGCCTAGCCCTGGGTTCGATCCTCAGCACCACATAAAAACCAAACAAATAAATGAATAAATAAAGGTATTTTTAAAAAGTTAAAAAAAAGAGATGACAATAGTATCCATAGTAATTTATAGATTCAATGAAATCCCTATCAAAAGTCTAATAGCCTTTTTTTTTTTTAAAGCCAATCACTAAATTATCTAGCTTCTTAACATTCAAAAGAGAGTAAGCACAACCCTCATTGTTGTGCTTTTGTCATTCTCAGGTACTGGAAATTTAACCCAGGATCACGTTACCACTGAGCCAAATCCCAAGCCTCACCCCCTCCTTTGAGACAGGGTCTCACCAAGTTGCTTGGGGGCCTTGCTAAATTGCTTAAGCTGGCCTAGAACTTGCAATCCTCCTGCCTCAGTCCCCTGAGCTATTGGCATTACAGGTGTACACCATAGCACTCAGTTGTGCTTTTATTTTAATATGGTGTTCTGAAGCTCAAAACAACATTTTGGCTGAAGTGACCGGTCATTAGTTTACTAAGAGTACTTCAGAAATTTTTGTAGGTTGGTGAAGCCATTTTTATTTCTTTTAGGAAGTTCTTAAAGGCTTAAAATCTTAACTGTTGTTTGCATGTGATGTGGTAATGAAGATGCAGTGCTTTTGCCATAAATGAGCCTATAATTCGTTTATTTTCCTGTTAAAACACTCAAATTAATATTCATGAGCATGGGTCCGATCCATTCTAGTCTTCTTCAATGAGTTGAAACAGGAACAAGTGACAGTGAAAGAATTGAGACTGAAAGAATTGTCTTTCTCATATGCAACCTGAGAATAATGTCACAATCCATTTATAAAAACTACCATTCATATATTTACAAAGCTTTAGAAAACAGCTTTATTAAATTAATAAACATGAAGACAAATATATACAAGTCCAACAGTACACAGTATGACCTGAAGTGACTTATGTCTGAGTAAAGCCTCACCGACTCCTGCTTTCCTACCTTCCTCAGCAGAGGGATGATGGGAGCATGCTGGAGCCATTGCTGAACTTCTCACATTGAAGAGGTGAAGGAAAGGGCTCAAGCTGCCCTACTTTTTGGGACAAATACTCTGCATGTCTTTGAACAGTGTGAAAAATGTACGTGGCTTCTACCTTTAAAAAAAATTAAAATACTTAAGATTTAGTTACATGGTTAATAAAATACATTTTTAATATGCATATTTCCTTTTAATCTGTAGAAGTCTTTTATTTTTGGTTTTCAAACCAAATATCCTTATTTGGCACGAATCACAGGGTAAAGTTTGGGCATAAGTTATAGGTCAAATGTGCAGTTCATAAGTGTATAATGAGGACAACTGATCATCTAGATTAACTGAACAGATGTCTTCTGAATGCTCTGTGCAGTAAGTTACTTTTTATTCTGCTTTGATGAGCTATAATGAACACTTCAGAGGTTGGCTTTGAGACTGGACCCAGTAAACTTGTTAACAGTCCACTTTTACTGCTATGAAAAGTAGACACTAAAAAATAGGGTTTTCAAATAACATAGATGATTACACACATACAAAATATTCTGGAGCTATATTAATGAATACAGCTCATATTATCAGGTCTCAAGTGCAAATTATAATTAGTTGTTGCAGGGATAGGTGGGAAAACAGGATAATCAGCTTAGTAGACTTGTGTTAATTGTTTCTGTGCTGTAACGAAAAATATTTCATCAGTTATGTGCACTGAATTTTCACATGTATAGTCCACTATTCCATCCTTAAAGATGGAATTCCATTGGTTCAATAGATGCCATTTATTGAGAACATAAATGTTTTTTTTTTTTTAAGAGAGAGAGAGAGAGAGAGAGAGAGAGAGAGAGAGAGAGAGAGAGGAGAGAGAGAGAGAGAGAGAGAGAGAGAGAATTTTTTAATATTTGTTTTTTAGTTTTCGGCGGACACAACATCTTTGTTTGTATGTGGTGCTGAGGATCGAACCCGGGCCGCACGCATGCCAAGCGAGCACGCTACCGCTTGATCCACATCCCCAGCCCCATAAATGTTTTATTTTTAATGCCATAGTATGTTCAACATGTACTATCAGAATAAGCTTGGTAAGTAATATAATGAATAATCTCCTAAGATGAATATTTTTTCTTTTAAAACTGCATAAAGGGTTATGTTTTCCCTTTGGAAAAACAAAAAACTTCACTACATATTTTATTTTTTTTACAATGTTGGAGATCAAACCCAGGCCTCATGCATGTTAGTAGACACGCTACTTTACTACTAAGCTTCACTCCCAGACTAGACATAATCTTAAAATTGTTGTTTCTCAAAAGCATTCAAGAGTTCCCAAATATAAATGAAGACAAAACCCAACAAGATAAAGCTGAAAGCTGATCTTAAAATCAGATGGGGGTAGAGAGGCCTGCAGGAAGACACAGATCGACAGATGGGAAGAAAGTCACTTCCATAATTCAAAATGAACGTACACTTTTCCCCTCCAAATACGAAATCATTTTAAATAGATTTCTTTTTTCTTCCTTATCTCCACACTTGAGATTTCTAAAGTTTTTTTGAGCCTGGGACACAAAGCACATCTATCTTCCCAGGTGTGTATGCAAGTGGCAAAAGTGAATACTAAGACCAAGGTTTTCACCCTGCTAATACTTCCTCTTCCAGAGAGAATATCTACCATGTTTCATAACTAGGAGAGAATAAAATAAATAAATAAATAACCTAAAAAAAATCTTAAAAATATCAAATGCAGACATTTATAAATCTAATATTCCATGATCATAGCTTTATTTGTCATTTGTATTCCTACATTGCTTATACAACATAGCATCCCACTGATTATATTACTGGTTTAATTCTCACAAAATCATAGTGATGAAATCTTTTGCATACTATTTCCAATGTACCACAAGTAATGAAAATGTTCATGGTATGTTCTTACTTACATATTGAGATTGAGGTTTATTTAACTTGCTGTGTGTGTGTGCATGCCTGTGCTCATGCACACACAGGGGGGTGTTCTGGGAATTGGACCCAGGGGCACTCTACCATTGAGCAATACCTCTAGCCCTTTTTATTTATTTATGCAAATATTTATTCGTGGTGCTGGGGATAGAACCCAGGGCCTTGTGCATGTGAGGCATCCTTTTTTATTTTTTGAGATAGGGTCTTACTTAGTTGACCATGTTAGCCTTGAATTACAGATTCTCCTGCCTCAGCCTCTTAGTTACCTGGGATTTCAGGTGTGCATCACCACACCTGGCTAGCTTGCTATGTTCTTAATACTTTCATGAGCCTAGATATATATTTTTAATTATAAGTCTATTATAACCCTAATATAATCTCTCATTCATATCACTATTCATTTATTCATCATGATCTTGATTGAAACTCATGCTATAAAACTTGCATTATTAAAAAAAAACAAAACTGCATTATTGAAGAAGTTTCTTTCTTTAGTGCTTCAGCAAAATCAGCTGACTGCTGTCCCTGAAAGTTTAGGAGATTCTTATGACCAGTGTAAATCTACATCATATACAACCACAAAAATGGGAAATTTTACTCCATGAAGGTATGATATATCGAAATACATTCTACTATCATGTATAATTAAAAAGAACAACTAAAAATTAAAATTAAAAAAAGAGAAAGTTTAGGAGATTCTTTAAACAATTTAATGCTTTATAGCTGCAAACTTCAACAGATATCACATCCAGGGCTCCCATCCTTCCCAAGTTCTGCCAAGGATATTAGGGTCTGTTGCCTGGTCAATCAAGCATTTCACTTGAGTCTCTTCTGAAAGGCCACTGTCTGGCTCTCGGGCACGAATGTTGTGATCTTTGCTTCCCCGAGCTACAGCTGTGTAATCCCCAAAGGCAGGAAACTTCTCATGGCCCAGAAGTAACTCATCACTGGAAAAAAGATTAAACAAATATGAAAACATAGATTGTTTTTCCTTTGTTGCTTGCATTCCTAGCTATCCCATCCAAACATTTTCTCATCACTTACAAATTTTTTTCTATCCTCATAACCTTGAAGTCAAAGGTTGGATGTGCAGGGAAATAAAACATAAATAATGTCACTATTATAATTCGTTTGCAAGTTTTTGTACAATCACACTGTCTTTTCTCCTGGATACAGAGAATTGCTGGGTCAAATAAATACTCTCTTTAACTTTCCAATTAACTCAGACTGTTTCCCACAGCAAAACCACCATTTCCCTCTCCCACTAGCAGTGTATGAGATTCCAGTTTCTGTACATTCTTACCCAAACTTGTTACATACCGTTTTATAACCACCTTAGTGGGTATGAAGTAGTATCTCATTTGCATTTTCCTGATGACTAGTTATGCTGAACATTTTTTCATAGTACATTATCTGTAGAGAAATGTCTGTTTGATTCCTTTGGCCATTTTAAAATTGGGCTATTTGTCTTTTTATTATTGGGTTTGAGGAGTTTTAAATGGATATTAGATATAAATCCTTTGTCAATAAATGACTTAAAAGTATTTTCTCCCATTCTGTGGATTGTCATTTTAGGGTTTTTTTTTTTTTCTTTTTGCTGAGTTGATAATTAACCCAGAGGGTTGTGCCATGCCAAGTTAAGTGCTTAACACTACTCTGTCTCACCGGCCCTCGTCTCACTTTCTTGATAATAACATCTGAAGCACAAAGTTCTGAATGTTGATGAAGTGCTTTTGGTGTCATACCTAACATGTTAAATGTCAGTCAAATTCAAGATCATGAAAAAACAATTTTGGGGGGTGAGTACCAGGGATTAAACTCAGGGACACTTGACTACTGAGCCATATCCCCAGCCCTATTTTGTATTTTATTTAGAGGCAGTGTCTGAGTGTCTTAGCACCTTGCTTTTGCTGAGGCTGGCTTTGAACTCTCAGTCTTCCTGTCTCACTCTCCTGAGCCACTGGGATTACAGACGTGTGCCACCTGGCCTGGCAAGGTAATGAACGCTGACCCATGTTTTCTCTAAGCATTTTATATCGCTGACTCTCACACTGAGGTCTTTGATCTATTTTGAATTATTTTTGTAGATGGTATGAAACAGGGATCGAACTTCACTCTTTTGCCAGTACCACCTGCTGGAAAGACTACTTGTCATCTGTTCAACATGTTGAACCAGGTATGATGGCACATACCTGTAATCCCAGTGATTTAGGAGGATGAGGTAGAAGAATAGCAAGTTAAAAGCTAGCTTCAGCAATTTAACAAGACCTGGTCTCAAAATAAAAAATAAAAAGGGTAAGAGATGTAACCCAGTGGGTAAAGCACCCTGAGTTCAATCATTAGTACCAAAACAAAACAAGCGGACCAACAAAAACCCCAAAACAATCCTTGAAATGAAGGAAACAATAAACCAAATGAAAAACTCAACAGAAGGCATCACAAACAGACTAGATCACTTGGAAGGCAGAATGTCAGACAATGAAGACAAAGTATACAATCTGGAAAATAAAGTTGACCATGTAGTGAAGATGGTAAGAAACTATGAACAGAAATCCAAGAATTATGGGACAATATCAAAAGACCAAATCTAAGAGTTAATGGGATAGAGGAAGGCACAGAGATTCTAACCAAACAAATGCACAATCTCTTCAATGAGATAATTTCAGAAAATTTCCCAAACATGAAGAAAGAATTGGAAAATCAAATACAAGAGGCTTACAGAACACCAAATATGCAAAATTACAACAGGTCTACACCAAGGCACATTATACTGACAATGCCTAGCATAGAGAATAAGGAGAATCTTAAAGGCTGCAAGAGAGAGGAATCAGATCACATATAGGGGGAGAGCAATTTGGATCTCAGTAGATTTTTTTAACCCAGACCCTCAAATCAAGGAGACACTGGAATAACATATACCAAACTCTGAAAGAAAACGTAGGCCAACCAAGAATCTTATATCCAGCCAAATTAAGCTTCAGATTTGATGACAAAATAAAAATCTTTCATGATAAACAAAAGTTGAAATAATTAACAGCAAGAAAGCCTGTACTGGGCTAGGATTGTGACTCAGAGGCAGAGCGCTCCCTTCGCATGCCAGAGGCACTGGGTTTGATCCTCAGCATCACATAAAAATGAAATGAAGATATTGTGTCCACCTATAACTAAAAAAAAATACTAGAAATAAAGAAAGAAAGAAATAGAGAAAGAAAGAAAGAAAGCAAGCCTGCACTACAGAGCATCTGCTGCAAAATATTCCAGGAGGAGGAAATGAAACACAACAACGAAAATCAGCAAGGGGAGGAACTACACTAAAGGAAAGGCCAATCAAAGGAGAAACCAAGTTAAAGACCAAAAATAAACCAAAATGTCCTGAAATACAAATCATATTTCAATAATAACCCCGAATATTAATAGCCTAAACTCATCAATTAAAAGATACAGACTGACAGACTGGATTTTAAAAAAAGACCCAACAATATGCTGCCTTCAAGAGACTCATCTCCCAGGAAAAGACATCCACAGACTGAAGGTGAAAGGGTGGGAAAAAATGTACCACTCACATGGACCATGTATATAAGCAGGGGTTTCCATCATCATATCAGATAAAGTGGACTTCAAATCAAAGCTAGCAAAAAGGGATAAAGAAGGACATTTCATACTGCTAAAAGGATTCATACATCAACAAGACATAACAATCATAAATATCTATGCCCCAAACAATGGGGCATCTATTTATGTCAAACAAACTCTCCTTAAATACAAGAACCAAACAGACCACAACACAATAATACTGGGTGACTTAAATACACCTCTCTCACCACCAGATAGATCTTCCAAACAAAAACTAACCAAAGAAACTATAGAACTCAATAATACAATCAATAATTTGCACTTTTTAAAATACATTTATTTTTCAGTTTTAGGTGGACACAATATCTTTATTTTCATGTGATGCCGAGAATTGAACCCAGTGCCTCACGCACGCTAGGTGAGCATGCTACCACTATAATTTGCACTTTAACAGACATATACAGAATATCCATCCATCAATGAGAGAATACACTTTCTTCTCAAGAGCACATGGATTCTTCTCCAAAACAGACCATATGTTATGCCACAAAGCAAGTCTTAGCAAATACAAAAAAATAGAGATACCTACATTCTATCAGACCATAATGGAATGAAATTAGAAATCAATGATAAAATTAAAAAGAGAAGCTACTCCAACACCTGGAGACTAAACAGTATGCTACTGAATGACACATGGATAACAGAAGACATCAGGGGAAAGGTTTTAAAAAAAATTCTTAGAGGTAAATGAGAACTCCAATACAACTTATCAAAATCTCTGGGATACTATGAAGGTAGTGCTAATAAGAGGAAAGTTCATTGCATGGAGTTCATTCATTACAAGAAGAAAAAGTCAACAAAATAAATGATCTGACATTACAGCTCAAAGCCCTAGAAAAAGAACAAACCAATACCAAAAGCAGCAGAAAACAGGAAATAATTGAAATCAGGGCAGAAATCAATAACATTGAAACTAAAGAAACAATTCAAAAAACTGACAAAACAAAAAGCTAGTTCTTTGAATATACTGACAAACCCTTAGCCACTCTAATGAAAAAAAGAAGGGAGAAAATTCAAATTACTAAAATTTGTGATGAAAAAGGAAATATCATGAAAGACACTATTGAAATACAGAAAACAATTAGAAACTATTTTGAAAATTTATACTCCAGTAAAACAGAAAATCTCGAAGACACCAACAAATTTATAGAGGCATCTGATCAACCCAAACTGAGTCAAGAGGACGTACACAATTTAAACAGATCAATTTTTTTAATATTTATTTTTTAGAAGTAGTTGGATACATTACCTTTATTTTGTTTATTTATTTTTATGTGGTGCTGAGGATCGAACCCAGGGCCTCGCACATGCTAGACAAGTGCTCTACCACTGAGCCACAGCCCCAGCTCCTAAATATATCAATTTCAAGCAAGGAAACAGAAGATGCCATCAAAAGCCTACCAACCAAGAATACCCCAGGACCAGACAGATTCACAGCTGAGTTCTACAAAACCTACAAAGAAGAATTAATACCAATACTCCTCAAGTTATTCCATGAAATAGAAAAGGAAAGGAACCCTTTGTTTTTTTTAGAGAATACTAAAGGGAGCCGATACCAAAACCAGGCAGAGGCATATCAAGGAAAAAAAAAATTAAAACCAATATCCCTTATGAACATTTATGCAAAAAATTCTGGCAAACTGCATACAAAAACATATTAAAAATATTGCATCATGATCAAGAGGGGTTCATTCCAGGGAGGCAAGTTTGGTTCAACATATAACTAACTCATCACATCAATAAAATTAAAGATAAGAATCATATGATTGTATCAACTGATGCAGAGAAAGCATGACAAAATAAAGCACCCTTTCATGTTCAAAACACGAGAAAAACTAGGGTACTACAAACATACCTCAACATTGTAAAAGCTATCTATGCTAAACCCAAGGCCAACATTATTCTAAATGGAGAAAAATTGAAAGCATTCCCTCTAAAAACTGGAACAAGACAGGGATGCCCTCTGTCACCACTTCTATTTAACATAGTCCTTGAAACTCTAATCAGAGCAATTAGACGAAAGAAATTAAAGGGATATGGTCAGGAAAAGAAGAACTCAATCTATCATTATTTGATGATGACATGATTCTACACTTAGAGGAGAATTAATTAATGAATTAAGCAAAGTAGCAGGATATAAAATCAATACCCATAAATCAAATGCATTTCTATACATCAGTGATGAATCCTTTCAAAGACAAATTAGGAAAACTACCCCATCACAATAGCCTCAAAACAACAACAACAAATTGGGAATCAACTAACAAAAGAAGTAAAAGAACTCTACAGTGAAAACTGCAGAACACTAAAGAAAGAAATTGAAGAAGATCTTAGAAGATGGAAAGATCTCCCACGTGCTAGGTTAGGCAGAATTAACACTGTCAACATGGCCATGCTACCCAAAGTGCTATACAGATTCAATGTGATTGCAATTAAAATTCCAACATCATTCCTTATAGAAATAGAAAAAGCAATCATGAAATTCATTTGAAAAATTAAGAGACCCAGAATAGCCAAACAATCCTTAGCAAGAAGAGTGAAGCAGGAGGCATCACAATACCAGACCTTAAACTATACTACAAAGTTACAATAACAAAAATGGCATGGCACAAAAATAGACATATAGACTAATGGTACAGAACAGAAGACACAGAGACAAAACCACATAAATACAGTTATTGCATATTAGACAAAGGCACCAAAAACATACAGTCGAGAAAAGACAGCCTCTTCAATAAATGACGCTGGGAGAACTGGAAATCCATATACAGCAAAATAAAACTAAACCCCTCTCTCTCCATGCAGAAAACTCAACTCAAAGCGGATCAATGACCTAGGAATTAGTTCAGAGACCCTGCGCCTAATAGAGGAAAAAGTATGTCCAAATCTTTAACATATTGGATTAGTTCCTGAGTTCCTTAACTAGACTCCTAAAGCACAAGAAATAAAATCAGGAATTAATAAATGGGATGGACTCAAACTAAAAAGCTTCTTCTCAGCAAAAGAAACAATCAATGAGATGAACAGAGAGCCTACATTTTGGGAGCAAATTTTTGCCGCACACACCTCAGATAGAGCACTAATCTCCAGGATATATGAAGAACTCAAAAAACTTGACACCAAAAAAAAAAACAAAACAAAACAAAAAAACCTACCCAATCAATAAATGGACTAGGGAGCTGAACAGACAACTTCTCAGAAGAAGGGATACATTCGATCAACAAATATGAAAAAATATTCAACATCTCTAGTAATTAGAGAAATGCAAATCAAAACTACTCTAAGATTTTATTTCACTTTAATCAGAATGGCAGCTATCAAGAATACAAACAAAAATAAGTGTTGGTGAGGATGTGGGGAAAAAGGTATACTCATACATTGCTGGTGGGATTGCAAATTGGTGCAACTACTATGGAAAGTAGTATAGAGATTCCTTTAAAAACTTGGAATGGAACCACCATTTGACCCAGCTATCCCACTCCTTGGTATATACCCAAAGGACTTAAAATCAGCATACTATAGTAATGCAGCTACATCAATCTTCATAACAGCTCAATTCACAATAGCTAAACCGTGGAAGCAAAGTAGATACCCTTCAACAGATGAATGAATAAAGAAACTGTAGTATATATACACAACAGAATACTATTCAGCATTAAAAGAGAATAAAATTATGATATTTGCAGGTAAATGAATGGAGTTGGAGAATATCATGCTAAGCAAAGTAAGCCAATCCCAAAAAACCAAGGCCGAATGTTCTCTCTGATAAGTGGATGCTGATCCAAAACGGGGAGGGGGGAGGCATGGGGAAAATGGAGGAACTTTGGGCAAAGGGGAGAGAGGGTAGGGAGGATGCATGGGGGCAGGAAAGATGGTGGAATGAGATGGACATCATTACCCTAGGTACAAGTATGACTGTACAAATGGTGTGATGCTACATTGTGTACAACCATAGAAATGTAAAGTTGTGGTGCAGTTACGTACAATGAATCGAAATGCATTCTGCTGTCAGATATACCTAATTAAAATAAATAAATTAATTATCAAACAAAACAAAATAAAACAAAACAAAATGTTAAACCAGTTGTGGTGGCACACACTTATAATCCCAGCTACTTGGGAGGCTGAGGCAGGAGGATTTCAAGTTTGAGGCCAGCTTGGGCAACTCAGGAAGTCCCTGCCTCAAAGTAAAATAAAAAGGGCTAGGACATAGTTCTGTGGTAGAATGCCTTTGGGTTCAACCCCAGTACCACAAAATCAATAAACAAAGCAAAACAACAAACTGACCACAGACTGCCATTTACTTCTATTTAATTGTGAAGTTTAATTTCATTTCCTAGAAATAATCTCTATAAATATTATTTGCTTCAGACCTTAGTTAAGAAAAAAATTTAAGAGCCAATCTACCTAGGTGCTATGCCCATTAGGGCCAAATGGGTTCAATGCTCCAAAAAAGGACAAAAGCAAATTTAAACCCCAAATCTCTCTTCTGGCACCATCTAAGAATATGCCTTCTGATCCTCATATTGATAGGTTATTCCAGGCACTAACCTGAAGCCCAAAGACTGTGCAGAGAACAGGCTCAGGCACACAGGTTTGAGTCACAGGCCTCTCCTGGCTTTGGAGGAGTCACCTCTCTAACCCTGGCTTTCCTCATTTATAAAGTGAGGATAGTCACACTACTCCCAAAGGCCTAAAGTTCTTGGCACTTTGTACCTACAATGATTCTTTAAGAAATGGTAATATATTGGTATTACCCGTCTCCCCCCAATAACAATCTTACCAAGTAATAACTGCAGGATTGGCACCTGCTAACTTTCTCTTAGCATAACATATCTTCTGCTGAGGATACCAATTTTTTTTAGTTATATTTATTTCTTGAATCCATGATCCTCCTTTTTTCAGCATTTTTTGTTCAAAATTCTGAAGAAAAAGAACATGATTTCTCTGCTATAACAGTATATAGAATATAGAACAGTATATATTTCTCTGCTATAACATTAAATCAAGTAATGAACTTAACAAGTGCAACTGGGAACCTATAACATTTTAACAGTGGCATACATTTTAGTGACTTGAGGTGCTGCTGCAGGGAGGTAGGAGATATCACTCCCTAGGAAGGATGAGCACCACAGGCTTCATTCTTCCGGGGCTATGTCCTGGATAACCACTGAGGTTAAGATAGCACTATCTGACTTCATGATCCATGAAAGCTTCACATGGAACAATTTTTAAAATTAAAAGTGGTGCCAGAGAGAAACTGGACCCACCATCACCAATGGGTCTGTAATCTCACACCCAGTAGGAAATAAACTCAATTTAAGCAACAGTTTTCTCCAAGTAAGGATTTTGCCTCTTATCTAGTTTTCTGGCTGAATGGCCCCAAATGTTAATTTTGAGAAATGCAGTACAAAATAACATAGATACTTTAGCAAACAAACTTGATACATTTTCACCATAAAACAGACACCATGTCACATACTGTGACACTGGTAAAAGGAAAAAGCACTTATAAAACTAAACCTACCTTCCAATCAAACGAGGGCTCTCTTACAAACACATCCATGGTGTTAATAAGCAGGTCTGCCTCTGCACGGAAGGCCCTCAGGGCATGTATCATGACACTGTACATGAGGCCCATTTCTTTCATTGGTAACAGCAGATTGATAAATTGGCGGGTTAGACGGAAAGGCACCAACTCAGGGACTGGCAGAAACTAAACAAGAGAAAAAATAGACATGTAAAATGCAGAATATATTAACTAGATATCTCAAAATAACAAACATTAATGAAATGTCTTCTCAAATAAACTATTTGCTTTTAGTATGACTACAAACTCCTCTTTTTTTGAAATAAGCTACCCACATGAATTCCTGGGCCCAATGGTAATCCACTCAACTTGCACCACGATCACAAAGCCAGAGTCCGTGTGGAGCAACATATAACCCACAGAGATTTATAAGTCTCATCAACAACACTCAGAGGCTAGTGGCGGAGAAAAGATCTGTATCACATTTTGCGCAAGACATTTTGATTATAGATCTTCATAAAACTTCTACAGAGTCGTCCTAAACAGGAATGCATTTTACTCCTGTCTCTGATCACATCTCCTATGACCTGCCTAAACAAGCCTGAAGCTAGGATGAGATTATATATTACTTCAAAAATGTCAGATTCAACTATCATGACGGAACCAACTTAACAAGCCATTTCTTCTTTAAACTATCTACTACTTGAGGTGTTGCTAAATTACATGGATTCTAAAATAGCCAACAAGATAAGGCAAACACACCTGGGTAGCTGATCCAAATGCATGTCCAAAGTCAATTCCAATCATGCTGCCTGTCTCCATCGTTATCAAGAAATTGTTCAGGTGTCTGTCTCCAATCCCGAGAAGCCAGTGGCTGACACACAGCAGAGCGTGGGAGCTGGCAAAGTGGGAGCGAAGAGCCAGGAAGGCCTCGGGGCCTGTGCTCATCTTCATGAAGGCCCTCCTAGGACAGAGAAGAGCCCTGGGTGATCTTTGTTTTGCACTACAGTGTTCATGAAATCACAAGTACACTTACTTTAAGAGACTGGCAGGTACTTTACTTTCTCTTTTTCTGAAAGCCATGACTGTTTCTGTACGGTTGGCTCTCCTATGATTTAATAATGGTAAAAGTCTTATTAGAACAAATTTTTCATGACTTGAAATTTAAAGTTTTGTTTACACTGAAGCTTAAAAATCAAATAACTAGATTTTGATGATCTAAAGCAAAACTTTCTAAGGATAAAAAGTAAATATGCAACTTTGAGAAGAACTAGATGATACAAAAGAAAATCAAAACAGAACTCACTTATACATTAGCGCATATGCTCCAGCATCATGTTTTCCGGACATTTTCTTAAGCCAGTCTTTATATTCCATCACTGGTGCTCTGGAATCACTAACAAGTACGAAAAAGGGAATTGGAATCAGGGAGATATTTAGCATAACATGATTTTAAAGGCACAAATCACCAAGAATTCATTAAAAAATAGGGAAGAGGGAGGAAAAAAAGTAAAGGTGACTTTTAATCACATTTACTTATTATTTTAGTTTTATGATTAGGGATGGAAGGCAGGTATGCTCTACCACTGAGCATACCATCCTGATCTACCATCCCCATTCCTTTTCAAATTTTTATTTTGAGATAGGTCTTGCTAAGTTGCTGAGGCTGGCCTCAAAATTATGATCTTCCTGCCCCAGCCTCCCAAGTTGCTGGGATTACAGGCATGCACCACCACACCTGGCAATCATACTTAATATTATATTAACACCAAACCCATTTTACTGTGGATCTAGACTTTCAATATGCCATTATTCATTTTTAATTACTCCAAAGAAACCCAAGAAATTTCCTATCAGAGTTTTAGAATCTTGGGCCTCCTCGACAAAAACACTTAAAGTTTAGCTTATCTTATTCTCTGTATGAAGTGGGAAATTTATTGCATCTGTTTTCTGCCTGAACTTTTACTACAAAGTTAAATTCACAAATAGACTACTCCCCTTTAACTTAAACCTCTCCTCATATATTCTTTCTTTTGAGACAGTCTTACTATGTTGTCTTACTAGTTGGGCTCGAAATCCTGGGCTGAAACAAGCCTCCTGCTCAGTCCCCAATAGCTGGGACTATAGGTGGAGCCACTGTGCTGGCTTTCTTCTCCTAGCTACCCTCAGCCCACATCCTGTGGTACTGGGATGGAACCCAGGTGCACTTTACTACTAAACTTCAACCCAGCCCTTTTCTTTATTTTCTTATTTTATGACAGGGTCTTGCTAAGTTGCCCAGGATAGATTTGAACCTATGATCCTTCTGCCTTAGCTTAAGTCACTGGAATTACAGGTATGTGCCACTATTCCTGGCTCTTCTCCTAGTTTTAAAAGACATGAAAATCTTTAGGTTGAAAACTGCAATATGGGGCTGGGGCTACGGTTCAGTGGCAGAGCACTTGCCTAGCATGAGTGAAGCATTGGGTTCGATCCTCAGCACCACATAAAAATAAAAACAAAATAAAGGCATTCTGTCCATCTAAAACTACAAAAAAAAAAAAAAAAAAAAAAAAAAAAATTAACCCACCCCCCCCCCCCGGAAAATTCTTATCAAGACAAAAACAGCAGCCAGTATATGCCTGTAAGTTACTCAAGCTAACGCAGGAGGATCACAAACCTGGGAAATTTAGTGAGACCCTATCTCAAATAAAATAAAAAGGGTTCAAAGATAGAGTGCTTGCCTAGTATGCCCGATACCCTGGGTTCCAATTCCTAGTAACAAACATCAATAACTTAATAATAGGATGTTGGAATTGCCTTTAAAAAAAGGTAGTCAGAAGGTGGGCACAGTGGGGCACACCTGTCATCCCAGTGGCTCAGGAGGCTGAAGCAGGAGGATCCTGAGTTCAAAGACAATCTCAGCAACTTAGCAAGATGCTAAGCAACTCAGTGAGACCTTGTCTCTAACTAAGATATAAAATAGGGCTGGAGATGTGGCTCAGTGGTTGAGTGCCCCTGAGTTCAATCCCCAGTACAAAAAAAAAGGTAGTCAGAAGTAAATTTATACCATCCTTATGTGAAAATACTTTGAACTCACTGATACCCATGTTCACTGTCTGCTATTCCACTGAACTACCCCATCTTACCAAAGGAGACTGGAAAGCACAGGAAGGGTGAGTCTGGAGTTCACAATACTGAGAGTCAGGACTTCAGTGCCAGACTGAGACCTAGAATTCCTTTCTTCTTCTTCTTCTTTTTTTTTTTGGTGGTATGGGATCAAACCCAGGGCTACTTTACCAGTGAGCTACATCTCCACTCCTTTTATTAATTCTGAAACAGTTTCCAAATTACCCAGGCTGGCCTCAAACTTGAGATCCTTCAACCTCTGTTTCCTGAGATGTAGGTATGTCCCACCAAGCCTGGCCAGAGACCAAGAATTTCTGATGGCAGGAAGCAGTGTTCGTCAGCTTTCCTGTCTTCCAAAGAAAGGAGAAGTGATTCTAGGCAAAAAATTCAAATGTGTGGAATCAAGAGGTGGTAGGGTTCAATCATTAGCATCGAAGGAAGAAAAAAAAAGTTGGCAAATGATGACCTATTTACTATGGGAATGTGAGTTTGATGAAAATATGCTTAATTTTATGTGTGTTAGAAACTGACTGATAAAAAATATTGCATCTGTTTAATTACATTCGGGAAAGAATTATAACACAAAGAAGAGAAATAGGCCTTGCAGCCATTCTTAGCCATTTCCTCTTTATCCCACAGCTTGTCACCAAAACCTGCCAATTCTACCTATAACATATCTTTCATCATGTTGTCCTTATTTTCCTTTAGAAAAAAAAAAACAAAAAAGTTTTAAAACCTTCTGATTAGAAAATATAAGTTTGCTGCAGAATAATTAGAAAACAAGTAAAAGGTTACAGAAAAAGTAAAAGTATACATATTATGATACAGAATGAATCAGGAATAATTCCAGCTAGGCCACTTAGAGGCTGGATGACTAAGGATGAGTTATTTAACCTCTCTGGACCTCAACTTTCTCATTTGTACAGAAGTGATAATACTCATCTTGTAGACTGTTGAAAAATAAATGAGTTCACATACATTAGGAACTGAGACTAGTGCCTGCCTAGTACACAGAAAATAAGTGTTAGCTGTTGATTTTATTTATTCATTTATTTCTTTCCAGATTTTTCTTTGTTAAAAAGTACACAACTATAATCCCAGATATTCAGGAGGCTGAGATAGGAGGATCACAAGTTTGAGGCCAAAATAAGCATTTGAAAAAAGGAGAGGGAAGGTTGAGTATGTAGCTCAGTGTTCAATTCCCAGTACCACAAAAAAAAAATTTTCCCCCCAAAGCTAATACTTAAAAAAAAAAAAAAAAAAAAGGGCTGTTGTAAAATAATACAATTACCGTTTAGTATCTTGTACTCAATCTAGCTTATTCACCCAGCCATAGGCAGAGTAAGGGTACGGATATAGCAGCACCAATTACAAGGGGAACAAGAGGTAGAGGAAACTACACTTGAAACCACACTACTAAGGAAGAAAGGACTGTTTGAGTAAAAGCAGTCTGGAGGGCAGGTAGCACTAACGAAGGAGCAGTCAGCTTCACACTACCTCAAATAAGCCATTTTCTCCTCTTGTGACATGTTATTCAAAAGAAAGTCCTTCAAGGTAAATGTATTTTCAATCCATTCAATTAATCCTAATCTGAAAAGGAAAATGAAAAGTTTGTAAATAAATGCAAACCTGAATTGCTCTTTCTGCCCTAGAAAAAAATGTGTGGAGAATCAAAGCAAAACAGATTCCTCACATTCATTCTGAACTTACTTTCCCTACAGAGGTCAGCAAGTGTTTAAGTGCAGTCTAGTGCTCTGTCTGTGGGGTCCAAGGGACCAACCTGTCTAGCCACCCCCATGCCCACCTCTGAACAGACACAAGAGCCCAGCCCAGGGCAGAATCCTACATGTGCTTGGGCCGCACCTGGAGGTCATGGGCACCACACGGTATGTTCTTAACTGCATGTTTCTCTGACTGCAGGCAGAATCCTGGGAGAGGATGACATTCATGACTTCGAAGAGCTGCTCAATGCGCTGGTCCTGCCGAAGGTCCTCACCACCTTTTACAAGGAATGGGTACTCCCTTTCATCATGGCCTCGGATGATGATGCGCTTTGGTTTTCTTATAGAAGCCATTACTTTTACCTTTAAAAATAAAGGATTTTTGTTTTGTTTTACAAGAGACAAGGTTTCACTATTGCTGCCCAAAGTCAAGGTACCCTTGCCTCAGCCTCTCCAGTAGCTGGGACTATAGGTATGTGCCAGTGCACCCAGCAAAAAATACCTTCGTAGGTTTTTGTTTTGTTTGTTTGTGAGTGAAATCTTATTTTATTTTTTTGAGATGGAATATTACTGTGCTGTACAGGCTGGTCTTTATATTGTGAGCTCTCATTATCCTCTTGCCTCAGTCTCCCAAGTTGCTGGGACTACAGGCACAAGCCTGAAGGCAAAAAACATGTTTTAAGTACAATCTATGATCTAGGCCCATCATATCATCAGAAGTGGAAAAGTTACATGCATTCCTCAGAAACCTCCCCCTGAATACCGGGTGAGGTGACAAGAACAAAGAACCTGGGCCAGCAGACTTTAGAGGCCAGTGAAATATTTCTGTTATTTGTTTGTGCCCGAATGCTGTCCAACAGAAATCTAATATTCTTGGTTACAAATAATTGCATAGAGTTGTGGGTGTCCGTTGCAACAATGATATTCAACATGGAAACTTTTTATAATAAGTTAATTCTCCACATATTTAAAAAGGATACACATACAGTAAAATCTTTTGAGTTTACTATATCCTTACACATAATTGATGTTGAAACACTGAGGAAATTAAGAAAATGAGTCTCTGATTTTCAAAAAAAAATCAGAAATCTCCATACAATTTGAGAACAGCATGGAAAATTAATTGTCCCTTCCTTAGTGGGGGCAAACACGTTATTCTCACACACGTTATTCTCATTACAAGCCACTGGGCTGGGGCCGTAACTCAGTGGCAGAGCGCTTGCTTAGCATGTGTGAGACACTGGGTTTGATCCTTAGCCCTGCATAAAAAACTAAACAAACAAAGCATGCTGTCCATCTACAACTATTAAAAAAAAATAATAATTAAAAAAAGAGTTACAAACCGCGCACTAAGAGTCCCCATTATAGTGACAGGAGTTGCAAACCCTCACACTTACCCGCTCATCAAACCCAGAGATCCGTGCGTGGTATTCAGGCAGTGGCTTTCCCCTGCCATCATACTGACCTAAAACAAATCACAGAGCCTGCTTAGAATAGCTTGTTACAGAGCTTTGTATTTTAAAATGTATCTGCTGATCTAATAAAATGCTAATCTACTGTGATAAATTTTTTTTGGCGGCGGGGGGGGGGGGGTTTACTGGGTATTGAACCTAGGGGTGCTTAACCACTGAGCCACAACCCCAGCCTTTTTTAATGTTTTATTTAGAGACAGGGTCTTGTTGAGATGCTAAGTGCCTCACTAATCTGCTGAGGCTGGCTTTGAACTTGCAATGCTCTTGCCTCAGCATCCCAAGTGTTGGGATTACAGGCATGTGCCACACTGTGCCTGGCAAAGATGGACTTTTTTAAAAAATGCTATTACTTCTTAATGGAAGTTAGCCTCCTATTCTAAATGACAAATTCCAAATAGAAAGATTAGTGTACTGAACTGGAACTCTTATCTCAAGGTAGATCAGTGGTAAGTGAGGAGGCTTATCCTCAGTTGCTCAGTTGTTAATAAAAGCAAAGAAAATCTCCAAATGTTTTTCCTTGTATTCCCTGTAATGAGAATATGAGTAATCGGATTAAAACATTTTTTGCTCTTGCAAATTCCAGTATGAAAAACTTCAGATGTACTACATTTCCTCTCAAAAATCATGCCTTGTTCACATCTGGTTCACCTGCTGTATGTCTCCGTGTCATGATCCTTTTTCCTGCAGGTAAGTCATTTATCATTAACTGGTCCTTTAAACAGTATCAGCATGTATGTCCCAGAAGGGACCTGCTTCTATACCTGTGTTATGTTTCTGAAGAAAAGTTACTCAAGAGCAAAGGTGGGTATACTCAGAGGTAATTAGTAAATGAAAATCTGAACACTTGTTATAGATTTTCCTAATATGAAAAATATGTGAAATTTTAAAATCCTTTAAAGAGAGAGTTGGGGGGCAACTACCAAGATCCTGATATCACTACTTAGAAACCGAGTTTTTGTCATGTTGCTGTTCTTAAGTTTGATTTTGTACCTGGGGGTTTTAACTCACCAGGAATCTCCAGCTCATTTCTCAGGAACTCCACTTTGAACTCACTCATCCAGGGAGAGCACTCTTTCAGATTCCCAGGTGGCTTTGTGTCTCTTCTCATTTTTAAAAGCAGAGAGTTGGTGATGTCATTGAAGTCACTGAGTTTCATTCTAGGTAGTTTAGAACCTTTTTTCCCAAAGTGTTCATCAAATTCTTTCCCAAAGGCCTAAAATTAATAATCTGTTACAAAGACTCATGTTTGGTTTGAATTTAGGAAAAGGCTCTAAGCTTATGAATTTTTATAAGGGCTCAATTACATAGGTTTATTCTGTGCTTTTAAGATGTACAGTTTTACTTTTCCAGAATATTTTAATACTCTAAAACATCTGGAGCCTGCCTTTTGTTGGTAACTTGTCCTTAGAAAGGTCATGGTTATAATGACTTGTAGCTATAAATTCTAAATTCTTGCAGTTATATGCTAATGAGGGCTGTAAAAACTTGGCAAGGTCAGGCTGGAGCTGGAGCTCGGTGGCAGAGCGCTTGCCTAGTACATGTGAGGCTCTGGGTGCGATCCTTATCTCCACATAAAAATAAATAAATAAAATAAAGGCATGCTGTCCATCTACAACTATCAAAAAATTAAAACAAAAACTTGGCAAGGTCAATTAATTTCTTTGTGTCCACTGTCTAGTTCTGGGTCTACAGCATTACAATGACACAAATAATTAGGAATAATGTTAAAAACAATAAAATTAAGGGAGTAATTCAACAAAAATGAAAAGCCCACGATTCTTTATTTAAGCTGAAGAGAAAAATAGACAAAAAAGTAAGAGAAGGCTACTTTTCTTGGTAAAAATCTTTCATGATACTATTTTGGATGATAACATGAGTATAAATTTATTTAGATAATCTTTAGTTCTAAAAGCAATTATTATTAGAAATTCTACAACTTTGAATATATCAATTCTTTCTTTATATTAGTCTTACTCAAATATTTGAATGATAATCCTGATATCAAATAAAAAAAAAGAAACAAGATTATTACTAACAATAACTTAATAGTTGTCAAGATTTACCCAATTTAGAACTAATTAACAACATAAATCTGGTATACATGAAATAAAAGTTCTATTTTAAGATAATCCATAACAGGAAAATTAACACATACATATATATGTATATATATATATGTATTTATGACGTCTTTAATCTATAAATGGATTAAAATATAGAAATAATCTACCATTCTTAGAATACATGGAAAGATTAGCTATTTCCCAAAATTTAACTAGCAATCATATATTTGAAAGGCCTAATGCCCTTAAGGACCCTCTAAAGTGAAACCTGAGTCACTTACTTCATTTTGGCAGGTTTTAGTTTAAATTAATGAAAAATATTTGTTAATTTGGAAGAAGGTATAAAGTTCTGAATAAGTTTTCCAATACACTAGAAATTTGACTCCAAAGAATCTCATGTCTGCTACGAACAACAGGCATATTTCTGCCACACTGTTGGTGTACCCAGGAGAGGGCTATTGCAGCTATGCTCACAGCAGCTGGGGAAAATAATGGTCTGCTTTGATAGATTTTTGGGGCAGAGTCTTATTGTGTCCAGCATGCAGGGAAAGAAGGTAGACAAGAATTCAAAGACATAACCTGCACTCTTTACTGGAGGCCTAATAGAATTTTTCCAAATGAGGTCGTTCTCAGCCTGGCAGAGGAAATAGGGTACTGGAGGGCAGGACAGGCTGTAGAAAAGAGGAGCTGCTAAAACGAAACCCTTTCACAAGGGTGCCCTAGATCCTATGAGGTGAGGAGACCCAAGTCTAATTTGCAATCTGATGTTCTCATTGATTTTGGGTAAGTTGCCCACTCTTCAGCTCCAGCTTCTTTTATTTAGAACATGGTTCAACAAACCATAGAATGTAAGCCATTATTTTATCCAGCCTACTTGCCAAAGCACCCTCTGGAGCTGCCTTTGCATGATATGATGACAACAGATACAAGTTCTGGTAATGGACTCGTATGGCCTGCAAATTCAAAACCTGGGTCTTTACAGAGTAAGTGTGTGGGCCACGGGTACAGCAAGAAACAAAACTTGACACACTTTTCCAAATTCCATATTCTACAATATTACAATAATTTTATTGGTGCTAACCTATTAGTTTTAAGTACAATTTATTACTTCATTTAATTACACTTCCTGTTCTGAGACCCTTGCATATCTAAGGATCAGCAACACACACCAGTCACAATGTACAGCCTAAAATATGTCCTTAAATTACAGGAGTTCATAGCATTATCTTCACTTTTAAAATGTATTCCTGGTCACAATTAGGCCACAGATAATTCTTTATGTCCCTACATTTGTACCTTTAACTCCAAGTACCCCAACTAGGAATGACTCACCAAAAACAATATCCATTTATCAAGTGAGAAAGCAAAAAGGGGAGGATCAGTTAAAGACCAAAGTGTTTTTCTACTGCTGAGGATGGTCACAAGAACTGAAAAGACACCTCCCCTCAAGAATCTGTCCAAGGATATGAAGAGCAGCACTATGTGTAAGAAGCTGAGAAGTGGAAGTACCCCGAGTGTCCATTAACTGATGAAGAAAAGTCAAGCAAAATGCAGCGTACTCACACAGTGGAACAACATCTGGCCATCAAAACAAAACAAAAATCACAAAGCACTGATGCATACTGCAATGTGGCTGAACTCTGAAAACATCAGGCCACGTGAAAAAAGCCAGTGACACATTGTGTGATTCCATTCATGTGAAAGGTCCAAAAGAGGCCACTCCTTACCTATGGAAAGTAGTTCAGTGGCTGCCAAGAGCTGGCAAGAGTAGGAAATGGGGAGTAATTGCAAATGGGTTGGGGTTACTTTCTGTGCTGATGAAAATGTTCTAAGATTGAAGTGATGTCACAACTCTGTAAATATACTTAAAACTTCTCCAGTGTACACTTTATTTATTTATTTTTTTTAAATATTTATTTCTTTTAGTTATTGGCGGACACAACATCTTTGGTTTTTTTTTTTGTATGTGGTTCTGAGGATCGAACCCGGGCCGCACGCATGCCAGGCGAGCGCGCTACCGCTTGAGCTACATCCCCAGCCCTCTCCAGTGTACACTTTAAATGGCTGAATTGTGGGTTATATGAATAACATTCTAAAAAAGCAGTTATCAAAAAAATATATATATAAAAGATAAAGATCTTTCTTTACATTGTAGACTGGACTTCAGGACTCTGCCAATGTGAATGCCAGGTCTTTTCCTTTAAGGCCTTAAACTTCTTGAGGTTTAATAAATTCAAGTAGTCTGACAAAGATTTAGGGGGAAGTCAGTGTGATGAATGGCAGAAGGGAGGTGTAAGTAACATATGCAAAAGAGGAAGGAGCACCCGGTTCTTCTTAGACCCTCAGGAGGAAAAAGGATGCGGAAGGATCCTTTTCCATCCTTGTCGCTAGGGATGAGTCTCTAGAAGACCAGACAGAGAAAGACCGGGGTGAGGGGCCTGTGTAGTTGGCCACATCAAGGCCTCCTGTATATGATTCCCTATGAGCAAAGGTGTATTTTCCTTCCAGCTCTAGAACAAATTTGAAAATAGATCTCCCTTATACTCGCATAGCATTTTATAAGCAGTTATTTGTCATACAACCCTCTGCCCTTAGGAACTTGATCTGTCCCTGTGAACAATCTCAATTACCCACAAGCCTGTGACCTGAAAAAATGCTGGGCACAGTATTTTATCAATTCATGTTAAATACAAACATTTCCTTTTTATTTATTTTTTGATACTGAGGATTAAACCCAGGGGTGCTTTACCATATCCCTAGCCCTTTTATTTATTTATTTTTTAATTTTGAGACAGGATCTTGCTAAGTTGCTTAAGGCCTTGCCAAGTTGCTGAGACTGGTCTTTAACTTGTGATCCTCCTGCCACGGTCTCCTGAGTTACCAGGATTACATATGTGTCACCACTCTCAGCACAAATATTTTCTTGATCCAATAGTCAAATCATTCTGAGAATTAAAACACTAATCTTTGGATCAAAGAATTTGAGCATGAATAATTGAATTAATAGAATCTATCAGTACCTCACAGAAAGTACCAGATTAAAGGAAGATTACAAATTCAACAGGTAATTTAAGATCAGAATTGTTAGCAAGCCATCAAGTTTGAATACTGATCTTCCTGATGCTTCTGCTACCAGCAAGGCCACCGTGTCCAACCATACCTGGATAAACCTCCTTCGAAAGGGACCCAGGCCTGGAGCTCGCAGGTCACCCAAAGCTGCATACATCTTCTCATACAGTTTTTCAATTTTTTTTTTATTTACAGGGCTCTTTTCTAGTTCATCTTTTATTTCAGCAACCCAGTCCTGGGGAAAAGGAGAGAGAAAAGAGAGAAAAGATTTATGAATCAAGCTAGACTTCAAGTAAGTTTTACCCTAGTTCTTTTTTTTTTTTGTGCCAAAAGCTGTTGTATTACCTTAAAGAGCAGATCAGGATTAGAGAGCTGGTCGAGGGCATTAATAAAGTCTTGAATCACTCCACCTTGATCCAACATATTTTTGATTCTATGAAAACAAAGATACAAAATTTAGGTAACTGAACATCTTCCAATGATCAAGGCCTATTTTATCTATTTATAGAAATATACTTATATATGTTTGCATATATTTATATATGCACTTAAAATATATATTTATAATATGTACAATTTATGTTATGCAATCATATATAACTATTTAATGTACCATATATGTACAAATAAAAACCAACAGTCAAATAAAAACCAACAAATAAAAAACAGTCTAGGGAAAGGAAGAATTTCAGAATTCCATCAAATATTAGATGAAGTATAAAGTGTCTATCAAGAGGTGAGGTTCTTAAAAAGCAAACTTTCTTGCAATGGGTGTGAACATTTTGATGTATGATTTTTTAAAAAATATATATATTTTTAGTTATAGATGAACATAATACCTTTATTTTGTTCATTTAGGTTTTTGTGTGTGTGTGTGTGTGTGTGCATAGTGCTGGGCATCAAACCCAGTGCCTCACACATGCTAGGCAAGCGCTCTACCACTGAGCCACAACCCCAGCCCCTGATGTTTGAAATTTGACATATACATTTTCTGAAGTTATCAAAGAAAAAGTTACCTTCTAGATGCATTTTCAAATATTTTCCTTTTCTTTTTTCTTTCTTTCTTTTTTTTGTGGGATTGAACTCTACCACTGAGCTATATCCCTAGCCCTTTCTATTATTATTTTGAGACAGAGTCTTACTAAATTTTGTTTTGAAGCTGGCCTTAACTTTTATCCTCCTGCCTTAGCCTTCTGAGTCAGTGGAATTACAGGCACTTGCCACCATCGCCTGGCTCTTATCTTCAATCCCTTCATGGTAGACCTCAGAGATGGTGTGGTTGGCAGGCAATATGTGCACAAATCATGGCAGATGCTGGGTCTTGCTGTGTCTCACTCCTATTCTTCCCCAAATCAACACCCAAAATAATGAGGCAAACCAGCTCCTGACAAAAAAATAGCTCGACAGAGAATGCATCTAGAATGCCATGCACCTATGAAGTATTTTTGTGAAAGTCACACCATTGCACTTTATGTCAATGGTCTTTACTAATAAATGGATTGAAGAAGTGAAAGGATGATCCTTTAGGTTGTCTACTGAGACTGAATTATAAAAGGGGCTGTCTTGTATATTTTAAATTAAAGGATGATTTCAAGAATTAATTGCAAAAGCATCTCATCTAGTCTGTCTCAACCAACAGATTATTAGCTATGAGCACAAGAGTGGTATGCTTCATGAACAGCACCTAAAATGAAATTTATTTAAAAACATATAGAAATTCTATAACAAGTATGATATCTAAAAAAGATATATTCAACAAATGTGTAAGGTTTTCTATGCTTTGAGGACAGCCTGAAGTCATCTAAAGACAAACCTAAGTTTCCAGGTGTTTGCTTTTACCACACATTTTTTTTGTACCCTGCAGTATTTGATTAACCCTGTAACATCACCTTGCCACAAACTGTTTATTCTTATGACCAGCAGATGTATCTTCAAAGGAATAGCTTTCGCTACTTATTATAAACGGATAAACGATTGCCTGTGGGTAGCTACTGGCAATCTCTTCCACAGTGTGCTGAACTGCGACAGCTTCCTCTTTGTCCAATAATGCCACCATGTGGCTGATCCAGCCAATGAATTGCCAGCAAGGAATGGAAGAAATCTAAAACACAGAGAGCTATAAGTTAATAAACAAAACATTTAACATCGCCTTACCGTAATGCTAAAGTATATTCAATAAAAAAATAATACATATATAATGTCTCCTATCCTTTGGCCCTCTCTGAGATGACCACTGGATTCTTATAGATATTCCTGGGCATGTGCAGGCAAATTCTTTGCTTCCAAGAATGGAATCATACTAGATAGTTCACTGCTGTGTTTTCTTAGATTTACATCATTCCTTCTAATAGCTGTATAGTATTTTATTTATCTACTTCTCAGTAATAAATATTTAGGGCGTTTTCCAATTTTTTGATATTACAATTTATACAATAAAGGAGATATCTGCATACATATCTATTTATATTTGTGTTACACATCTGTACAAGTACAGAAGTAAAATCACAGGGTGAACATTAACAATTATAATACATATTGCTAGAAAATACAAAAGGATATTTCTAATTTTTATTTCTAAACATATTAGACTGGTTTCCAAAAATTTTATGAGTATTGGACACAATGAACTTTTTAAAAACACTGTCAGTCTGAAAAGTGAACAATATCTAACTTAAATGTTGATGGTTCGGGCTGGGATTATGGCTCAGTGGCAGAGCGCTTGTCTTGCCACCTGTGGGGCACCGGGTTTGATCCTCAGCACCACATATAAATAAATAAACAAAATAAAAATATTGTGTCCATGTATAACTAAGAAAAATTAAAAAAAAATGTTCATGGCTCATTATCAGTAAAGCCAAACACTCCATGTTCACCTACCTTACATAGTTAATCATGCATGCATTTCCTTTGAATATACTGGCCTATTGTGGTCACTTATATCAAAGATTAGAGATGTCAGCACCTCTCATGTGTTGCAGATATTTTTCTTGTACCTTTTTTTTAACCTTGTACACGGCATTCAACATTTTTTGTTTTGTTTTGTTTTTGTGTGTGTGTGTGTGTGTGTGTGTGTGTAAGCACCAAAGGATTTTCCTTTGTGGCTTCTGGCTTTTATCTCTTTATACCTATATCATTTAAAAAAAAAAGTGTACATGTTTTCCTTGAATGCTTTTAAGGTATTATTTTTAAGGTAAAATCTAATGTACTTAGAACACTAGAGGAACTTGAAGAAGCTTCATAGCTGTGTGGGCAAACTGAAGACACAGCAGTATGTGTGAGGATACCAGGAGTCAGTCCACATACCTCAGAGAGGTTTGGCTCCCTCACAAATGTCTACCAGGTGTCAGAGTAACACTGACTGATATGCCATTTATTCCCTCACAAATTCAAAATTGTTTTTATCATATGTAAAGAAATATTATTTTTGCAGAAAACTATCACAAGCCATCCATGGGTTGCATGTAGGTCACTGCACATCAAAGCCTAGTGGATAGAAATATCTGGTTATCTGGGAATAACCAGTGGACACTTTCTCTAGTCAATTGCTCAGAGACATCATGAATTTCCATCCTTCTCTGCCATGGCCCACACAGCACCTGAAATGAGTGTGACCTGCCAAGATGCCAATTAACCTGCTGACTATAAGACATCAAGAAGCCAGACTCCACTCTTGAAACCTTGGATTCCTTCACTCATGCCTGAAGGCCTTGAGCCCTGCTGGAAAGTGTGCTGCCAGTAGGCACTGCACGTAATGGGAAGTGGGATGCACTTTAAGTAAACCAACAGAGCCATCTTTCCTTTGTCTAGTTCCAGTTCCCAGGTGAACTAGATCTATCAGGGGCTCTGCTTTTTGTAAATCCATTTCTGACTATTTGTGTTTTGTTCTTCACTAATTATTTGAGACTTGAAGAAGAACCTCCCCAATGAGACACTGGCTGTCGGCCCCTTTAGAAAACCAAAATTATAATAAAATTATTTAACTATTTGCTCACTTATCCTTAAGAAAAACACATATATGCTATGTTTCTGGATTTAATTTAATCTCCTATTTAAGACCTATTGGAAAAGTCTACTTTCAGTAGCCACAGTAAATAGAGAGAGCAGTTAGAGCCCTGACAGACAAATTGGGCCCAACAGCTCAGAGATCAACACTGAATTTTTAAAAAATATTTATTTTTTAGTTTTAGGTGGATACAATATCTTTATTTTATTTTTATGTGGTGCTGAGGATCAAACCTAGTGCCTCACATGTGCTAAGTGAGCGCTCTACCACTTGAGCCACAACCCCAGGCCCCCAACACTGGATTCTTTTGTTTTTGTGGTGCTGGTGATGAAATCCAAAGCAGTGTGCATGCCAGGCAAGTATTCTACCACCAAGCTACATCCCCAATTCCAGAGGTCAGTACTACTTAAAAACTCCCTATGCAAAGCTAATAGAGTACCAGATCAACCTTTCTGAATTTACATTTTCAAAATAAAGCTTGGCTCTAACATTTTCTAGTTATACATCTGTACAAATCTTCAGGAGCCTCTCAGATAGCCTACACTTTTGCAGATTGATCCTACCCTGCACACAGAGAATGCCCACAGAATAGGAGCACAGCCAGCAGGTGCAACCCCAGGTAAACCAAGGGCCAAGCAGCCTGCTCCCCTTCACACACTCTGCTCTATACCCACATTTAAACCTCTCACTCATGCCTGAAGGCCTTGGGTCCTGATGGAAATTGTGCTGCCGATAGGCACTACACGAAGTGGGATGCACAATGAAACTAAGTTGTTCTCCCTGGGCTAAAGATAACTGATCATGCTGGGCCTGGTGGCACACGCCTGTAATCTCAGTGACTCAAGAGGCTAAGATAAGGCAGGAGAATTCCAAGTTTGAGACCAGGCTCAGCAACTTAGAGAGACCCTGTCTCAAAATAAAAAATAAAAAAACTGGGGGGATGTAGCTTAGTGGTAAAGCATCCCTGGGTTTAATCCCCAGTAACAAAACCAAAAACAAATAAAAAATAAAAACTGAGCATACAGCACCAACAGATGTTACAGGCTGTAGCTTCATCTGTGTGGGTAGCAGAATTTCACATAAGGTCCCTGGTCTCTGCCCCAGACACACACCAGAATTTCTTTGGGTCCTTGTTCATATATAATGTTCTTATGAATACTCACATAGGAAAATAGGTTAATGTGAATACTTTTTTTTTTTTTTTTTTTTTTTTTTTTTTAAATTTTATTTTTATTTTTTTTTTTTTTTAAGAGAGAGAGAGAGAGAATTTTTTTTTTTTTTAATATTTATTTTTTAGTTTTCGTTGGACACAACATCTTTGTTTGTATGTGGTGCTGAGGATCGAACCCGGGCTGCTGGCATGCCAGGCGAGCGCGCTACGGCTTGAGCCACATCCCCAGCCAATGTGAATACTTTTTTACATCATTTCAAATTAACTATGTTCTTAGAATGCAGCAGAATTCAATGCTGGTTTGGAGAAACTATAATACACACTTTGCATACACTATGTATCTGGATATAAATAAAACTGTCTTTCAGTTCTATACAGCTCCCCTCCATTTACTAGAACAAAGATACTAACCTCTTTTGTCATTAGGCTCAAGGTCTCCTCTGGATACTGTTCTATAATCTGAAGCAATCTAGGAAACTTCAGCCTTGCTTCAGTGGAATTTAATTTTAAGGCTTTCAACATTTTCTCCACCACAATTGCTGGATACTCCTGCAGTTCTACAGAATCAATAACTATCAAGGACAACAAAGAGGAAAACAATGGTCAATATATCACTTATGCATAAACTGCAAATGTAACAAATCATTATCTTTTATCTTTTTGTCTTTTATTTTTTAGTATGTCATTCTTTCCTGAACAACCATCTTATTTATTTATTTTTTTCTTTTTCCTATGGTGCTGGGAATTGACTCCATGCATGCTAGGCAACTGCTCTACACTGAGCTGTATCTCTGCCTAGAAAAACCACTTTAGATGAACAAACAGTTGACGTATTTTTGAGTCTGTATCTGGCAGGAGAATTCTTCCATTAGTGTACCCATTTTGCATGAAGAATTGTTTCCATCCTGAACTGAGTATATAAGGGGTAGTTGCTGGATACTGAATTTATTCCAAGAGCAACAGGCAGGCCATGTGGGATAATACAAACTGCAAGCAAAATAGGAAAAGTATAAATAGCAAATGGGGAAATATGGAAGGCAGCTTGGCTCCATTTAAATGCTTTAAGAAGATATCAGTTGCATGGAAATGGAAGGAGACCCTCATTGTTATACAAAATTACATATAAGAGGTTGTGAGGGGAATGGGGGAAAAAACAAGGAGAGAAATGAATTACAGTAGATGGGGTAGAGAGAGAAGATGGGAGGGGAGGGAGGGGGGATAGTAGAGGATAGGAAAGGCAGCAGAATACAACAGTCACTAATATGGCATCATGTAAAAACGTGGATGTGTAACTGATGTGATTCTGCAATCTGTATTTGGGGTAAAAATGGGAGTACATAACCCACTTGAATCTAACGTATGAAATATGATATGTCAAGAGCTTTGTAATGTTTTGAACAACCAATAAAAAAAAAAAAAAAGAAGATATCAGATGCCAGGTTGTGGAGGCACATGCCTGGAATTCCAGTAACTTGGGAGGTGAAGACAGGAGGATCACAATTCAAGGCCAGCCTCCGCAAGTTAGTGAGGTCCTCAACTTGGTGAAATTCTGTTTCAAAATAAAAAATAAAAAGGTCTGGGGATGTAGATCAGTGGTAAAGTTCAATTCCCAGTGCTAAAAAAAAAAAAAAGAAGGCGGCGGCATCAGACACTTCTGAAAATATCTGTCTTTTGGAAGCAAATAAATGGGAAATCAAGTTATCTACAAAATTCTTAAGACTGGGCTGGGGCTGTGGCTCAGTGGCAGAGTGCTTGCCTAGCACGTGTGAGGCACTGGGTTCAATCCCTGGCACCACACAAAAATAAACAAATAAAATAAAGGCATGTTGTCCATCTACATCTACAAAAAGAAAAATTTTAAAAAGACGATGACTTTATGCTGACATAATGGCACACTAACTTGTTTTCTTTTTTCGTGGTTCACCTGATGCATTCTCTTCTGCCTTGTGAAGTTGTTGGTCACAGAAATTCACCAGCGTCATATAAGAATCAATCACCCCGGCTGCAGGCCCCTGGCCCCAGGAGAATGACTGGGTCTCCTCAGCTGTCCTTACGGCCTTGGAGAGGTGAAGGAATGCTCTCTGGTACAGACCCATGACCACCTGAAATTCAGAGGATGCCTAACTGAATGAATAGCTCCAAAATAACAGTGAAAATCTGGGAGCAATGGCATAGACCTGTAGTCCTAGGTCTTGGCATGCTGGTCGCAAGAGGATCCTTGAGATGGGGAGTTTGAACCCAGCCTACTCAACATAGTGAGACACCCCCACCCAACCCTTGTCTCAAAATACATAAATAACAGTGAAAGCTATGTTCACCAGAAAAAGGGTGTTTCTGCCATAGTGATGAGGAAGTATGTAATCCCAATAAAATCCTGAGCATATAACAACAACCAGAAAAAAAAAAAAAGAACATGCCAAGTGGGGGCCAGACAGTTTATGAGCCACACAGAGCTGAATCAGGTCAAACTCACTGTGCAGCTCTGTCAGGAATTTATGAAACATATGGAAACTGCGCATTGTGCTCAATGTCCTGCAAAGATACTTGTAACATCTAAAGGCTACTTGAATGAAGTGAGGTAGAACACAGTGGGACGAGAAGGTGGCTGGTAACTGTCTGAAAAAAGCTAAGCAGAGCAGGCACTAAATTAAAAAAAGTGGAAAAGCCTGTTTTGTCCTACAAGCTAGTGGAAACATTTGAATGGCCGCTGGTAGTAAAATTTAATTAACAAAATACACAAAAGAACTGTCCACATCAATCCAATAAAAATTTCTCATTATTAATCCTAAAAAATTAGAATCATTCAAATAAACAAGAAACACATGGAGTACATCAATGTTCCACATAAGAAACTTGGCTGTATGTAACTGTCAAACACATTTCAAAAACACAAAGTGATACCCTCATTGTTACTCTTCTGGAGCCGAAGACTGCACATGAAAGGATATGCAACACACAAACAAGAAACATCCTCCCTTCCCGTTTTCATTACCCTCTCTACATTCTCTGCACTGGATCCAGAAAGCTCCAAGATCCGCTTTGCTTTGCTCTCCCCGATGTCAGCAAGGCAGGCTGGCTCACTGCTGAGAGCGTTAGCCATGATTCTGCAGGTTGTTCCCAAGAGAATGTTCTGATCACAGGAAGCCAGACTATTTCTGCTTAAGTAGCTTGATGTGCTGTTCTCGTCTGTTGGATTTTTTTTTTTAAAAGTTATTTTTTTCTGAAGTAAATGAATACCATAAATTAAAAAGAAGAAATTCACAGTGTATAAAAGTTGTTTTTTCTATTAAGAAATTAATTAAAATAAATCTTGGAAATACAAGAAATAATAGTGAAATAATAGCTTCAAATAGTGGTTGAAGAATTTCTTAAACTTGCTTATTAATGGAAAATGTTCTTTGTTATAAGTAACTGTACTGATGCCCAGAGAGGCTTAGGCAATTAAAACTAGGAATTAACCTTTTATTCAAGCATCACCATTTGCATCTTGTTAAACTGCCTAAAACATTTTCTGTCCAAGAATCAACTGGAGAGAATAATCCTCTTGGTACTTTACTGAGGCTGCTGCTCTGGCACAATTTTTTAGGCACTCTGTCTTGCAGCAGAGTTAAATGGTATTGCTACCTACACCCCTGAGCTTGCTGCAGGGAAGAAGTATCGGACCCAAACTATACTGAGAGAGTTTTACTCCTCTAAGGCTTAAAAGTTACGTTATTGTGAAAAGAGAAACTTAAGAAGAAAAAATGCTTTTCATGTTTAATATTCTACATCTCATGTGTAAACTTTTAAGTTGTCAAAATAATTAAACTACTAGATGACACATACACACACAAATTTGTGTGTGTGTGTGTATGATATACTGGTACCAGGAATTGAACTCAAGGATGCTTAACCACTGAGCCTCATCTCCAGTCTTTTTAATATTTTATCTAAAGACAGATTCTCATTCAGTTGCTTAGGGCCTTGCTAAGTTGCTACGGTTTGCTTTGAACTCGAGAGCCTCCTGCCTCAGCCTCCTGAGGTGCTGGGATTACAGGTGTGCACCACCATGCCCTGCTAGACTTATAATTTGATCAAGTGTTAAAGAAAAACTTAAAAAAAATAAAATTTGCAGTTTTTTATATATATAAAGAAATAAAAGCTCCAAATGTCATACTGAAAAACATTAGCATACAAAGCTCCCTAGCTCCAAATCTTTTGCTCAGTTCCCAAGGAAGTGACATAATTCTATTTGGCACCCTTTCTGCCTCTACTGAAGTTACTAAAAATATTTAACTTCCATATGTTAGATGAAGCAGCACATAGAATAGTTTTTGTTTGAAAACACACAAGATAAAATATAAAATAGCATTAAAAAATTACATGGACAAAAGCCAACTAATTACCCAAGAGAGAGACAGTTTTCAACACGGTGAGTATCTGCTCAGGAGGGGTCTGGGTGTGGCTCCGGCAGTGGCTCAGCCGGCAGTAGCTGTGCACCCACTTCACCTGCCAGTTATCTCTAGTTTTTGACTCTTTATGCAGCTCCTTCAGTAGTTTCATGGCAAGTGAGAAATTGTTCTATATTAATAGAAGAAAAAGAAAGAAAGTGGTGTGATGATATATAGGTGGGCAGTTCCAAAAGAAGTTTCTACTTGGCCTATTGTTTTTTTTTTACATGATACAAGCCACTTGGGAGCAGTTATCCATTTCCTTAGTTGTAGATACCTTCTTTTTTAAAAAAATCACTGGATATAATGCACATTTTTAAAAAAATAATGCACTTTTTTTGTGGGGAGGGTACCAGGGATTGAACTCAGGGGCACTCGACCACTGAGCCACATCCCCAGCCCTATTTTGTATTTTATTTAGACACAGGATTTCACTGAGTTGCTTAGCGCCTTCCTTTTTCTGAGGCTGTTTTTTTTTTTTTTTTAATTTAATTGATTTTTTTCATAACTTTGAATATAAAGTATGTCCATGCCAATTCATGTCTTTATACATGTACTTTTTTTTGCATTACTATTCTTATTACACATATATACCATAATTTTTCTTTTTTTTTCTTTTTTATGTTTATTTATTTATTTTTTATTGGTTGTTCAAAACATTACAAAGCTCTTGACATCATATTTCATACATTAGATTCAAGTGGGTTATGAACTCCCATTTTTACCCCAAATACAGATTGCAGAATCACATTGGTTACACATCCACATATACCATTTTTCATGTCTGTTTGTATATAAAGTATGTTGACACCCAATTCGTGTCTTCATACATGTACTTTGGACTGAGGCTGGTTTTGAACTTGCAATTCTCCTGTATCAGCCTCCAGAGCCACTGGGATTATAGGCATGAGCCATCACGCCCAGCCTTAATAATGCACATTTAAAGATGACATTTCAGTAATGTTTTTACTGTGTTTACAAAGGTAGGTAATGTTTTCATCACCATCTAATTCCAGAAAATCTTCATCAGCCTAAAGAAAAATTGCCAATGGCCCTCCCATTCTCCCTAGCCACTGGCAACCACTAATCCCCTTTCTCACTAATATGGATTGCTTATTATGGATATTTCATAACAAAAGGTATCAGAAAGTGTGGTGATTTTGTGTCTGACTTCTTTCACTTAGCATAACATTTTCCAGGTTCATCCATGTTGTAGCATCTGTCAGTTCTTCATTCTTCTTTATGGATGAATAATGTTCTACTGCATGGACACACATTTTATTCATCCATTCATCTGCTAATGAACATGTGTGTTGTGTCTACCATTCCAGCTAATTTTAATAATGCCACCATGAATAACTGTACAACTTACTGCATGGGCCTGTACTTTCATTTCTTTTGTATATTTGCTTAGGAGTGGAACTGTTAGGTTGTATGGTATTCTATGAAATTGCCAGACTATTTTCCACAGCAGATACAGCATTTTATATTCTCATCAAAAATGCACAAGGGTACTAGTTTTTCTATTTCCTCACCAGCACTTCTCTTTTTGATGCTAGCCATTCTAGTGGGTGTGAAGTGGTACCTCATTGTATTTTTTATTTGCACTGCCCTAATAACTAATGATGTTGAGTATCTTTTCATGTGTTTTTTGTCCACTTGCATATCTTTTTGTTGAAATGTCTATTCAAATCACTTGACTATTTTTTAATTGGGTTGTTTGACTTCCTGCTCAGTTGTGCAATGTTACTTATGTATGCTGAATTCCAGTCTTGCTAAATGGCTTAGGGCATGTCTAAGTTGCCTAGGTTGGCCTCAAAACTTGTGATCCTCCTGTGTCTGCCTCCCAAGTCATTGGGATTACAGGTATGCACCATGGCACACCTGTTTCCCATCCCTATTGCATTTTAAGATAGAGTCTTGTGAAATTGCTGAGACTGGCAATTGCTGTGATCCTCCTGCCTCAGCCTCCCAAGCTGCTGGGATTACAGTTGTGTGCAGCAGTACTCAGCTTTGTTTGCTTTCCAAATAACAGATAGTAAACATTTTGAGATGATTAACAGAAATGTAATAAACTTCAGCAATTTCTGGACAGTTTTAATTAAGTGTTTCTTGGCTTGCTTGCTTGTTTTTTGTGAAGTGAGGATAGAATATACCTACATTCATTCATTCATTTATTTTTGCAGGAGTAGGGATAGAACCAGGGCCTCATAAATGGTACGTGTAAGCTTTACCATTGAGCTACAATTTAATTTCTTATAAGAAAAAAAAAAACTATAATAACTATTAGCAATTATTTTTAAGCTTCAGATTTTAAAGAAACACTAAGAAAAGAGATAACACTGGAAACTCTCACGTCACCAGAGAGGAACATAGGATGGATACCCACCTGCTTCCGTGCACTTTCTATCATTTTCATTTTCATGGAAAACCTGCAGTTCTTGATTAGGAAACCAACACTTTCCTCGGGCCTGCTCACTTCCCTCTTGTCACTGGAATACTCATCTTCATCCACACTCATACTGGTATCATCTGATACAGGAACCAGTTTCTCCTCTATTTTGCTGAGAAAGAAACATCTACACAAAACAAAGAAGATTGAGACTTGAAGTCAGAGACTTGTGACAGGAATATTTGACCTTCAGGACTGGAAAGCACTCACAGAAGAAAATTCTACTGGTATTACAGTTTTGTTCACATGAAGACTGTAAATGTACACTCGAGGGACTGGATGTACATTTCATTTTAATCCACCAAGTCTTGAAAGATCTCCAATGATATTTCAATAGAATTTTCCAGATATCACTTAGTGCTCTGTTTCCACAAAATAAGGCATTTAAACTCATAATTGTCTCTCTAAATGAATGGGTAATATACCTTATGCTGGCTCAGGAGCCATTCCTCCCCACCCCCACCCCTTATGTCTTCAATCTAAGGTTCTACACTCAAAGGCAAAAATATAAGGGAAAAAACAGGTTATGATCAATCACTAGAACTTTGAAAGATAATCCTGGGTTGATACCATGTATAAATAAAAATAATCATACTTATATCTCACATATGACTTTGTTTAAGTGACTCAATTTTTATTAATATTAGCAACACTAACAAAGCGCCTTAAGATACAAATTTCATTCCTCATCCATAATCAAATAACTTTCTGCTTCATCCAGGTACCAGGCAACATACTTCACATGTATCTGTTCCTGTTCTCACCATAGTGCTCTGTGTTCCTAGACCCCAAAATAACACACACTGCCCGCCCCCAGGAGGTGCTACTGTTTTATAAAACAAACAAGTAAAAAGTGATACAAAATGGGTATCTGACAAATATTTGAATAATGAGTTAATGAATGAATACATAAATGTTACCTATCAATAGGAATAAAGTGGGCTGAGACCATAGAAGGAGGCAGACGGGTGGTAAAGAAGGTGGCTGCATGTTCACAGGTGAGGTAGATTCTTGACTGTGAAGAATGTACCTGATTTTAGGTTGCAGATTTGGCAGAGAGTCCCAGACAGAGAAAAAAAATTAAACAAAGGCAGAGCAAAGCTATACTAAGTGGGGCAGAGCAGAGCTATACTAAGTGGCATGTTTTTATATCAACTCAGGAAGAACGGTATTTAGAAGAGAACCAATTTTTTAAAAGCAATGAAATCTGGCTCCGATACCGCACTGTATGCCCCCTGCAGTCCATTCCTCTGCTGTATCAACCAAAAATTCTGGATAAAATACAAAACCCAATTCCTAGAGAACTAAGAGTAAATAAAAGATTCTGGCTGTATGTACAGGGAATCAAAAGTGGAAGAAGGTTCTGCCATTGGGATGAGTTTTCTGCTGCTTCTTTTTTTTCTGGTTTTCCAATGTAGGGAACCTCTTCTGTTGTGGAGTGGTATAGCAGCTCATGTGAGAGTGCAGAGATTCTTAAGAAAACCCCGTGCACAGAGAAACCTGGAAAAGAGCCCAGGCAGACCAAAGAGTGCAGGGGGGATCCTGGAGGGAAGAAGATAGAGAAGGGACTTTTCATTGTGTACATGAACCCACACAGGTCTCAGCCTACCCCTGAGGTATGCACATGCAGGATGACTCAAAACATTATAGAGAAAGTTTAAAGAGGACTGAGATTTGAACCTAGATAGAGCCTACTATCCAAATGGAATTGGGTTGATTACCTGCCACAGATTTATACAAGAAGCCAGAGTCTACACATGAGAATATTCATGATTTCTAAGACATAATCAAAATTAATTGATAAAAAGTACAGGAAACTGTATTGATTTTCAGTGGAAAAGATAGTCAACAGATGTCAACCCCTAAATGATCATATAAGAACCATAAAGCAGCTGTTTTAGATATGCTCCAAGGTTAAAAAACAAAACAAAACAAACCCCACAGGAAATTTAAAAAAGTGGGTATCTCAGCAGAGAAAGAAAAAACATGAAGAGAATCAAATTAAAATTTAAAAATTAAATTATAAAATACCTGAAATAAAATATTCACAAATAGACTTAACTAAGGAATGAAAAAGAGGAAAGCAACAGCACATTTGAAGATGGTTCAATAGAAATGATGTAATCTGAAGACAACTGAATAAAAAAGAAAAGAGACCAGGGTACTTAAGAATAGTACCAAAGTGTCTGATATTATGTATAGGTGGAAGCCCATAAAGAAAGAAAAAATTGGGGCAAAAGATACTTTAAGAAACCATGACAAAAATATTCCCTGTTCATGGATAGGCAGAACTAACATCATCAAAATGGCGACATTACCAAAACTTCTCTGTAGGTTTAATGCAATGCCAATCAAAATCCCAACGGCATTTCTTGTAGAAATAGAGAAAGCAATCATGAAATTCATATGGAAAAATAAAAGACCCAGAATAGCAAAAGCAATTCTAAGCAGGAAGTGTGAATCAGGCGGTATAGCGATACCAGACTTCAAACTATACTACAGAGCAATACTAACAAAAACAGCATGGTACTGGTACCAAAACAGGTGGGTGGACCAATGGTACAGAATAGAGGATACAGAGACCAATCCACAAAATTATAATTATCTTATATTTGACAAAGGGGCTAAAAGCATGCAATGGAGGAAGGATAGCATCTTCAACAAATGGTGCTGGGAAAACTGGAAATCCATATGCAACAAAATGAAACTGAATCCCTTTCTCTCGCCATGCACAAAAGTTAACTCAAAATGGATCAAGGACCTTGATATCAAAACAGAGACTCTGTGTCTGACAGAAGAAAAAGGTGGCTCCAATCTACATATTGTGGGGTCAGGCTCCAAATTCCTTAATAGGACACCCATAGCACAAGAGTTAAAAACAAGAATCAACAAATGGGACTTACTCAAACTAAAAAGTTTTTTTCTCAGCAAGAGAAACAATAAGAGAGGTAAATAGGGAGCCTACATTCTGGGAACAAATTTTTACTCCTCATACTTCAGATAGAGCCCTAATATCCAGAGTATACAAAGAACTCAAAAAATTAAACATTAAGAAAACAAATAAACCAATCAACAAATGGGCCAAGGACCTGAACGGACACTTCTCAGAGGAGGACATACAATCAATCAACAAGTACATGAAAAAATGCTCACCATCTCTAGCAGTCAGAGAAATGCAAATCAAAACCACCCTAAGATACCATCTCACTCCAGTAAGAGTGGCAGCCATTATGAAGTCAAACAACAACAAGTGCTGGCGAGGATGTGGGGAAAAGGGTACACTTGTACATTGCTGGTGGGACTGCAAATTGGTGCGGCCAATTTGGAAAGCAGTATGGAGATTCCTGGGAAAGCTGGGAATGGAACCACCATTTGACCCAGCTATCGCCCTTCTCGGACTATTCCCTGAGGATCTTAAAAGAGCATACTATAGGGATACTGCTACATCGATGTTCATAGCAGCACAATTCACAATAGCAAGACTGTGGAACCAACCTAGATGCCCTTCAATAGATGAATGGATTAAAAAATGTGGCATTTATACACAATGGAGTATTACTCAGCACTAAAAAAATGACAAAATCATGGCATTTGCAGGGAAATGGATGGCATTAGAGCAGATTATGCTAAGTGAAGCTAGCCAATCCCTAAAAAACAAATGCCAAATGTCTTCTTTGATATAAGGAGGGCAACTAAGAACAGAGCAGGGAGGAAGAGCATGAGAAGAAGATTAACATTAAACAGGGACGAGAGGGGGGAGCGAAAGGGAGAGAGGAGGGAAACTGCATGGTAAAGGAAGGAGATCCTCATTGTTATACAAAATTACATACAAGAGGAAGTGAGGGGAAAGGGGAAAAAAACAAGGGGGAGAAATGAATTACAGTAGATGGGGTAGAGAGAGAAGATGGGAGGGGAGGGGGGATAGTAGAGGATAGGAAAGGCAGCAGAATACAACAGACACTAGTATGGCAATATGTAAATCAGTGGATGTGTAACCGATGTGATTCTGCAATCTGTATACAGGGTAAAAATGGGAGTTCATAATCCGCTTGAATCAAATGAATGAAATATGATATGTCAAGAGCTTTGTAATGTTTTGAACAACTAATGAAAAAAAAAAAAAAGAAATAAACCATGACAGAAAATTTCCAAAATTTGGTGATATAAACATACAGATTCAAGAACCTCAGCAAACTGAAGTAGAATAAAATCAAAGAATACTACACCTAAAAACATAATCAACCTGTGGATAACCAATTCTTTTTTTTTTTTAATTGGTTGTTCAAAACATTACAAAGCTCTTGACATATCATCTTTCATACATTTGACTCAAGTGAGTTATGAACTCCCATTTTTACCCCAAATACAAATTGCAGAATCACATCAGTTACACATTCACAATTTTTACATAATGCCATATTAGTGACTGTTGTATTCTGCTGCCTTTCCTATCCTCTACTATCCACCCTCCCCTCCCCTCCCATCTTCCCTCTCTACCTCATCTGCTGTTGTTCAGTTCTCTCCCTTCCCCCCCCTTTCCCCTCACAACCTCTTATATGTAATTTTGTGTAACATTGAGGGTCTCCTACCATTTCCATATGCTTTCCCTTCTCTCTCCCTTTCTCTCCCCCCACTCATCTTTGTTTAATGTTAATCTTTTCCTCATGCTCTTCCTCCCTGTTCTGTTCTTAGTTGCTCTCCTTATATCAAAGAAGACATTTGGCATTTGTTTTTTAAGGATTGACTAGCTTCACTTAGCATAATCTGCTCTAATGCCATCCATTTCCCTGCAAATTCTATGATTTTGTCATTTTTTAGTGCTGTGTAATACTCCATTGTGTATTGATGCCACATTTTTTTTATCCATTCGTCTATTGAAGGGCATCTAGGTTGGTTCCACAGTCTAGCTATTGTGAATGTGCCGCTATGATCATTGATGTGGCAGTATCCCTATAGTGAGCTCTTTTAAGATCCTCAGGGAATAGTCCAAGAAGGGCAATAGCTGGGTCAAATGGTGGTTCCATTCCCAGCTTTCCTAGGAATCTCCATACTGCTTTCCAAATTGGCTGCACCAATCTGCAGTCCCACCAGCAATGTACAAGTGTACCCTTTTCCCCACATCCTCGCCAGCACTTGTTGTTGTTTGACTTCCTAATGGCTGCCACTCTTACTGGAGTGAGATGGTATCTTAGGGTGGTTTTGATTTGCATTTCTCTGACTGCTAGAGATGGTGAGCATTTTTTCATGTGCTTGTTGATTGATTGTATGTCCTCCTCTGAGAAGTGTCTGTTCAGGTCCTTGGCCCATTTGTTGATTGGGTTGTTTGTTCTCTTATTGTTTGATTTTTTGAGTTCTTTGTATACTCTGGATATTAGGGCTCTATCTGAAGTGTGAGGGGTAAAAATTTGTTCCCAGGATGTAGGCTCCCTATTTACCTCTCTTATTGTTTCCCTTGCTGAGGAAAATCTTTTTAGTTTAAGTAAGTCCCATTTGTTGATTCTAGTTATTAACTCTTGTGCTATGGGTGTCCTATTGAGGAACTTGGAGCCCGACCCCACAGTACGTAGATCGTAGCCAACTTTTTCTTCTATCAGATGCCGTGTCTCTGATTTGATATCTAGATCCTTGATCCATTTTGAGTTAACTTTTGTGCATGGCGAGAGAAAGGGATTCAGTTTCATTTTGTTGCATATGGATTTCCAGTTTTCCCAGCACCATTTGTTGAAGATGCTATCCTTCCTCCATTGCATGCTTTTAGCTCCTTTATCAAATATAAGAAAGTTGTAATTTTGTGGATTGGTTTCTGTGTCCTCTATTCTGTACCATTGGTCCACCTGCCTGTTTTGGTACCAGTACCATGCTGTTTTTGTTACTATTGCTCTGTCGTATAGTTTGAACTCTGGTATCGCTATACCTCCAGATTCACACTTCCTGCTTAGAATTGCTTTTGCTATTCTGGGTCTTTTGTTTTTCCATATGAATTTCATGATTGCTTTATCTATTTCTACAAGAAATGCCGTTGGGATTTTGAAAAAAAAAAAGTCTCGAAAGCAGCCAGAAAAGCAGGTCACATTACATCAGAGGAAGGATTGTTTTAATAACCTTGACTATGTCTTCAGAAACATGGACACCAAAAGTGACTGCTGAGGAGAGAGTGAACCCACTCAAATTGACATCCAGAGAAAATGTTCTCCAGGAATGACAGTGAAATAAACAAAAATACATTTACACAAAGGAAAACTAAGAGAATTTATCAAAGATCAAATTTCAAGCTGAAGGAAAATGATACTAGAGGAAAATCTGGATCCTTATGAACAAAGGATGAGCATCAGAAATGGTAAGTATAGTTATGGTTTGGATGTGAGGTGTCCCCCAAAAGCTCAAGTGAAATAATGCAAGAAGATTCAGGGGAGGAATGATTGGGTTGTGAATTAACCCCCCTGATAGAAATTAACTGAGTGGTATCTGAAGCAGTAAGGTATTGCTGGAGGAGGTGGGAATTGGGGCATGGCTTGGGGGTATATATTTCTATCTGGTCCATGGAGACCTCTCTTTCTGATCATCATGTGAGCTGCTTCCTTCAGCCACACTCTTTTGCCATCATGTTCCGCCTCATCTTGAGCACTGAGGAATGGAGCTGGCCTTCTATTGACTAAGACCTCTGAAACTGTGAGGCCTCAAATAAACTTTTCCTCCTCTACAATTGTTCTGGTTGGGTCTTTTAGCCACAGCAGTGATAAAGTTGACCAAAACAAGTATAAAAACACTTTTTCCTCTTTTTATTTTATTTTGAGATAGGGTCTTCCTAAGTTGCTAAAACTGGCCTCAAATTTAGATACTATTCCTGGCTTCAACCCCCCAAGTCAGTGGGATTACAGATATAATTACCACCATGCCCAGCGTGCCTCATACATTCTTTAAAATATGCATGACTGTTTTAAGCAAAAATATGTTATTTTGGCAAGGCCTTAAGCAACTCAGGAGAAATGTGGCTCAGTGATTAAGTGCCCCTGGTTCAATCCCTGGTACCCACCCCCCCCCCAAAAAAAAATCTGGTGGCATTTTCATTATATATATACATATATACACACACACATATATGCATATATACATATATATATATATATAAAGCACACACATCAATATATTATTTTGTAATGCTAAAAGAGGTATTTTATCAGGAAGATGAAAGTGTATGTGCCTAGTAACAGAATTTAAAGTACAATAAGTAAAAACAGAATTAAAGGGAGAAATAGAATTCCACAATCATAATAGGTTCTGACATCTGTATTTCAGTAGCTGATAAAACTAGGCAAAAAATATCAACCTGTTTATATTGACATGACAGTTTGATATTATGGAAAGATATCAATCAATCAAACAAGGAATAGAAAAGAACATCCAATTTCAGACCCATGCATATATGATCAACTGATTTTCAAAAAAAGGTGCCAAGGCAATTCAATTATGGGGGGGAAAAGACTTTTGAACAAAAGGGGGAAAAAACCTAGTTATGAAAATGAAAAGAATTAACTAACATCCCTACCTTACACCATCTACAAAAATTAACTTCCAATGGATCTTAGTCCTAAATGCAAACACAGAAACCATAACATTTCTAGAAGAAAATAGGAGAAAAGCTTTGTAAGATAAGCTAGGAGTATCAGCTTGCTGGGGCTTCTGTGGGCCAAATCTGGGATAATTTGAACCTGAAATAAGGACAATAATGGGTTGTATCCCATAAAATAAAACTAGAACCATGAGTATATATTGATAAATTTTGAAAAATATCAAAAGTATTTATTTTTAAAAATGAATTAAAAAATGGGGAGAAGGAAAACTTTGTCTTACAATAAGATATAAACTGACAGTCAGGGAATAAGTGGTGAACTCAGAAATCATTTCACAACCATCAACTGAATGAGCCAAGGGTCATCCGCAGACATGAAACATAGAGGGGTTAAGTCTCAGAGGAGACAGGACATAATGCATCTCCAAGCATCTCCCACATTAGTTTCTGACTGGTTGCAAAGAAAAATAAATGGCATTAGACAAACAAAATAAATGTTTTCTGTAAAGATTAGTCAAAATGACTGTTACCAGAAAAAGGCAAATGGATACTGTGTGCCCCCACATGTGATGTGACAGCCTAAGAAGAAGTGAAGTGTGTTCTGGCCAGGGATAGATCACTCAAATCTCATCATGAGAAAGCATAAAGCAAACATTCCTCCAAAGTGTCAGTGTCATGAAAGACAAAAGCAAGGATGAGGAATTGTTTCAGATTAAAGGAGAGTAAAAAGATACGACTAAATGCAGTCCATGACTGGATTCTGTCCTTAGAAGGGTAGAAAATGCTTCAGAGGACGTTAATGGGACAAAACTGAAATCGAGCTGTAGATTAAAAATGAAAGCGATGAAGTTCATTACTGTACTTAAGAGAATACTCTTAAGAAATACACACTGATAGAAAGAGATAAGAGGACTTGATGCGTGTAACTTACATGCAAATGGTTCAGAAAATAAATAAATATGTATGAATAGAAGAAAAAATAAAAAGTTAACATTAAAAAAATGTCAAAGTTTTCTCTTTTTTAAATTGTTCAATCTGCGAAAAAGGTACACAGGAGAGTTCTGCTTTTCTTGCAACTTTGCACCAATAAAAACTTGTCACACAAAAAGAGTAGTAGTAATAGTAGAGGAAATAATGGAAGGACACAACAGCTGGGGTCAGAGTCCTTGAGTCCTATTTCCTATGGACACGGCACAAATAATGTATAACCTCTCTGCCTCTATTCCCTTCTCCCTGAGTACACAGCAAGTATCTACCTTCCAGGTCCCACAGGGTTGATAAGGGTAAATGAGGACATGTAACTTCAGACCTGGGAAAGTGAATACAACTATATCAGTGAGTGGGAAAGTAGGAGGTAGGAGTGTCAAAAAAAACATGGTTTAATAACAGAACAATAAAACATCAGTGCCCAGCAGTCTTCTTTGCTATTACCCCACTATCTAAAAGTCAGTCATGAGAGAACAGCAGATGCAGGGCCGCCCCCACCACCCCCATCTTCTCTCCCTGCCAGGGCATATTCATCATCAACCAGCAGCACCCCAATGCCTACACAGAGAGTGGGAAGCAATCCCCTAACAGAGGCAAGTGGGGACAAAGGACACACTACAGGCCTGGTAAACTTAGTCAGAACAATTTGTGAAGGCATGATGAAAAAGAGCTACTCTAGGCTCAAGCCCCATATTTTTCTAAGTACAATTTAGAAGAAGAACCATTCTGGAAATTCTGGAAAAGAATCCACATTTGGGCTGGGATTGTGGCTCAGCAGTAGAGCACTTGCCTTGCGCGTACGCCTCCGAGGCCCTGGGTTTGATCCTCTGCACCACATAAAAATAAATAAATAAAATAAAGGTATTTGTGTCCAACTACAACTAAAAGATAAATATTAAACAAACAAACAAACAAACCCACATTTGACTCCAAAGAATATTTTACCGATTTGTGATGATGTCATCCCAGATGTTCATGGGGTCCATTTTAACATCTGGATATCTGTTTGTCCAGGTTTTTAGAAGTCTCTGAAGGGGGACCTGAGATGATAAATTATCTAAAAATAATATTAGAAAATGATTATACCCACAGTTCAATGACAAGACCAATTGACAGAGTGGAGTTATCGTTGCTAAACAGAAAATTCAAATTTCATGTTCAAATTTTAAAAAGGGACTTATCTTTATTTCATAAAAGGAACACAAATCATTCTACTAAATCTAATACATTTTGACACTAAAACTCAATTACTTTCAAGATACATAAAAAAGACAGAAGTAAACATATACAAAATATCTTTATATTTACTACAGGGCCACTATCCTTTATCTGCAATTCCAAAATCTAAAAAGCACTAAAATCTGAAAAGGTTTTCATAGACTTGTAGTAAATTTTCTTGAAGGCAAAATTGATCTAAATTGGCACAAAGATATTTACAGATTTTGTTTATATCATTAACAGGATTATTTACAATGTAGTCTGGAGACTCATCACTGTTCTTAATTAGGGAATACTGTCCTAGCCCTGGAAAATTTGTAGGGAACACTTCTCATATTTAAAACAACCTAGCCTTGACACTCTCAGAAAAGAAATTCACTCTAATCCTCACAAAATTGAAATTTCACATTGTTAATTTTTTGTTTAGAACTTTAGTTTTCTCTTTCTGTGACTGGAAAGCAATGGTTAGGGATATGAGCTTAATTTACATGGTCCTGGGTTCTCCACTTTCATTTATTACTGTATATAAGCCATTTAAATTCTCTAGGGCTCTACAAAATAAGGAAAAAACAACCTTAAGGTAATACAGATAAAGAGATTAATTTAGTTCTTAGACAGTAGAAAACAATAAATATATGTACCTGAAAAATATTTCTCCAAATTTAAATGGAACAATAAGGTAGATAGATATAAAAACCAATTTTTTGTTAGTACCCTCAAACACTTTTCATAATTATTTTTAATAATTTAAAAAAACAAAAATAAACATTTATAACTAAAATATTTCACCTTTGAAAACACGTACTCTCACAGGCACTGGGATAAAATCCACTATTAGCAGGACATAGGCCTTCATGACTGGTCAATTTCTCATCCAGTCCCTCTCGCCCTTGGGCTGATCTTCCTTTGACCATTCAGGAAACTCCTCTATCCACACTCCACTTGAACCTCTCCTCCAAGAGCTTCCTACCAGGCTAGGCCCTACCACTTGGGTCCACACCTACTTATCCTTGGAATCATCCTTGGCTTTCCATCCCCAGTGTATAGAATAATGCTTGACTGTTTAAAAATACTTATATCACCTCAAAATGTGTACATGTAGAACAAACTCAAGGCTGTTCCAACCAATGCAGTAAGAAACATGTACTTCTACTAAGAAAAACAAAACTACCACAACAAACTCTTCCATAATTAGAAAAAGGAAAAAAAGGCTAAAAAAATTACCTTGTTTAGTTATAAAACTGATGAACTCCTGAATTTCTGTTAAAGCTTGTACAGACTGTAACTTGGTGAGTCTACTTCTGTGTAAGAGGACATCAATACTAGAATAATTCTAGGAAAAAAAAAGGCATTTACCATTGTCATACACCAGTTTACCACTTACAACTTCTAACACAGTCCTCTGAATGTGAAATACAGAAACTGTCCTATAAATACACTAGTTACCCAGTGTGTCCCAGAGTGCTTAACAATGAGGTCAGACACAATTAACAAATGGTTTAAATTTTTTTTTCTATTGCAATTTAGGTTTTTAATCACATTTTGATTAAACAAAACCAATAAAATCACTATAACCAGGCTTTCTATATTTTTACCAGTTGTTTTTTATTTTTCTTTCTCGTGTTAAGGACACTGAACACATGCTCTACCATGAAGCTATACCCCGAGTCAAATAAATTTTTTTCTTTCATTTTTTTTTAATCTTTTTATCCCCTAGTGCTGGGAAATTGAACCTAGGACCTCACATGTGCTAAATGTTGTTGAAAGACCCTGTTATAAGTAGACAACTGTCTCACAAATGAAACAGTTCACAACTGTGAGTTGTGAAAAAATCTCAGAAACACAAGAAGGAAGAAGTAGCAGTAGAAAATGAACAAAGTAACCAAACTCCCATAGTTACTCCACCAAGAAAAGTCTACCTTGAAAGTTCTTTAACACTGTGAGAAAGATAAAAATCAAGGAAAAAACAATAAGTGGAACTTTCTTAAAAATGGGGGAAAAGAGGCTGGGATTGTGGCTCGGTGGTAAAGCTCTCGCCTAGCTCGTGCGAGGCCCTGGGTTCAATCCTCGGTGCCACATATAAAATAAAAAAAATAAAAATAAATGGGGGATGGAGGAGATCTAACATGGCGGCGGGTGGAGAGATCAAGTCTCTGACCTCTTCAACTGCGCGGGCATAGGGAGCCGTAAATTGTCTAAATGCTGTTTGCTCAGGATCACTAGGCAATGCTGAGCTGACGTGGATCTGGGGTGTACAGTCTGGGCCCCTCAGAACACACACACTGAGCCCGGATCGGCTGCATCCAAGCTCCGGTTCGCCTGCTTCTCGTGACTCAGCACTAACAATCCCGCTGAAATAACTGGTTGGCCCTTATGAACTTACAGAGGTAAAAGCCAACCGAGCCTTCATAGGCAGTGGCCACAGGATTGAAACGGGGATTGGGAGAGACAGGAACCACCCGTTGCATTGGTCACCCGGCAAAGGGAACGAACGGTCACCATTTGCATGGGATACCACCATGGCAGAGAAATGGCGTCACAGGCGGAGGAGATAACTGCAGTGAAACCAGCGCGACAGGTGTGTAACCCCCTAGCCATCGCTCTCCACACAGCGGGGAAACCGTAAGGGCCCCTCCCAGCTCTCCTGTGAGCGCAATAGCCAGACCGAGGGAATCAGGAGTGGCGCGGGACTCGCAGTGCGGAACTCCCGGCTACCAGTCCAACCAGTGCTGACAACTGAGGTCTCTTGCACCAGCTACCGGGGGCGTGGCTACCGGAGGGCAAGCAAATTCGCTGGGGGATCTCAGCCCCAAGCTCTACAAACTTAGGGTCTGAGGGAGGCAAACAGGGAGAGTGAGCCCAGGCGTTCATGAAAACAGGGCTCCCAGGAGCAGCAGACCTGGCGTGTAACCAGTATTGTGGTGAGCGTCACAGGTGAGCGCGGCCTGGCTTGAGGAAACACAAGACAAGGCCCTAGACACTCAGGATTGGAGAACCGCCCAGTCTAGGAGACAGAGCTGCTGCACAGAGAATGGTTCCCACCTATTGAGAGGAGAAGCTTGGCCCAGTGGGCACAGCTCCACCTACTGGAAGAGAAGTTAATAGAACTCTAGGACTGCATTTATTATTATTATCATTTTTTTTCTTTTTCTTTCATTTTCAATTTTTTTTCTTTGTTGTAGTTGTTCTTTAACTTTTTTCAATGTTTTTATTTTTTATTATTATTATTATTTTTTTAAATTTTAATTTTCATTTTTTTATTATCATTATTATTTTTGTAAAATTTTTTTTTCTTTTCTTTCTTTATTTTCTAATTTTTTTGTTTTTGTTTCTTTTGTCTTTTCATTTCTTTTCAATTTTCTTATTCCCCCTTCCTTGAATTCTACCTGCCTACTCTCATTCTCTTTAGTGACTTCTTCCCTTCCCTTCTAATATCTTTCCTCCCAAGCATCAAATAAATCTATAAGAGTAAACAGTAACTCAGCAGTCAAACAGAACAAGAAGTAACATGAGCAGCATAAAAAAGCAAGGAAGAAAAGGAGTACAAACAATGAAGGACAGCCTAAATATTCAGGAGGACCTAGAGTCAGCAGAAAAATGGTCATATAAAGAAGTCAAGGAATACCTTAGATAGATGGAATGGAACCTTAAAGAAGATACGAGACAGCAAATCCAAACAGTGAAAGAACACTTTGAAAATGAATTACATAGACAGATAAAAGAAGAAGTTAAGCATCTTTATCAGGAGATAGATTATAAAAAAAAAATCAAACAATAATTCTAGAAATGAAGGAAACGATAAACCAAATTAAAAACTCAATTGAGAGTATCACTAACAGAGTGGAGCAAGTAGAAGCCAGAACATCAGATAATGAAGACAAAATATATCATCTTGAAAAGAGCCTAGCCAACTCAGAAAGGCTGGTAAAAAATCACGAGAAAAACATCCAAGAGATATGGGATAACATAAAAAAACCAAACCTACGAGTCATCAGGACAGAGGAAGGTACAGAGATTCAAACCAAGGGAATGAGTAACCTGCTGAATGAAATAATTACAGAAAACTTTCCAGAAATAAAAAAGAGAACGGATATACAAATTTTAGATGCATACAGGACACCGAGCACACAAAATCACAGTAGACCAAGACACATTGTTATGAAGATATCCAATATACAGAACAAAGAGAAAATATTAAAAGCTACAAGAGAAAGGAGGCAGATTACATTCAGGGGTAAACCAATAAGGTTAACAACGGATTTTTCATCACAGACGCTGAAAGCGAGAAGATCCTGGAACAACGTATTTCAAACACTGAAAGACAATGGATGCCAACCAAGAATTCTGTATCCAGCAAAATTAAGCTTCAGGTACGACAACGAAATAAAAATCTTTCATGATAAACAAAAGCTAAAAGAATTTGCAGCCAGAAAACCAGCATTGCAAAGCATCTTGAGCAAAACAATACACGAGGAAGAAATGAAAAACAATAACCAAAACCATCAGTGGGAAGTGCCTCTATAAGGACAGAGGGCGAGGGGAAAGCTAACCATGGAGAAACAAACTAAATTATATATAAAAAAAAGAAGATAAATTATCAAACATGGCTGGAAGTACAAACCATATATCAATAGTAACTCTAAACGTTAATGGCTTAAACTCTCCAATAAAGCGACATAGGCTGGTAACATGGATTAAAAAAACAAATCCAACAATATGCTGCCTACAGGAGACACATCTGATTGGAAAAGACATACACAGGCTGAAGGTGAAAGGTTGGGGAAAAATATACCACGCACACGTTCCTAGTAAGCAAGCAGGGGTAGCCATCCTCATATTGAATAAAATCGACTTCAAGACTAAGTTAATCAAAAGCGATAAGGAAGGACACTATATACTGTTAAAAGGAACCATTCACCAACAAGACATAACAATTATCAATATTTATGCACCAAATAATGGTGCTGCGACGTTCATAAAACAAATTCTCCTCAAGTTCAAGAATCAAATAGACCACAACACAATAATTATGGGTGACTTCAACACACCTCTCTCACCATTGGACAGATCCTCCAAATAAAAGTTGAATAAAGAAACTATAAAACTCAATATCACAATCAACAACCTAGACTTAACTGACATATATAGAATATATCAACCATCATCAAGTGGATATACTTTTTTCTCAGCAGCACATGGATCCTTCTCAAAAACAGACCATATATCATGCCATAGGGCAACCCTCAGTAAATATACAGGGGTGGAGATAATATCATGCATTTTATCTGATCATAATGGAATGAAACTGGAAATCAATGATAAAAGAAAAAATTAACAAAACTAAAAGTTGGTTCTTTGAAAAAATAAATAAGATCGACAGACCTTTAGCCATGCTAAGGAAGAGAAGAAGAGAGAGAACTCAAATTACTAACATACGGGATGAAAAAGGCAATATCACAACAGACGCTACAGAAATACAGAAGACAATTAGAAATTATTTTGAAAACCTATATTCCAAAAAAATAGAAGATAGTGAAGACATCGATAAATTCCTTAAGTTATATGATTTGCCCAGACCGAGTCAGGAGGATACTCACAACTTAAACAGACCAATATCAATAGGTGAAATAGAAGAAGCAATCAAAAGACTTCCAACCAAGAAAAGCCCAGGACCGGATGGGTATACAGCGGAGTTTTACAAAACCTTTAAGGAAGAATTAATACCAATAATTTTCAAGTTATTTCAGGAAATAGAAAAAGAGGGAGCTCTGCCAAATTCATTCTATGAGGCCAACATCACCCTGATTCCGAAACCAGACAAAGACACCTCAAAGAAAGAAAACTACAGACCAATATCTCTGATGAACCTAGATGCAAAAATCCTCAATAAAATTCTGGCGAATCGGATACAAAGGCACATTAAAAAAATTGTGCACCATGATCAAGTAGGATTCATCCCTGGGATGCAAGGATGGTTCAATATACGGAAATCAATAAATGTTATTCACCACATCAATAGACTTAAAGATAAGAACCATATGATCATCTCAATAGACGCAGAAAAAGCATTCGACAAAGTACAGCATCCCTTTATGTTCAAAACATTAGAAAAACTAGGGATAACAGGAACTTACCTCGACATTGTAAAAGCTATCTATGCTAAGCCTCAGGCTAGCATCATTCTCAATGGAGAAAAATTGAAGGCATTCCCCCTAAAATCTGGAACAAGACAGGGATGGCCTCTATCACCACTTCTATTCAATATACTTCTCGAAACACTGGCCAGAGCAATTAGACGAAAGAAATTAAAAGCATAAAAATAGGAAAGGAAGAACTTAAATTATCACTATTTGCGGAAGACATAATTCTATACTTAGAAGACCCAAAAGGGTCTACAAAAAAACTACTAGAACTAATAAATGAATTCAGCAAAGTGGCAGGATATAAAATCAACACGCATAAATCAAAGGCATTTCTGTATATCAGCGACAAAACTTCTGAAACGGAAATGAGGAAAAACACTCCATTCACAATATCCTCAAAAAAAAAAAAAAAAAATACTTGGGAATCAACCTAACAAAAGAGGTTAAAGATTTATACAATGAAAACTACAAAACCCTAAAAAGAGAAGTAGAAGAAGATCTTAGAAGATGGAAAAATATACCCTGTTCATGGATAGGCAGAACTAACATCATCAAAATGGCGACATTACCAAAAGTTCTCTATAGGTTTAATGCAATGCCAATCAAAATCCCAACGGCATTTCTTGTAGAAATAGATAAAGCAATCATGAAATTCATATGGAAAAACAAAAGACCCAGAATAGCAAAAGCAATTCTAAGCAGGAAGTGTGAATCAGGCGGTATAGCGATACCAGATTTAAAACTATATTACAGAGCAATAGTAACAAAAACAGCATGGTACTGGTACCAAAACAGGCGGGTGGATACAATGGTACAGAATAGAGGACACAGAGACTAATCCACAAAGCTACAACTATCTTATATTTGATAAAGGAGCTAAAAGCATGCAATGGAGGAAGGATAGCATCTTCAACAAATGGTGTTGGGAAAACTGGAAATCCATATGCAACAAAATGAAACTGAATCCCCTCCTCTCGCCATGCACAAAAGTTAACTCAAAGTGGATCAAGGAGCTAGATATCAAATCAGAGACTTTGCGTCTGATAGAAGAAAAAGTTGGCTACGATCTACATATTGTGGGGTCGGGCTCCAAATTCCTCAATAGGACACCCATAGCACAAAAGTTAATAACAAGAATCAACAAATGGGACTTACTTAAACTGAAAAGTTTTTTCTCAGCAAGAGAAACAATGAGAGAGGTAAATAGGGAGCCTACATCATGGGAACAAATTTTTACTCCTCACACTTCAGATTGAGCCCTAATATCCAGAGTATACAAAGAACTCAAAAAATTAAACAATAAGATAACAAATAACCCAATCAACAAATGGGCCAAGGACCTGAACAGACACTTCTCAGAGGAGGACATACAATCAATCAACAAGTACATGAAAAAATGCTCACCATCTCTAGCAGTCAGAGAAATGCAAATCAAAACCACCCTAAGATACCATCTCACTCCAGTAAGATTGGCAGCCATTATGAAGTCAAACAGCAACAAGTGCTGGAGAGGATGTGGGGAAAAGGGTACTCTTGTACATTGCTGGTGGGACTACAAACTGGTGCGGCCAATTTGGAAAGCAGTATGGAGATTCCTGGGAAAGCTGGGAATGGAACCACCATTTGACCCAGCTATTGCCCTTCTCGGACTATTCCCTGAAGACCTTAAAAGAGTGTACTACAGGGATACTGCTACATCGATGTTCATAGCAGCACAATTCACAATTGCTAGACTGTGGAACCAACCCAGATGCCCTTCAATAGATGAATGGATAAAAAAAAAGTGGCATTTATACACCATGGAGTATCACGCAGCACTAAAAAATGACAAAATCATGGAATTTGCAGGGAAATGGATGGCACTAGAGCAGATTATGCTTAGTGAAGCAAGCCAATCCCTAAAAAACAAATACCAAATGTCTTCTTTGATATAATGAGAGCAACTAAGAACAGAGCAGGGAGGAAGAGCTGGAAGAAAAGATTAACATTAAACAGATACATGAGGTGGGAGGGAAAGGGAGAGAAAAGGGAAATTGCATGGTAATGGAGGGAGACCTTCATTGTTATACAAAATTACATATAAGAGGTTGTGAGGGGAATAGGAAAATAAACAAGGAGAGAAATGAATTACAGTAGATGGGGTAGAGAGAGAAGATGGGAGGGGAGGGGAGGGGGGATAGTAGAGGATAGGAAAGGTAGCAGAATACAACAGTTACTAATAGGGCATTATGTAAAAATGTGGATGTGTAACCGATGTGATTCTGCAATCTGTATTTGGGGTAAAACTGGGAGTTCATAACCAACTTGAATCTAATGTATGAAATATGATATGTCAAGAGCTTTGTAATGTTTTGAACAACCAATAAAAAAAAAGATACAAGCATAAATTAATGAAATAAAAGGCAAAAATACATTACAGAAAAAAAAAATAAATGGGGGAAAACAGATTTAAAAAGATATAAGTCAAAGGACAAACGGAGAACACTATAAGAAGAAACCAAAGACTAGAAAGATGAAGGAAATGGGCAGTATACAATATTATAAAAAAATCTTGGTCATTTTTTATGAGTTTATTAACTTTTGAAACTATTATACAAATGGTATAGTTCAGATAGATATATTTGTATTACCTGCATAAAACTCTGAATGCCGTTTTCAACGTGATACTTGGCCCTATCAAAATCATCTTGCAAGATGTAAAGGAGACTCAGCTCCTGACTGTACTGCAGCTTGATGAAAGCCTGCTGCAGCTCCTGCTGCATGGCCTCATCCATGAAGGTCAGCAGGGACTGGTCGCCCTCACCTTGAAGCAGGAGCTTCAGCTTGCTGCGGATCATGTAGGGTAGAAACATCTCCTGAGGAGCATAAGAATCTATTTGTAACTTCAGAAAGCCATTTTGAATATGTCTGTCATTTCTGTAAAATTTTTAGCAGGGATTTTATGGGTCAAGATTCAAAGTGATAATGTGTGATGTCCAAATCTAAAACTAAGAACAAGTTCACCTAAAATGTCTTGTTTTATAACCATGCAATATATAGGAACATCCTCTACAGAAAATGGCATCTACTTTTAATTGGAAGACAATCTTATGGTTCACACACATCAAGTAACATACAGTACCATAAAACCAGTGGTGGTGCAAGAGGGGCCACAGGCCGCCGCCTCTGTGTGGCCAGTGATGCAGAACACAGAGACAAAGAGGAAATATTCTCCCATGTGAGGATACCAAAGACGCTAATATTTATCTTAAAATATATCCCATTTATTGGAAAAGGTTTAGCTAAAGTGATGGGAGATTTAACAACGGTATGGAGTTTGTCATGGGAGTCAAGTCATATAAATATCCAAATGCTCCACAACTGCTACCCAGTTCAAGAAAATTTCTAAACAATTTTATTAACTATAAAACACCTGGTCATCTAAAATATTTATTTCACCAATCCAAAAATAATTATACCCAACCTGATAAAGTGGTTCACTCCACATTTTGTTTAGATCACTGTCTACACAGGCAGTAGAACAGTACTCAAGTGATTTCCACTCAGAGAGATGGCTGTAACAGTCAAGGGAGGCCAGTTCCCAGAAGTCTTTCTCAGCTTCTGTGGGCTCACCATCCTCCCACTCTTGTCTATTAAGAGCCTAGGAGGAAAATGGTAACAGATTATTTCGCAAAGCAGGAAAAAACACAAAAAGAAACATGTTAAAAAGGAGGTACTATTAACATTCACACTGAATACAACCATTTTCAGATTTATGGCAAAGTGAGAAAAAGGGAGAATATTCAGAGTAACAGTGAATGGAAAAATAAATTTTAAAAAGCTATCTTATAGTAATAAATGAATATAAAAGCCCTAATCAGGAGGGATTCATTTCTCTCAGAAAGCTAAGAGTGAAACCAATTAGTAAGAACTGAAGACTTTTAATGATCCACAATTTGAATTAAATCAGGACTATGGGTTATTTACCATTTAAGTCCTTAGATTCAAAATAAAGGACATTTGCAGAAATTACGGAGGACTTTAAAACCTGGTACATGCCTGTAATCAGGTACTCAGGAGGCTGAGGAGGGAGGATCAGCCTGGGAAACTTAGCAAGACTCTGTCTCAAAATAAAAAATAAAAGGGGCTAGGGATGCAGTTCAGTGATAAAGCACCACTGCATACAATACCCAGTCTACAAACAAAAACAAAAACAGCCTCAGGCCACAGATCCTGAACTTAGTATCTGTATTTGAATAACCACTGGGAACTCAAAACGTAAATCACTGTCCCAAATTCTTCTTCACTCCTTTGCAACATTTTTTTACTTTCTGAAAAAAAACAATTCCCAAGTAGGAATTGTAAAATCATATCAGATATAGAAACAACACTGTACAGTTTAGGGAGATAGTTCAATTCTAAAGTTACCCTGGGTTCAATCCCCAGTACCATCAAAAAGAGATACAATAATTTTTATTTCATATGTGGTTATTACGAAACCACACTTGGTTAGTATTCTAAAACCTAAGGAATAAAGGTAAAGCTGATAGATTTTTCACACAGAGAACTGTTAGAGTCTGTAAACAAGTCAGGATGGCTCCTGGCATTTTGCCAGAGAAATGTTAGAGTCTGTAAACAAGTCTGGATGACGCCTGGTAAAATGCCAGAGGGAGTGGTTTGTGAAGTAACACCAGCAAGCCATTAAGTGTGGAGATTTCTTATTGGTTGACTGATGTATCTAGTTTATGCTAATTAAGATAAGCTGTGTGGAATGTATAAATACTGCTCCTGTCCTACAATAAACGGCTTCCACTCCTGCTGTATCAATGTACACAAGTTATTCGTCACCCCCCCAGTTATTTTGCCCAGCCAGCCGGGCTGCGGCAGAGAACGAAAGAGTTAATGCAACTGATATAAAGGCTAGAGATTGATTTTACCTCATTATACTGTTTAGCAGCTTCAGAATAATCATTTCTGGCTTCTGCTAATAATGCATTCTGAGTGACTTGCTTTGTTCCTATCTCACTGCTAAAAATAGCCCGGAGGACATCATATTCTCCAATTGATCGATATAATCTATAAAAAAAACCAAAACACATTCAAATCGGTGAACACCTCAATATTTTAAAAGTTCTTCATACTATGAAGTGATAGTAAAGCAAGATGCCATACATTAAAGAAAACATAAAACTTTAATAGAAATTTTTAAGTTTTAAAGGCGCCCTTAGGTTTTTCTACTTTAATTATACAGTAGGCAAAGTAATTCTAATAAGCATTTAAAAGGAAGTCCGAAAATATCACAAGTCCATAAGGTATGAACTGTTTCATTAAATAAATTTCGATGAGTAACATATTTGGAGTTCTTGTCTAGTCCTAAAAATCTCAGAAACAAACAATAATTTTCCCGCTACTGATGGGATATTTTAATCTATGTTTTATGAACCATCTCAATTCCAAAAACAGGTACTTCATTATAGTCATAATATTTACTTAACGAAAGTCTGACTCTATTTTGTCAAACAAGCCTCTTCTCTTTATGAAATTCTCAAGTTGGTGTTTATTATGTTTGTTTCCTTCCTTCCAGAAATTTCTTCAAGTCTCAACCAAAATGTCATCCCTAGCTTGATCAGCTGGCCAAGGACAACTTCCTCATTGGTTCTCCTGCCTTTTGATTCCCTTCTGGTATTAAATATTTTGCATTTCCATCAAAACAGCCCTGCAGAATTTATGAACCAATGATTCCAAATTTAAATTTAAAAATTGAATAGACATGACTCTCTTATTGCCTTGATCCTAGAGGGTCAAAAGTAACAAATCAGACAGGAGTGGACAGATGGGTGGGAGAACAGAGCTTACAGTCAGGAACTGAGGAGAAGAGGAGAGCAACAGACATGTTCACAATATAGAAAAGAGATCCATACGTATACCCTACCCTGGTTTATAGGTGTCTGCTTTATGTTTGCTAGAACATGGTCAAAATGAGAACCATGACAGCAAGAGAGGATTAAATTATGTTCATTATATTCTGTCTGCAAAAAATGTAAAAATACTACACATAAAAGTATGAGGAAGTATTTAATCAAGTTAGAACCAAATGTGTAAAGTTTAAGTCCATAAAAATTCTATGCTCCATTTACCCAGCAAATAGACATTATGAGCTTCTTGCTCCCTGAAGATACTAAACATTAAAAATGTCACTTAGTGTTCACTCAGACATCTGAAGCAATGGATAAAACAGCTACTGGGTAAAATCACATTAGCCCGAGGCTCTGAATTGCCCTGCATTGGGTTCTTCCCCTTTCTATACTCACCATGTCCTCCGACTTCATGTTCTGGTGAGTTACATAGAAAAATGTTTACATACACATCCTCTGGGATCCTTAATTTTTTGAGTCTGTGATCAATGTCTAATCCATTGCACAGTCTCTTAAGTTCCTGGCACAGTGCCTTACACAGTGATGGTGCTCAATTAAGAAGTGACTATATAACAAAAAATACAAGGATTCTGTGTCTTTACTTTTACTATCTTTTCCCATAAAGACCCAAAAATCACTTTAAAAAAAATAAATTCAGGTTTAATTTCAACCTTGAACTAACATCCTTCTCAGAATTAGACACTGGCTTTCACACAATAAAACCACAGTAAGAGAAGAATTACGTAAAATGCACAATGACAACCTACAAAATAGAATTTTTTTCAGATAACAAAGTATTTGGGATTAAACTGTGACTCCTAATGAAAAACATAAAAGCAACTTTATTATGTTCAGCAAAGCTGGAAAAAACATAAAATACTAGGAACTATTATTTATAGCCACACTCTAAAAGAAGCTAAACTTGGATAACACGGAGTCTAAACTGTCTACTGAAAGAAATTAACCAGTTCAATTAATATTCTCTTTCTTTGAGCAACACATTCCTTCTCATGGCATCTGTTCTTGACTCACAGAATGGTACTCAGCATGAACAATTTTCTATAAACTTTCACAGAAGTGTTACTATTAACTTTATTCATTTTCTGCCAAAATGAAGACAAGTTTGTTTCTATTATTTTGTTTGGATTCACTGTTCTGCAATTTGCCCCTCACGAGCTTACTTAGCAAGTTCCATCCATCGGAGGATGTCAGGAGGGAGGCAGGTCTTGCCCCGACTTCGCTTGCTGAGCGGCTCTGCAGGGGCTAGGTGAAGCAGTGCCTCCTCAAGAAGGCGGATACCCCCAGGCTGCTGTAGACTGGCTAGGCAGCTAGCACGGACAGTGGCTGGGTCAAGGCTCAGGAAGTCTGCATGCTGGCAACTGATTTCCTGTGAAACCATAAACACATGTAGCTGTTTAGCCTGTGGTACTTGGACCATATCTTCACAAGTGATTAATTCACTTTACTAAACATAAAAGAAAGTTTTGACGTAAGTAGTGATATCACCAAAAGCTTCTCTGTGTAATTCTATTAACAGATTTTCCTTCATTGTTCCATTCACTAAAAAGAGGAAATGACCTTTTGTTTTTACATCTAGTGCTTCATTTAAAGCTAGAAAAACACTGGCAAAATATGAAGACTAAAAAAATATGTGTGTGTTATACATATCCATATATATACAATTTTCAACCCCCAAACACATATCCAACAATTGCAATTGCCAGGAATACTTAGCCTGACTTGTTAAGAAGAACAGCTGAAAGACAAAGATTTCATATCCAATCACAAAAAGTGGGTGATTCATTTGTGTATTATTCTATGCAACCTCTTTTTTTCATTCTGGGGCTACAGAGGATTTCAGGAATTATCATAATGAGCTTTACTTTTAACTCTCAATTTGAGAGTCCTATAACCATCAAAACAAAGAAATATAAACTTAAAATCTATATACAGAATAACATGTTACCACGTGTCAGCATTTTCATTAGAACAGCCTGTATATTACAAGTAACAATAAATGTTGGCAAGGATGTTGGGGAAAAGATACATTCATACATTGCTGGTAGAGCTACAAATTGGTGCAACCATCCTGGATAGCAGTATGAAGATTCCTCGGAAAACTTGGAATGGAACCACAGTTTGACCCACTTAACCCACTCCTTGGTATATACCCAAAGGACTTAAAATCAACATACTATAGTGACACAGCCACATCAATGTTCATAGGAGCTCAATTCACAATAGCTTTAACTATGGAACCAACCTAGGTGCCCTTCAACAGATGAATGGATCAAGAAAATGTGATATATATATACACACACACACACACACACACACACACACTGGAATATTACTCATCTATAAAAAATGATGACTTTATAACTCTTGCAGGTAAGTAAATGAATCTGGAGACTATCATACTAAGTGACATAAGCCAATCCCCAAAAAACCAAATGTTCTTTCTGATGTGTGGATGCTAACACACAACAGGATGGGGGAGGGAAGAATAGAAGTTCAATGGATTAGACAAAGGGGAATGAAAGGAGGAAAATAGAAAAGACAGTAGAATGAATTGGACATAACTTTCCTTATAATCATGTATGAATATACCACCAGTGAAACTCCACATCATGTACAACCAAGAGTGGGATCCTAATGTACTCCATGTATGTAAAATGTCAAAATACCACCTGTCATGTATATCTAAAAAGAATAAAATTAAAAAAGAACAGCTTATATGTAGGCACCTGGGTCTCTATGCACATGGCACCTGTGCACATACCTTGAAAAGATGGCCCTTGTACACTTGCACTGGCCCAACCCACTCCCCTAACAGCCATACGACACATACCAGCCACCGTATGGTCACCAAGCTGAACCCCGGAAAAATGTAAATCCTCCTAAGTAATTAAATAAACAAAAATGTTTCTTACCCTTTTGAGCTAGTGGTACAAGAAAGAAAATCCAAATAAAATTCTATCTTAATGAATAACAGCAAAAGTTTTGTCTTTGCTGATGTATCAGATTTTGAGACAACACCACTCTAATTTGGAAAGCAAAGCTTAGATATAAAAGGGAAGCTTAGATATAAAAAAAATCTTAATTCTCCTCACTCCATAATTACTTATCTTCTAGTTTCCAAAAGTATAGTAAGAACAATGCTATTGCTGATTGCATAAACCTTATGAGCCATTCATCCTTATGTTTATGACATAAGTCTGGGCAAATGTGCTTAATGAATATATCACTATTATTGCGTTATCATTCCTGTATATGTAAATGCATGCATAATTTAAATGAGTTACTTTAAGTTTATTTTCAAGAAGATTAACTATTTTGTTCAGCCCTACAGTGTCATTTTGGTTAATAAATAATAAGTTGCTAAGCAAAAGATAAATTGTAGAAATGTAAACTTTTAGTTTAGTCATTTGCTAGAACAAAAGCCTTTGTAAATACGGAGCAAAATGTATCATGATGACCTGGGAAGAGAAAATAAACTACATTCTCAGATATAAGAACCTGAAAATGAGGTCATGATAGTAAACACTGCAAACTGTAGGCTCTGATGTGTAAGCATGAAGCTTGTACCATGTCTGATGGCAACCAGCAAGCTCTACAAACTATTTACTCATTTATGGCTAATAACTCTCCTCAACAGCTATTGAAAAGCCAGATTTTTAGTAAATCTCAGGTCAAAACTAGAAATTATGACTTAAAAAATCACTTCAGAATATAATGTAAAGGGAAGGCTGGGGCTGGGGCTCAGAGATAGAGCACTTGCCTGGCATGCGTAAGGCACTGGGTTCGATCTTCAGCACCACAGGAATCTTCAAAAAAACTTTCCAACCAAGAATCTTATATCCAGCAAAATTAAGCTTTAGATTTGATGATGAAATAAAAACCTTCCATGATAAACAAAAGTTAAAAGAATTTACAACTCGAAAGCCTGTACTACAGAACATCTGGACAAATATTCCATGAGAAGAAAATGAAAAACAACACTGAAAATCAGCAAAGGGAGGTATTGCTCTAAAGGAAAAACTAATCAAAGGATAAACCAAATCAAGTTAAATAACAAAAATGACTGGGAATACAAATCATGTCTCAATAATAACCCCAAATGTTAATGGCCTAAACTCACCAATCAAAACACATAGACTGGCAGATGGATTAAAAAAAAAGACCCAACAATATGCTGCCTTCTAGAGACTGATCTCATAGGAAAAGACATCCACAGACTGAAGGTGAAACGTTGGGAAAAATCACACCACTCACATGGACTGTAGAAACAAACAGGGGTTTCCATCTTCATATCAAACAGACTTCAAGCCAAAGTTAATCAAAAGGGATAAAGAGGATATTTCATACTGCTGAAGGGAACCATTTATCAACAAGAAATAACAATAAATTTATAAGCAACAAACCATGGCACGTCTATGTTCATCAAAAGAACTCTTCCCAAGATCAAGAGTCAAATAGACCACAACACAATAATTCTGGGTGACTTTAACACACCTCTTTCACCATTGGATAGATCATTCAAACAAAAGCTGAACAAAGAAACTATAGAACACAATAATACAATCAATAATTTAGACTTAACTGATACATATAGAATATTTCATCCTTCAATGAGAGAATACACTTTTTTCTCAGCAGCACATGGATCTCTAAAACAGACTATATATTATGCCACAAAGCAACTTTTAGCAAATATAAAAAAGTAGAGATACTACCTTGCATTCTATCAGATCATAATGGAATAAAATTAGAAATCAATGATAAAATAAAAAATAAAATCCACTCCAACACCTTAAGGCTAAATAATATGCTACTGAATGAACAATGGGTTGCAAAAGACATCAGGGAGGAGATTAATAAACTCTTAGAGGTGAATGAGAACACTGATACAATGTATCGAAATCTCTGGGACACTATGAAAGCAGTTCTAAGAGGAAAGTTCATTGCATGGAGTTCATTCCTTAAAAGAAGAAAAAGTCAACAAATAAATGACCCAATATTATATCCCAAAGCTCTAGAAAAAGAAGAACAAATCAACACCAAATGCAGTAGAAAACAGGAAATAATTAAAACCAGAACTGAAATCAATGAAACTGAAACAAAAAAAAAAATTGAAAAAATGGACAAAACAAAAAATTGGTTCTTTGAAAAAATAAATAAAATTGACAGACCCTTAGCCATGGTAATGAAGAGAAGCAGAGAGAGAACTCAAATTACTAACATATGTGATAAAAAAGGAAATATCACAACAGACACTACAAAAAAATAGAGAAGATAATTAGAAACTATTTTGAAAACTTGTACTCCAATAAAATAAAAATATCGAAGGCACCGACAAATTTCTGGAGTCCTATGATTTGCCCAAATTGAATCAGAATGATATACACAATTTAAACAGATCAATTTCAAGTGATGAAATAGAAGATGCCATCAAAAGTCTATCAACCGGGGATGGGATTGTGTTTCAGTGGTAGAGCAATCGTTTAGCATATGCAAGGCCCTGGGTTCGATCCTCAGCACCACATAAAAATAAATAAACAAAATTGTGTCCAACTACTTCTTAAAAAAAAGAAAAAAAAAAAAAAGTCTACCAACCAAGAAAAGCCCAAGACTGGATGGGTACACAGCTGAGTTCTACAAGACCTTTAAAGAAGAACTAATACCAATACTCTTCAATTTATTTCAGGAAATAGAAAAAGAGGGAGCACTTCCAAACTCATTCTATGAGATCAATATCACCCTGATTCCAAAACCAGGCAAAGACAAATAAATCAAAGAAAGAAAACTTCAGACCAATATCTCTAATGAGCATAGATGCAAAAATTCTCAATAAAATTCTGGCAAATCAAATACAAAAACATATCAAAAAGATAGTTCACCACAATCAAGTGGGATTCATCCCAGGAATACAAGTTTGGCTCAACATACAGAAATCAATAAATGTAATTCAACACATCAATAGACTTAAAGATAAGAACCATATGATCATCTCAATAGACACAGAAAAAGCATTCAACAAAATACAGCACTGCTTCATGTTCAAAACACTAGAAAAACTAGGGATAACAGGAACATATCTCAACATTGTAAAAGCTCTCCACGCTAAGTCCCAGGCCAACATCATTCTAAATGGAGAAAAACTGAAAACATTCCCTCTAAAAATTGGAACAAGACAAGGATGCCCTCTGTCACCACTTCTATTTAACATAGTTCTTGAAAATCTAGCCAGAGCAATTAGACAAAAGAAATTAAAGGGATACAGATGGGAAAAGAAGAACTCAAATTAGAACTATTTGCCGACAATATGATTCTATACCTAGAAGACCCAAAAAATTCCACCAGAAAACTTCTAGCAAAGTAGCAGGATACAAAATCAACATCCAAAAATCAAAGGCATTTCTATATATCAGTGACAAATCCTCTGAGAGGGAAACTACCCCATTTACAATGGTCTTAAAAAAAAAAAAAATACTTGGGAATCAACCTAACAAAAGAGGTGAAAGACCTCTACAATGAAAACTACAAAGTGCTAAAGAAAGAAATTAAAGAAGACCTTAGAAGATGGAAAGATCTACCTTGCTCTTGGATAGGCAAAATTAATATTGTCAAAATGACCATACTACCAAAAGCATTATACAGATTTAATGCAATTCCGATCAAAATCCCAATGGCATTCCTCATAGAAATAGAAAAAGCAATCATGAAATTCATCTGGAAAAATAAGAGACCCAGAATAGCTAAAGCAATCCTTAGCAGGAAGAATGAAGCAGGTGGCATCACTATAACAGGCCTTAAACTATACTACAGACCAGTATTAACAAAAACAGCATGGTATTGGCACCAAAATAGACTGGTAGACCAATGGTACAGAATAGAGAACAGAGACTAACTAACATAATTACAGTTTTCTTATATTAGACAAAGGCACCAAAAACAAACATTTGAGAAAAGACACCCTCTTCAACAAATAGTGCTGGGAAAACTGGAAATACATATGCAGCAAAATGAAACTAAACGCCTATCTCTCACCATGCACAAAACTCAACTCAAAGTGGGTCAAGGACCTAGGAATTAAACCAGAGACCTTGTGTCTAACTGAAGAAAAAGGAGGCCCAAATCTCCATCATATCAGATTAGGCCCCTACTTCCTTAATAAGACTCCTATAGCACAAGTATTAAAATCAAGAATTAATAAATGGGATGCATTCAAATTAAACTTGTTCTCAGCAAAAGAAATGATCAGTGAGGTGAATAGAGAACCTACATCTTGGGAGCAAATTTTTACCACTTGCACATCAGATACAGCATTTATCTCTAGGTTATATAAAGAACTCAAAAAGCTAAACACCAAAACCACAAATAACCCAGTCAATGAATGGGCCAAGGAATTGAACACACTTCTCAGAAGGTGATATACAATCAATCATCAAATATATGAAAAGATGTTCAACATCTCCAGCAATTAGAGAAATGCAAATCAAAACTATTCTAAGATTTCATCTCACTCCAGTCAAAATGGAGCTATGAAGAACACAAACAAGGGCTGGGGTTGTGGCTCAGAGGTACAGTGCTCACCTAGCATGTGTGAGGCACTGGGTTCTATTCTCAGCACCACATAAAATAAAGACATTGTGTCCACCTAAAAGTAAAAAATAAATATAAAAAAAAAAAGAACACAAAAAGCAATAAGTGTTGGAGAGGATGTGGGGAAAAAGGCTCACTCATACATTGCTAGTTGGACTGCAAAATAGTCCAGCCAATATGGAAAGCAGTATGGAAATTCCTTGGAAATCTGGGAATGGAACCATCTTTAGACCCAACTATCCCACTCCTCGGTCTATACCCAAAGGATTTAAAAACAACTTACTACAGGGACACAGCCACATCAGTGTTTATTGCAGCACAATTCACAATACCTAAACTGCAGAACCAACCTAGATGCCCCTCAGCAAATGAATGGATAAAGAAAATGTAGTTTATATGCACAATGGAATATCACTCAGCAATAAAAGAGAATAAAATCATGGCATTTGCAGGTAAATGGATGGAGCTGGAGAAGATAATGCTAAGTGAAGTTAGCCAATCCCCAAAAAACAAATGTCGAATATTTTCTCTGATTTCTCTGATAACGAGACTGATTAATAGTGGAGTTGGAAGGGGGAGCATGGGAATATTAGACAAACTCTAGATAGGGCAAAGGGGAGGGAATGGAAGGAAGGAGGCAAGGGATGTAAAAAAGATAGTGGGATGAGATGGACATCAATACCCTAAGTTCCTATATGAAGATACAAATGGGGTGAATATATTTTGCATACCAGAGATATGAAAATTGTGCTCTATATGTGTAATATGATTGTAATGCATTCTGCTCTCATATATAACAAATAGAATAAAGAATTTAGAAAGGGGGGCTAGGGTGGTAGCTCAGTGGTAGAGTGCTTGCCTCAAACGTGTGAGGCACTGGGTTTGATCTTCAGCACCACATAAAAATAAATAGATATTGTGTCCATCTACAACTAAAAAAGTATTTATTTTATTTTTTTTTTAAAAAGAATACAATGTAAAGAAAAACTTATTTTAAAATACTGTCTAGGGCTGGGGTTGTTGCTCAGTGGTAGAGTGCTTGCCTTACACGTGTAAGGCCTTGGGTTCGATCCCCAGCAACACATAAAAATAAACAAATAAAAATAAAAGATATCATAACCCAATTGAGTCAAATGTATGAAAGATGATATATCATGAGCTTTGTAATGTTTTGAACAACCAATAAAAAAAAAAATAAAAGATATTGTGTCCATCTACAACTAATAAATAAATAAATAAATAAATAAATAAATAAATAAATAAATAAATAAAATACTGGCTAACTCCTTATGATTACTGAAACATTTTTATTATCTACAGTGTGGATAAGGGAAAAACAATGAAGGAACTCTATCTGTAAATTGTAAGCCAAGAGAATTAGAGCTAATTATAAAAGGAAGCTATATTTATACTTTCATGCTATATCAAAAAAGAATAAAACAGAAAAACTGAGTACTTCATCTCAGAGAATTATAACTCAGTTTATTTTATAAAGTAATACTACTGATTAACAATATATTTTTTTAAGAATTTAATTATTTCAGGGAGGTCATGAGATAAATAAATACTAAAATGAATAAGAAATTTAAGGGAAGATGTAATGATCCATGTTTGGGATGGCACACAAAACATTTACTACATGAGAAGATAATCCCTTCTTTTTCGTTTTTGTTTTGTTTTGGGGTCAAATCATTTTATCGAGGAGGTTTGAGGTTAAGGAGTACTGAAGAGCTGAAATGAATAATTGGATCTGACATCCTCTGCAAGGTCAGACCTTGCTGTTGCCGAAAGAAAGAAGATAATCTTTTGCTAAGAATATTTAAGTAGTAACTGAAAGCACACCTACATTAAGTTCTCTGCCCAAACCAGTCACCTTAGAAAGCACTTCTCCGACCACTGCATCCAGGTAAATATGGGCATATACACCCACCCTAGTCAAGGAGCTATCTACACTTGGTTATCACCCTATGCCACTTTTAACACTTCTGTATGACTTAAGTGCTAGGATGCACTTTTTCTTCTGCATTCCTTAAGTGCTACCTAACACTTCTGTTCTATATTATTCTGTAGACTGCCTGTTGGCCATCAAGAAAGCAGATTCTTGGAAGGCAGGAATTTTGCCTCTTCATCACCAGGCATGTGCTCCATCAATATCTCAGGAGGCAGGAGAGAATTTGGTGAAATGCTACATAAAGAAAAAGAACTAAACAAAATGCAGGTTTAAAGGGATTGGCTGACTACAAAAAAAAAAAAAAAAAAAAAACTTTTACGTAAGTTTGATTTCAGATTATCCTGTCATATAAGATAGTGTTTTGTTTTGTTTTTTTGAGGGGAAAAAAGGCAATAGATTACATGTGTCCATTTGATGTGACCTAAATGATACTTCTACTCTGTTAAAAGATACCTTGTTTCTATTAGGAGTTTCACCTTGAGAAACAAAGTGATGATAACATTAGCCATGCAATGAATGCCAAGCCAGACAATGTGTGTTTTATAAAGAACTTGTGCAGACACTTACCTGGATGCAAGAGACAAAAGGTGGAAAGGAAAAAAAAGTGGTATTAAGAAAACGGTTGAAGTCTTGAAGCAAGTTTTGAGTGATGTTGTTTTTTTCAGACATCGTCTTAAATTTATCCATCTCTTTCAGAATCCCAGAAAACAAGCTACTAAAGAGCTGTTTTGCAATTATTGGGTCTCTCTATAAAAAATTCAAATTTGAAGACAAATTAGGGTCTGAAGTATAAAAGCTATGATTCACTAGAACTTTACATGAAAATTAAACTGCTGCAAACACATCCCCTTATATACCTAACTTCTTTGGAAAGTTTAAGCTGGTATCATATAGGGGAATGCTTTAATCAAATATATCTGATAATATATGCTATGAGCCCATGTACCTTTGACTTAAAGAGATTAATTTTTTTTTACTTTTATCTTAAAATATTTTTAGTTATACAGGGACACAATATCTTATTTTGTTTATTCATTTATATGTAGTGCTGAGGATTGAACCCAGTGCCTCACATGTGTGAGGCAAGCACTCAGCCACTGAGCTACAATTCCAGCCCTAAAGAGATTAATTTAAAGGCCAACTTCATCAACATGTAATGACACAGGCATCTGAGTTGAGTTTGGAACCCCAATTACTCATCATTAAACTGGGGCTGATGAACAAGCCTCAAGGAGTTGAGATGAAGACTCGTCAAGATAACACATGTGGACAGGGCACACCAAAGAGCAGGTGTCAACCTCACTACAGAGGCAGTGCTATGAGACACCAGGGAACTAGGAACTGAGAAATAGTGGACCTTAGAAAAACAGGGGTCTCTCCCTTGCCCCACATCCACATTATCACACTATCCAATCTTCACTAACTTATCTACATCTGTATATCAAAATGTCGTAAGATTATTGGGAGAATTTAATGTGAGGCTGAAGGCACTTTATGATAACAAAGGGCTGCACTGTAGTGAGTTATGTGAATCTGTACACAGGATGAAACACACACCTGTAAAAGTGAAAGTGCAGGGGAAATGACAATGAACAAGGCCTATAGTCTGTTAACACTGCTGTATCAGTATCAATACCTAAGTACTAATATTATAGTACAATCACATAAGATGTCTCCACTAGGGGAAGGTGTGGGAAAGATATGTGAATGATACACCATGTTTACAAATTCCTGTCAATCCATAATTATTTAGATGAAATAAAAAGCTCATAGGCTAAACACATGTAATCTATGATTATAATCAATATTAGTATTGGAAAATTTAAGTACAATAAAAAATAAGACATTAGGGCTGGGATTGCGGCTTAGTGGCAAAGCACTTGCCTCGCACGTATGAGTCACTGGATTTGGTGGTCAGCACTACACAAAAAATAAATAGATAAATAAATAGAATAAAGGTATTATGTCCATGTACAACCAAAATAATATTTTTAAAAAAGTAATGCATTATATTTAGGTGCCCAGCATAATGTTTTTACACACACACACACACACACACACACACACACAACAAAACAAAAACACTCTTTGATTTTTAAAATTACTATTTCAGTAAAAGTCAAGGAAATCATGCCTGTGGGGGATAAGAATTCAGTTAGGAAGTATCATCCCCTCACAAAGCCTTACTTTGTATCTTAATAACTTAGAAAATGATTTACAGTCCTATGTTATTAATTTATCAGAGAAAACCAATCCCACTGATAAACTTACTTCCCTAGTCCCCCTAAAAATGCATTTGGGATAAGCAATGATTTAACTGGCTTAGCATTTTAAAGATTACAATTATTGGATAAGAAAAGCATCTTTTCCTTCCTTTTCTTGTTAAAAAAAAACAAGAATTAAACCTAGGGCCTCAGATGTGCTAGGCCACCACTGAGTCACATCTCCAACCCATAAAAACAGATTTTATTCTGAATTTACGGATGGAGATCCTGTTGCTCAGAGCATTAACTGACCTGAACGGGCATGCATGTTCAGTTTTACAGCCCCATTCTTGATAACTCTAAGTCAGAGTCTTCTCATGGGAAAAGAAGTCCTAAAACTAGGAAATGGCAGAGATGGGACTTGGAACAGTTTTTAAACCAAGTATACCATTAAGGACAACCAACAATTCACTTATGACATTGTAGCCTGAACACACATACAGCACACTCCTGGACCCACAGCTTTTAACCTGTCAACAGAAAACACTGTGATCAGGGCAGACCTGGGCCACAGCCTGCAATGGGGTGATCAGGCTGCTGTGCTGAATCTGGATGTCAGGAAGGTCTCCATGACGGTAACTTCTGTACAGAACAACCCTGGCATCCTGCTTCATTTTTAACTCACTCTTGATCTCCTATAATCACCAGAAACAAAGAAGGAACATTAGAATTCTATTTAAGAAAATCAAATGAAATTGCCAGGATCCATTTTTAACATAAAGATAAAAGGACAACCATTTTTATTCACACTGGTTTAGTCGTTATACCTTACCAGTTTATAATAAATGATAAATCCACAATAAAATTACTATGGCAGATAAGCAGTGAAAAGGTTATTTAAATATTCATTATGAAGTAATCTGAATATTAATAAATCAGAAGATTTGATTCCAAACTTTTAAGAAATATAACTGTGGTTCCTTTTAATTCCTCTAAGAGTAAGCCTTGGCTCCAAGGCCCAGAGTGATGTGATGCCTCCACCCTGCCTAGAATACATCTTCAGCTTTTCCTTCAACATTGAGGAACCATCTTAGTATTATCTCTCCAGAGAGACTTTCTACCACCTCTTAACCCAGGACTTTCCCAGATGTGCTCATTACTTGGTTTATTTCTGACATTACACATTATAACTTCAACTTATTTTTCTGTCTGTTCGTTCACTGGACTGACTTCACAAGGGTTTATATTCTGCTCACTTCTACAACACAGTGCCTGGTACTGAGTAAAATGCTCCAGACTTATTTGTTCAATGAATATATGACCACAAACGCCCAGCCTTCAGATGTCTAATTATTTCAATGCCACCCAATTACTGGGCAAATAGCTTCACACTTGAATGTCCATGTCAGAAGAAATGCATGACCACACACAGTAAGTAACTACACTGATCAATTATTACAAACTCTTCTTTGTATCAGGCCAAAATGTTATCTGCAACATCTACCCAGTAATCCTGGTTTCACTTCCTTCTACTGACCACACATTACTATTTCCTTCAGGCAGGCCTTGTTAGGTTTCAAGTTTAATCAGGAGCCCCGATTTCTCTGAGGAAGTAACGGAGCAAGAGAGGGTCCTAAGTACACTCTGAATTTAGACCCTACTCCTCAAAAGAATGGTTGTAATTAGAGTCAAGAAGATGAAAAGTACATTTTCTCCTCACAAAAGAGTCTGAGGAACCATTCAACTGCTTCATACATTTAGAAATAGTTGAAGGTTTACAATGAATTGGAGTAATGAAAGGGATTTTAATTCACTATCTACACTTTCTTGGAAATTTTGTCGTATTTACTGATTTAAACAAAACTGAAGCTACAGTTAAACAAATTTTTTTCATTATTTTTTTCTTTTGTGGTTCTAGAGATTTAACCAGGGATGTTCTACTCTCAATTTTCATGTTTATTTTGACAGTCTCTCACTTAGTTCTTTAAGCTAGTCTCCAACTTGTGATTTTCTTGCCTTAGCCTCCCAAATCACTTGGGATTGATTACAGGCATATGCCACTGCACTCAGCCATTATTTATACATTTTGAGAAACGTGTAAAATTAATTCATGCCATACCTGTGTCTCTAATCACACCTTCATCAGAGGTGTCTGGATTTTCTGGTAACCCAGCTTACTTGGTCCTTAGGGCTGCCATCCCCTCCCTGTCCCATGGCCTCAGTCTAACCCCAGTTGTGGGCCTCAACCCAAGATGGGCCCTCTGGCCTTGTGGCAGAGAGCTGGGTTAATCCCTTCCCAGAGCAGCTGATGCTGTAGGATATAAAATCAAGGAATAAACAGTGGTCATGTTTCCACCTGTAGGAAAAACTGAACTATAGAGAGGCAAGTGTGAAGCTAAGCTGCACTGAATAGCAGAAAGAGGAAAAGCCAGATCCTAGCAGTATGTGAACCAAGTAGAACACAGACTCAGGAGAATGAAGATTCTCATCAGACATCATGAGCACCCTTCACAACTGAGATATCAAAGGAGCTATGGTTCACATGTAACCTTAACACACACAGTGCTGTTTATGCAATTTTGGTTTGCAAATCAACACTGGAACCAATATCTGACAGAGCGTTATTTCCTTGTATACATTCTTTGATAGAAAACAGGCATTTCTGACACATTTGTGAAAAAGATACAAACCTTCTCTCGTTTTTGATCATCAAGGCCTTTTTTGGCATACATCAAACTGAGTTTTTCTTGGTCCTTTAAAAATCGTCTGCGCAACCTTAGTATTTCTGCTCGGCTGTCTGTGCCTGAAGGACAGAGTGGGCTTGGTTACTGACAGTCAATTCAATATGTGCACTTAGCCTCAACTCCTTCCCAAGAGCTCCTAAAGTAAAAGTGTGCTTTTCTACTTTAATATTTTTACTTAATATTTTCTTAAAGATATAAACTTAGAAAGAATAGCAAGAGGAGACACAAGATTATTGTGTCTCAGCAATTTTGGAAGCTAAAAGAACAAGAAAGTGAATCTGTGACAGTAGAAGCAAATGTGATTCCATTTTGTTTTATGACTTCATCCTGTAAAACCACCATGCCAAGTAGAAGGGTCATGACTGAGGCAAGATGTTCTTTTCCTTTTTACTATAGAAACCTTTAAGAACACAGAACTACCTAACGGGGCACTGTTTTTGTAACTAGGGTAAGGGGGCTCTGTTTCTGTAACTGGGGTGACTGGGCCAACTGTGATTGGTTAGGCTTCCCACCACTTGACTGCAATCTCCTGCTTCTGTAACCTGGCTTGCTTGAATTAGCTAAACCCCCGAACATCCCTTTTGCGGTTTTTAGGCTTATAAGAGTGCCCTTGCAATTGTTCGTGACTGATCAGGGGAACAGCTTTATGTTCTGGTCAGCCACCACCGGTGTGGCTTCAATAAAGGTTTGATTCGATTACATGTGAGTGGTCTGGAAGTCAGTTTATGAAACCCTGGGGCGAAGCTTTAACTATAACAGATCCTGGAGAGAATCTCAAAGGCTCAGGATATGGCTGGACTGGAGAAGGGGCAAAAGTGAAGCTGCAATAGGAGGTACGAAATGAGAGCAGAGTCCCCACATGCATGGCTACAAGGTGGGGAAGGCCAGCCCAGCATCTGCAGTGTCCAAGAGGACTTCTGAAACCGGTAGTGGCCCTGACATGCTAACAGGAGGCCTTTAGCTTACAGGCAGCAAAGTAGGAAGTTTGCCTCTGTGGCAATCAACCAGGAAAGAAGAGCTGATGCATCAGGGGTCTGTGTCATGGTCCACTTCTACCCCATCTTGCACCCACTCAGTCCCAATATGCATTATTCCAAACACCTTTTAAGTGCCCCACCTGGAAACACAAGCCAAAAATCAAAAATCATCAGACATTTGAGGAAAGCTTCAAATATGAAAGACAGAAACCCAAATAAATGATAGTGAAAGAACAACTGTTAAAGTAGACCATGCAGGGAAAAAAAATTCAAACAATTCCCATTTATTAAAAAGATAAAAGTAGGTGCTACAGTTTTGAATCAAGGACTAAAGAAATATTCAGAGATCAAAAACAGCTCATGGAAATTAAAAATATGTACCTCAAAAGGAAGGGTTAGAAGATGAGGTTGAAGATATTTTCTATAAAAAAGACAACAGGAAAAAAAAAGTAGGAAAATTAGAAGGATAATCCAGAGGTCTGATATCTGACCAGTAGGACTCCAAAGAGAAAACAGAGACAAACTGAGGTGAAGAAGTCATCAACAAAAATCAAGATGATATTCTCGAACTAGAAATAGAAGTTTATGGTCCAAAAGGACCCACTTTATGGCCAGATGAATAGATTAAAGCAGACTTGCATCAAAAGACACTTTTTTGAGTTTTCAGAAAACTGTTTGAAAAGAGATCTGAGGATCTGAGATCCACTGAGAAAAGACACAAGTTCTTACAAAAGATCAATAAGGAGAATGCCATGTCTCTGCTAGTACCTGACAGTTCCCTACCAGGATGTCTACAACTCACCAGGACCCCAGGTGTGCATGCTCTGGAAGGCAATATGGTGGCAACAAGATCTTAAAAAGAACTTCCAGCTTAGGACCCTTTTCTCAGAACACTAAGTTGGAAAACTCAGGTCCAGGGAAGTGAAGGAATCTTCAGGATGAGGAGGGGTCTTTAGATGATGGTTGAGCAGAGGCCCTGGGGCACACAGGCAGGTAGGGGGAGCCCAAGGACCCAGGAGAGTTTCTTTAAGAAGATGGCTAACTAAGCCTGGCATGGTGGCACATGTCATCTGTCATTCCAAAGACTTGGGAAATAGACGCAGGAGGATTGTGAGTTTGAGGCCAGCCTCAACAACTCAGAGAGACCCTGTCTCAAAATAAAAAATAAAAAGAGCTGGGGAAGTAGCTCAGTGGTAAAGCCCCCCTGGGTTCAGTCTTCAGTACCACTCACACAGATACATGCACACAAAAATTAAAAAGATGGGATATCTACATGTTGGGACACAGTAAAAGACAACTACAGAACTCAGGGAAATCTGGTGATAAATATGTAGAAAACTAAAACACATAAACCAAAATAATAACTACTTAGAGAAAAAAATATACAAGACATAAAAAATCATAGTGTTACTTGTGGCCCAATCACAAATAATACTACATAGTCAAATAAGAGGAAAACACTAAATACTGATGAAATGAGGACTAGGTGACACAACTGAGCAGGAGGATAGAACATTGGTGGACATGACTGTGTCTCTGTGATAAGCAGGGTGAGGGAGGGAGAAGGGCCAATCCTCAAGTGTTTATCATATAAAACCAGATGAGAATGACTAATACTGAAAGAAAAAGCTTGAAGATACGGAAGAACAAAACTCAGGTAAGTGGGTTATATAAATGGCTGCCTCTGACAAGACAATATGCAGAATTGCTGTTTCTTCTAACAAGCTTTTGAGAAGTGTCTGACTCTTCAAATGATATGCACATATAACTCTGATACAAACAAATAGAGGAATTTACTCATGCTTCTAATCTTCTATAAATCTAAATGCATATATCTAAATATAAATCTAAGTTTTGTCTTGGGATCTTTTTGCTGCACATTTTCTCCCTCTGGACTTCCACTCTGCCGGAGAGTTGCAAGTTTCATAAAGAGCTAAACTCCTCTCTGCCCCACCCTCTTGGCCTTGGTTCTACAAGCCTGCCCAACTTTCCACTGTCACCCTCAGCATTCCACTGTGCTGTTGGGGGCCACCCCACCCACCTTCAAGCCAAGACCCTGGATTATGATACCTCTGCCTTGCCTCTTGGTTCTCCTCCTTCCACTTGCTGTCCCCAAAAATCTCTCTCAGAAAGGGTCAGAATTTTCTTGCTACCTCTGCTTAATTCATCTTGTGGCTGCTTCCCAAAGTTCACTCCATTTCCCATAAGCCTGTCTCCTTCTTCGCCTCCTTCACCATGACTCAGGTCCTGGAGCACCCATTTCCTGAACTAGGGAGGGCCCTTGTGTCCTTGGCATGGAGTCCGCTCTCTGTAAACATTCACTCAACTGCTCTAATTCCCTCCCTCCTGCCAAACACACTGCATACTTCTCCACCTTTCTCCTTTTCATCTTCTGCCTTCCTGCATCCCAGGCTCTCAGGCTCCTCCTTCACCCAGTATTTCTGAACATTCCCTCCCTGGATTTAAATTCTTTCACTTTTGAGATGTGGATTATTAATTCTACCTCATTTGATGATCACCAATATATTGTTGAACCCATCCTAATGTTCTAGAAAGTCACTAAATGAAAGGATGTTATTCCCAATTTTAAAAAGAGTTTTTCTGGAACATCTAAAAAACAATGTTTTTAACATGGTAAGTGCCCAGACAACATTTACTGAATTGAATTTTAATGTGCTTAACTACAGACTACAAGGAAATGGGGATACACTCAGAAATTCTGCAGTAATTTACAAGGTAAACTATTTTAAACATGCTTCAGCAAGCTTACTTACCATCTTTCACTTTGTTATCCACCTCATCCCCAGGAAGGCCCAGCCTTTTTCCCCCAAAATCAGGTCCCACTGACTTCCAGGGAGCTCTCTGAGACTTTTCCTTCCTCTTGTTGGCAAACAACAAGGAAGAAGACAATGAATCAGATGAAGAGATCGTATAATCTGCCATTGGGTCAATACTGCTCCCAGTCAGCCAATTAAACGAGCTTCTTCCATCTGCAAATACATATGATCAGAGCATTGAGGACTCTTGGCACCACAGCTTAGCCTGTACAGGGCAGCAAACCTGCTGGGGCACACCCAGCAGCATTCAGGCTTCTGTAGCCACCTGAGACATTGGGCAGAGGCTCGGCCAGCTCTCCAATGTGCAACCCAGGGTAGTTCAGATACTTGAGTCTCAGTGTCTACACTTGTAAAATAATGTACTCCTTTGTCCACTGTGATCATGATACTTTGTATCTCCTATAAGGTGCTAGAAGTCCATTATTCCTAAAATTAGTGTTGCAGAATTTTCATTGTGATTATTCAAATTCATCTTATTTCCAGATATAACAGAATGTGAAAACACAATTGTATAAAAGGAAAAATGTTTGAGTGTTTATATAAAATTAAGATTTTTACTCTATAATTTATACTTTGTTTATCAAAAGAAGCAATTTAGCCATTTGGGAAAGAACAAGTTTAATAAATTATTAACACAGTAAATAAATTAGTTTAGCTGTACTTTGCTTGTAAGATAAGATGTTTTAAATTCAATGCACAAATAGTTTTCTGGAGAAAACCAAACCAAAACAAACATTTACTTAAATTGTCCCTTTAGTCAGAAATAATCCTTTTCTCCTTTCAAAAAACATTGTGGTAAAACATACATAATGTTTACCATTTCAGCCATTTTTTAAGTGTACAGTTCAAGGCACTAAGCCCATTCACATCATTACATCCATCTCTAGACCATTTTCCTCTTAAAAACTGATACTCTGTACCCACTATAGTGCCTCATCTCCCTCTTCCTCAGCCTCCAGCAACTACCCCTCTACTTTCTGTCTCTGAGAAGCTATTCTGGGACCTCCATTCTTTTCTCCTTTGACTAATACATCTTTCTTATGGTTTTATGACTTTTTGCTATTCTCACTTGTCTCATAAAAGGTCAGTGTTCTTGCAATAGAAGCTTCCACAAGTCATAGCACTGGGCGACTGGTTACCTGAAGTTTGTGTAGGGGTGAAATCATATTGCTGTTGGGTAGCCCGAACTTGCCCAGCCTTTGGCCACTGAGCTGGAAGGAAGCCTTCCTGGGTTCGGGTCTGCAGAGTGCTTGGGGAGGCCTGGGTCTCAATAAACATTGGAGTGAGAACAGTACTTCGGAAACGCCAATCAGGATCAATGGTATACTCCTGCAAGTAAGAAAGTTTCAAAGGAAATAATGATCCTTCTGTAGCAACATTGAATTATTTCTATTTAAAATCCAATGGTACCATCAGCAGATACGTACTGTCATTTCATATTTCTTTGTGAAAAGCAAGTGAAGAAGAACCTTTTCTTACTTTAAAGTCTCAAAAACAATCATTTGCCAAGCACAAAAATGAATCACTACTGGGGGAGAAAATCATCCTCCTCCCATTAACATTCTCCATTAGGAAGCTGATGCCATACTCAGTAATGGCCATGTCACCATAACCTGACCTCTACAAGTCTAATGACTCAACTCTCCTAAGTACCCAAGAGTGCTAAGCACGGTGACAGGTTACATCTGTAATTGGAAAATCCAAAATGCTACAAAATCTAAAACTTCATGAGCAACAGATAACAAGGTGCTACAAGTGGAAAATTCCACACCTGACTTTCTATGACAGGTCATGGCCAAAATGCAGGCCTGTTAAAAAAACTATAAATTTATCTTCAGGCGGTGTATAAGGGGAGTATGAAACATAAATTAATTTTGTATCCCTCCCCCAACCAAAGATATCTCATAATATAGCTCCCCCAAGAATTTTTTTATATTGTATTTATTTATTTTTATGTGGTGCTGAGGATCGAACCCAAGGCCTTGCACATGCTAGGCAAGCACTCTACCACTCTGCCCCAACCCCAGCCCCTCCCCCTAGAATTTTGAAATCCAAACCAATTCTGATCCCAAGCATTTCAGATAAGGGATCCTCAACCTGAACTAGGTTACAACTCAGACCCCCCCACTACAGTAATGTCCTTGTCGATGTGTACCACATGGTGATTGTTATAGCTGCTATGAGAAACCACGAACTTGGCACCCACTGGGTAGGCAGGAGTAGTACTAGGAAGGGGAGAAAGAAATCCAATTGAAGTGTGAGGCTGACATTTATGAGCCTCTAAGAAGCAGGGCAGCACATGTAAGTATCTCATAAAGTATGCACATATTCCAAGAAAATTAAGTTTTCTCATTAAGCCATTAGGTGTTTCCTAGCTAACCAACAGGAAAAGAAAGTATGAATACAGAGGTAAGTACTTCACCTGAAATGTGCATTCTGACAGAGGATGTTCAAACATGGGGTTTGGATAATCTGGGCTCATGCTGGTCATTTCAAGAAGAAAATTTGTTGCTAAGCTTAAAAAGTGAACTTCTATCTTAGGTGAATATAAGGAATTTAGTGCTAATAATCGGTCCAAGGTATTTGAAGGTAACCTAGTTTCATGACTCCAGAAATTCCGAATAATTAATCTGAAAATCAGAGAGGAAGAAAGCACATTCTTATACACTGGCAAATAAAAAAAGGTGCTGCACATGGTGTCATGTGGGGTAGGCACAGAAAGATTTACAGAGAAAGAAACCACATGTATAAAGAGTATAATCTGAGTTATAAAAAATAACATGGGTTGAAGGAAAAACACATATCCCCAAAATGTATCACATTTAACTGGTACTTTTCTTCTCCTATTCTCTGGGAAGTTTTTTTTTTTTTTTTGGTGGTGATAGGGATTGAACCCAGGGCCTTAAGCATGGAAGGCAGGTGCCCTACCAACAATTCACTCCAAAAATTACTACCAAAACTTTTTTACAACATTAGCCAAAAATCAGTTCAGGTATTATAATTTATGAATGTTTATGAAATTCAAATGTAATTTTTAAAAAATATTTATTTTTTAGTTTTTTAGGTGGACACAATATCTTTATTTTATTTTTATGTGATGCTGAGGATCAAACCCAGTGCCTCGCGCATGCCAGGTGGGAACGCTACCACCTGAGCCATATCCCCAGCCCTTTTTTTGATACCAGGGATTGAACTCAGGGACACTCATTCACTGAGCCACATCCCCAGTCCTATTTTGTATTTTATTTAGAGACAGGGTCTCACTGAGTTGCTTAGCACCTTGCTTTTGCTGAGGCTGGCTTTGAATTTGCGATTCTTCTGTCTCAGCCTCCTGAGGTGCTAGGATTATAGGTGTGCACCACTGTGAATCCAAATATAATTTTTAAAAACTCAATGAGTTTAAATTGTAGAATAGAAAAAAAATCAGTGATAAATCACATAAAAAGTTGATGTCTCTTAGATGTTTTGGTACTTGGTAAGATACTCATAGACTTTCTCTTCATTTTGAAACACTGTAACTCACTGAGTACAGAGTGCTTTGTCCTCACCAGTTTTATTTTAAAGTAATTTGTCAGGATTTTAAAAAGATTTTTTTTAGTTGTAGTTGGACACAATACCTTTATTTTATTTATTTATTTTTATGTGGTGCTGAGGATCAGACTCAGTGTCTCACATGTGCTAGGCAAACACTCTTCATAATGTGATTTTAAATACATTTTTACTAAACATTATGAAATGCAAGATGTAGAGAAAATGCTGACACTACAAATACATTTGTAAAACTACTGAGATATACTCAAATCTAGTCTAGAAAGCAATACTCCTAAAATTTAATTATTTTGGCCCAATTATTCCAGAGGAACACTTACTGAAGCCCAAGGTTCTCATCAATCAATCCTTGAATCAGCACATCTTTTGCCAACTTAAATAATTCCTGGGAGTCATCATCTGTTTGACTTTCTGGATCTCTGAGAAAGCAAAAAAAAAAAAAAGAAAAGAAAAACATTAATACTCCATTCTAGTTCTTTTGTTCAATCTAATCACTGTCTTAGAATTGAAGGAAGAAGGCTGACTTGTCATGGGACTGTCCCTCCCATTGGCACAGTGGGCACCTTACTCTGGGAGTGTAGGCCAGACCTGCCCCGTTCTCTAGTGACTCTTACTCCTGTCACTGCTGTCAGAAGGGGAAGGGAAAGGAGCAGGAAAGGTGAGGGTCCCCCAGGGATGTGGGGTCCTGGCAGAGGCATCTCCTCAATTTTGTCAGATTTTAAAAGGATAACTACAAAAATAAGTTTTATGAGGACACTAGGGTACTTTTAACTCAACCAATAATTTCATTCTCTGAATATTTCCTACTCATACATGAAATAAGTTAAAATAAGAAAACAATATACTAAATTATATGACTAAAAAATGTTTTATTATGTTCCAAATTGCTAAATATACCCAAAAGATCCCTCAAAAAAGAAATATAAAATGTCAATGTATGGTTTACCTATAATTGTCATGAATCCACATGAGAATATTATACATTTGTTCCCTACAAATTGGAGAAGGATGGGAAACAAATTCCACTACAGGATTCAGAAGTTCTCGGAGTTCTACTGGTTTCAATTTTGCCAACATCTTATAAATTATGTCCAAACATACTTTTTGTCTTTCATCGTCTCTATAATAAAAATTTAAAATGCACCAATTTAACATTATAATACTTTCGAAGCATGACAAACAATGTTTTCTTTTTTCTGGTGTTCTACAGTTTCAAAATTTGTTATGATATTGCCATCACCATAAAAAGAGGGGGAAAAAACTGTTATAATACTACACCTACAAGACAACAATTAAATACACTAAAATGGATTGGACTCTGAAATAGAAAAAAAAGACATGAGTAAAATGCAAATAAGGTTTCACTTATTTATCAGTAGTGTGCTAATGTTACTTTCTTTGTTTTGACAACTACACCATTATTAAAAATGGGGACACTGGGTGAAAGATGTGGGAATTCTGTAGACTATCTTTTAACTATTCTGTAGAAATAAAACTACTTCAAAGTAAAAAGTTTATTTTAAAAAAGAATACCTGATGGTGGCAAACAAAATAAGATACAAGGAAAAGAAATCATAAAATCCAAAATTCAAGTGCTACTTGGTGTGAACTGAAGTATAGTCTGAGTCCTAAATGAAGTAAACACCTATTTTTATGTTTTACTCCTTAAAGTATTCAGCTTAATGCCTTATACACAGTACACAGTAAATATTTACTGAAGAATATCAGAAGAGAATGATTTATATTCCTTGTTACTGGCACATTATACAAATGTCAGGAATTTATCACTATGTAAAATACATAGATGAAGACTGGAAAAAGACTATAGAAAAGAAAATAATTTAAGCGATGCACAGCTTTCTCTTTTTATTTTTGTTTGTTCTAATTAGTCATACATGATAGTAGAATGCATTTTGACACAAATGAAGCTCAACTTCTTATTCCTCTGGCTGTATCTGGTGCAGAGTCACTTCCGTAGTGTAATCATACATGTACATAGGGTAACAGTGGCAACTTTCTCTTTTAAGTTTACTTTTATGCTACACTGCAATTTTGGAAATAAATGAATAATTTTAACACATAAATGCACACATTCTAAATCTAAAGAGAGCCTGACAATGCAATGCCCTAGGACAGGACACCTCATGTATTTGTCAGTGAAATACACAAGGCTTGGATGTGACCTCTGCAGGCACCTAGACAGAGGGGCCTATGAGCAGGCCCACCTCCTGCTTACATTTCATTCCTATACCGTCTTCACCTTTTCCTCTTAAAGTTCACAAATACATGCATTTCATGAAAACAGGCAAGTGCTTAATGAGTTGAAAGAGATATCTAAACAAATGAACATTTTATGATCCATTTAACATCTGAAGGCATGGGGTTGGTGTTCACCCACCTATGTCTCATGACTTGAATGAAGTCCTTGCTCTTTAACTGAAAATACAGGTCTGTTATTTCCTCTGCACGACAAAGTACCACCTCTAGACAAAGCGTCTTCATAACGCCATGAAATTTTGGCAGCAGAAAAAATACGGCATTCAAGAACCTAATGGATGGTAAGAAGCCAGATGAGAGGACTGCTGCTGACCCCACCCGCCACAATTGATCCCATAACCCCTACCTGTCAGCCAGGGGAGGGAAACCCTTCACTGCTTTGTTCAAGCACACAATAAATTTGTCCTCCATAGTATTCTGATGTTGCTTCAACTGTTTCACAACCAGTTCACACACCGACTCCTCCAAGACCTGAAACATTAAGTTTCTTTCAAATACATAAAAATGGAAACTTATGTTAAGTAATGAAAAAAAGGTATGTCTTGGATATTTAAGTGAACCCAAGGAAGATGTCCACTGCTATCTCTTACACCTGGGTTCACAAGGTGAATGAAGAAGGAAACACTGGGAATGATTAGGAGTTTGTATTAACACCAGATAGTTCTGAGGCTCAGGGTTCTTGAGAAGGTCCTATGAGAAGAAACCAGGCCACATAATTGGTAGTGTGCTATGAGCTGCTTAATGCCCTTGCCTCCTTCTGACACAGAAATGCTGCAAGTAAATCCTTTGAGAATCTAAAATTAATTTTAATGTGTCTCAAATACAGTTTAGGACATGATTTATAATGTTCAGATCTGGTCAAACATTCATAGACCAGTTTCCAAACTACTCTAAGTAACAGCCCCTATCACTGTGTCTCTGCCTATCCCACTGTCTCTTTACCATGTATTACTGTGTTACCAGCAGCCAAGCCAGGGATCCCGGCTGGCTGGCTTTGGCCACCAACTGGCATTTGAAATAGGCAAAAGGATGAAAAAGAAAAAATGGACTTTATGCAGTTTGATTAAACTAGGGAGAAGCAGCTACATTGTTTCTCCATTGGTCTCACAGACAGTTACAATTCATAAAGACCAAAACCAGGCAATACATATATGTAGACTTAGATAGGCTGTGCTTAGTCAGACAATGTCAGTCTTAGTTTCCTTGGGGTCCGTCCTCATCTTTAGGCAGGAATCAGGAAACTGCTTTAATTTCAAAGGGGATTTGTTTCAAATCTACTGTTAAATACTCATTTGCATATTATCTGTCCCCTCTGTAATTGTCAACTCTCTAAGGGCACAGATACGGCCTGTCTATTCTATGCTATATCTTCCGGGCCTGAAACTAACAAGTCCTCAAAAGTAGGAACTCAATATAGACAAGTACTGGACAGAGTCTACTGGAATGAATTTATGGAAAATGTTCACTTTCTTTATTCACGGCTCACTCACCTGCTTCTTCACAAAGACAGAAAAGGAGAAAGCAACATTTCAAAGGCACTAAGATCAAATGGATAGTTTTTCAATACAAATTTACCAGTATGAGACTACTTAAATTATGTTCCAGGAAATCCTTAACCACAAATTTCAGTGGTTTTGAACCCCGTGTAAAATATTTCAAGTATTTCCCTACTGATTCATATGATGTCTTTTGGGGTTGAGGGTGTATCTCAGTGGCAGGGTGTTTGACTGGCATAAGATATGTCCTTTAACTAAGAGTTTAATCTGATGACAGGGTCAAAGTCTAGCAAGTAAAGAAAAAAGGTTATAGAATAGTACAGATAAAGCAAACAGAAGAAAGGGGGGCATATAAACACAGTGGTGATCAGAGCCACTAGAGCTAGGTGTGCAGCTGCCGAGAGTGACTTGGCAGGGAGAATGTGAACTGCCTGACTTACTCCTTTATATTTTATTTTTATTATCCAAATTTATTTTATTTTCTACACTGTCTATACCACTTTCGTACTTATATACATGTGAAACAAAAGTGTTTATTATCCTTCTTAAGTTGAAATTTAAGTAATGAGAAAATAAATCTAGGAATCACCTATAATGTGTTCCACATTTGGTGAAAATAAAGCATGTTACACACATTTAAACTTAATAATATATAGGGGCATTAGAATCATGTGGTAACAAGTTACTCTAAATTTGTAGTTTTTTTAATTACAAAAATAGCTGGTAACCCCTAAAATAAATTATAAGTGAAGTTTGAGCTTCCCAAGGGGGTCTGTTTCCTTGAGTTATTTAATTTTATTTTAAATTCAAATGAATTCCTAATCAGGGAAATAGACAAGGATCCAATCTGCTGTCTTGGGTCATTGGGTGTCCAATCAGGGTCACCCGGGCTGTCCTAAGCCTCTCCTAGCTGACTCACAGCAATCACAACCTGGACTCCAACCTAGTCTTTTCTGTCAGAAGGATGTGGAGTGGAGCTATGAATTTAGGAATAATGAACATAAAGGGTGTTTTTTAAAGCCATGAGGCTGGATGAGATAGGCAGGGAAGTATGAAAAAAGAGGACCAAAATGGGGAAAGGCATCTAAGGAGAGAAAAAAGAAGCTGTTAGGGAAGTAGGAAGAGAGCCAAGGAAGTGTCGAAGTAGTAGTTACCTGTGTCATCTGGCCAGACTGCAACAGGAAGACCCTGGGACCTGCGTGTGTGTGTGTGTGTGTGTGTGTGTGTGTGTGTCTGTCTGTCTGTCTGCAGTGCTGGAGAAGGAACCTAAGGCTTCACACATGCTAGGCAAGTGCTCTACAACTGAGCTTCACCTTTAACCCCTTCACAGAACTTCATCACAATGAGTGGCCTGCAGCAGATGTGTTAACATGACAGCATGCTAGGCAGTGCAGAAAGCCTCTCTCTGCTATACTTTGAGATAAATGATAACTTGTGGTCAACACAGTGTCCTATGCAGCCATATATATATATATATATATATATATATATATATATATATTTAATAATTAATTTTACCTATTAGCAGAATACTGTGATCTGAAACTGCACTGCACTTAAATACTCACTTTGGTTCTCCTCAAATCCTATAAAGTATAGGCAGGGCACATGAAACTGGAAAAGGTCCCCTGAGAAGTACCTGCTCTGATAACAGATTTATTATTGTGAAATTTCTGAGTGGAGGATATGATCAGGATAATTTAGCTATTTACCAGGATAATTTTCTCCAAAAGGAAATCTTAAGACTAAATTCAGAGGAAGGCAGGCTAGTTAAATAGTTGCTTCCTGAGTTTTACAATGCAAAGTTAATTGTCAATCTTTAAATGTTTGGCAAAATACCAGGTGTTTAAAAGTCATATGTCCGGGCTGGGGATGTGGCTAAAGCGGTAGCGGGCTCGCCTGGCATGTGTGCGGCCCGGGTTCGATCCTCAGCACCACATACACACAAAGATGTTGTGTCTGCCGAAAACTAAAAAATAAATATTAAAAATTCTCTCTCACTCTCTCTTTAAAAAAAAAAAGAATTTTTTTTTTTAGCACTTGTTTGATTCCCAATACTAGGAAGGAAAAAAAAAAAAGCTTGTTAAAAGTCATATGTCCTCTCTAAAAAACTGAGCATTGTATTTGGTATACAGTAAGAAAGAGGGTAAAAAATTATTAAATATATTGGTCCACTGTGTTGCAAATAGCATATAAGAAATACATGTATTAAAGATCATTACAAATGAATTTGAAAGGAAGCACTTAATTTAGAACACACTCACATTTTTTCTCTCAGTACCATATTGAAGAATAAGTCCTAGAACTTCTGCTGCTGCTGCATAAACCTCTTTATATTTTACAAAGGACATATTATTGACCAAAGCTTGAAAGTATCTACAACAAATACAAAAAATAAGTATGCATAAAATAATCTATTCTGATGTTTGACAAAAATATAAAAATTATCCTCATTATCACACTACTAGAACAAATTGAGAAATATGAAATACAATTGATCAACAAACATATGCAAAAATGTTCACCATCTCGAGTGATTAGAGAAATGCAAATCAAAACTACTCTAAAATTTCATCTCACTCCAGTCAGAATGGCAGACATCAAGAATACAAGCAACAATAAGTGTTGGCAAAGATGGAGGGAAAAAATACATTGCTGATGGGACTGCAAATTGGTGCAATCCTCTGGAGATTCCTCAGTATGCAGATTCCTCAGAAAACATGGAATGTTCGGAACCACCATTTGACCCAGTTATCCCACTGCTCGGTCTGTACCCAAAGGACTTCAAATCAGCATGTTATGATGATGCAGCCGTGTCAATTTTTACAGGAGTAGGGGAAGTGTGTGGAGATGGGAGGAATGCTAGAATGACATGAACATTACCACCTATATACAGATATGACCACACTACTGTTGTGACTATGAACTATGTTCAGCCAGAGGAAGGAGAAGTGTACAATGTGTCTAAATGCATTCTACTGTCATGTATAACTCATTAGAACAAATTAAAAAAATAAAAACATTTTAAAAAGAAAATGTGAACATAAAACATAATGCAACTTGCTTGTATGAGTATGTATTTAAGGCTACCTCAAAATAAAATTTAAAGAAAAAATAAATAAAAGTGCTGGGGAGATGGTTCAGTGATAGAGTGCCCCTGAATTCAATCCTCAGTAATGCAAAAAAAATTTAATTAACTAAAAAGTAAAAAATGTTAGTTTCAAAAATAAGAATAAAATATGTAACACCTCTTATCTGCTGAAACCTACACAAGAAAAATTCAATCACATTTTTTAAAAGATTTTTTTTAAGATGAACACAATATCTTTACTTTATTTACTTATTTTCATGTGGTGCTAAGGATCGAACCCAGTGCCTCACAGGTGTGAGGCAAGTGCTCTACTGCTGAGCTATAACCCTAGCTCCCAAAAATCACATTTTAAAAAATATTTTTTATTTATACATAGACACAAAATCTTTATTTTGTTTATTCATTTTTATGTGGTGCTGAGGATCAAACCCAGTGCTTCACATGTGCGAGGCAAGTGCTGAGCCATAACCCCAGCCCCCCCAAAATTATATTTTTAAAAAACTAAATTCCTCATTCACTCAAGATAAAGTTCTTGGGGCTGGGGTTGTAGCTTAGTGGTAGACTGCTTGCCTAGCACGTGTGAGGCCCTGGGTTCGATGCTTAGCACCACATAAAAATAAATAATTAAAATAAAGGTATTGTATCCATCAAAACTACAAAAAAATATTTTAAAAAAAAAAGATAAAAAAGTTCTTCTCCCAAATAACCTCTAAACCAAACCTTTTTATTTTAGGTAGATATTTTTTACATGGTCCTTACATATATCAAATCAAACCATGTTCCATTCTGACAATCCAATTCAATTTTTTAGTTTAACAACTAAAAAACAAAGCAAAAAAAAAAAGACACTTACTTGATACTCTCTATGCCACACTTTGGGTCATAGGGAGGCAAGTTATTGGCCATTACAATACCTAATAACTGAATCCCTATGGAATTGTCTTTAGAATTGGGGTCCTGGCTGGAAAACTTTTCAAATATTAACCTGAAACACAAGCACAAAGAAAGGAAAAATAGAGATTGTCATACAATGAAATGAACAGCAGGAAGGTAAAAACAGTATTTTCTAAAGTTCATTTTCAACTAAAAGTGTAAGGAATACTTTATATTTTCCCACATTCAAGATTCCTTCTTGCACAACATTCCCTTTGTTCATTTTTTTTTTAATATTTATATTTTAGTTGTAGTTGGACACAACACCTTTGTTTTTATTTATTTGTTTTTATGTGGTGCTGAGGACTGAACCCAGGGCCTCACACATGCAAGGTGAGCGCCTACCATTGAGCCACAACGCCAGCCACCTTTGTTCATTTTTATATTCTAATTTTTATTGCTGCCCCAATCTGTTAGTTGATGGTCAAACTTTTTTGAAAGTTTTGGCTTGTCTCAGGCTATCTAAAAGAAGTCAAACAAATGCCCTATAGGCTACCCCTGGCTGGGGAAGTGCAAACAAGAGAGCCCCCACCAACTGCCTGAGGATGAGGCAAAGCATAGGTAAGCCAAGAGACAGAAGGGGACTACTGGAGGCACTGACCACCCAGAGACACTCCTAGTATAACTTTGGAGGTTTTGGCTTTTATCGGTTGCTAATTATATTCTTATAAATGGACCCTATTTAAAATAATGTTCCTGGTATCACTTCACATAATTATATTTCATTGTAACCATCATTTACAAAATGCTATATTTTAACTTAAATTTCTGAACAACATTGCAAAAATAAGTAATAGTATACCTGTAAGGGATGGACAGACAATCCTTCCAGCATTCTACGAGGGTTTTTATAATTTCAAGGTTGTGTCTAAACACAGCTCTTTTGGGATGGAAGACATGTTTCATTAGAAAATGAAGCAATCGATTTGCTAACACTTCATCCTTAGGGACTCCCTGAAAAAGTATAGAAATTCTGATTAATATGCAGCATCTATTCTGGAAAAGCATCTTTAAATCCAAAGGCAATTTCTAAAAGAAATGTGGCATTTTACTGAAGGGCCTGGCTCCTGGTTAAACTCCATGTGACCTATCAGGTCTAGTCATAGGCAGTACACAGGCTTCCCTTGGCATGATGAGGGGGATCGCTGTACCTGCACAGACTTGGCCACAGCTCCTACACTGCAAGGGACCTGTAGTAAGAGGCTCAAGTCTGGCCAGCCATGCTCTTTGCACACCTGCATCCTAGCCTGGAGCTTCTATTCCCAGCTCCTTTCTGAACCCTTGGACAGAGGTCCTCTTCTAGGGCCTTTGATGAGACCTCCAAATGAGGCAGGAAGGGAAACTGGGAAACTTGTACCATAATGACTCTGTACCCAGTACTTTTTGACTCTTGGCCCTTTCCTTCATTACCACCACCCCAGCCCCACAATTCCCCATCCACCCCAGAGTCCATAAAATTGCCAGAGTCTTTGTTTAGGGCTCCTCAAAAGTACTGATCTCCCTAACACCTGACTGGCTGTTATTCCATGGGGAAAATGGAAAAGGTGAGTCAGTTCTTACTTCAGAACACACAGTGATAGGACCTGTCAATCAATTTCTTAGCAATCTCTACTGTTACCAATACTAGACAATACTTGGAAGCTAGGTGTGACAGCACATGCCTGTAATTCTAGAATTTGGGAGGCTGAGACAGAAGGAGTTGAGGCCAGCCTCAGCAACTTAGTGAGAGTCTAAGCAACTTTAATAAGACCCGGTCCTGAAATAAAATGAAAAATAAAAAGAGCTGGGGATACAGCTAAGTAGTAAAGCATCCCTGGGTTTAATTCCCAGTAACAAAAAATAACCACCACCACCACCAACAACAACAACAACAACAAAAACTTAGAGTTAATAAGTTGGAAAAAAAATTCAAAAAAATCCAGACTTTATTAATACCAGAAGTCCTCAGAACCTGACATTGAGTAGATACTACTCAAAATATTTTATATTTTTTATATATAATTTTAATAAATTGGTTATCTAGTCTCCAAGCTCTTAACTAATAAAAGCAGCAAACAAAACACACTGATAGCTTAGTAATAAAGGTAAGGTCAGAGGAATTATCAAAAGTAGAAAAAGAGCGGGGCATGGTAGCACATGCCTATAATCCCAGAGATTTGGGAGGCTGAGGCAGAAGGAGGTCTGGAGGGTATAGTTCTGTGGTAGAGCACCCCTGTATTAAATCCCCAGTATCACCACCACCCCCACAAAAAAGAAAAAAGAACAAAAGAATGAACAGTATGAGGCCATGTGATGTGACAGCAGTACAGCAATATAACAACTGCTGCTAAAGCAATGACTTATTAAGAGGTGCACAAATCGTGTGCCAATAAGTTCTCCGGTATGCAGCAGAGGAATAATGTATATCAGGAGGAATAATGTGTATTACACAGTATATTTCTACATAATAGATACATTATTTCTTACTATAGGGGTAGCCAAGCCTGTCCATGAAAGAACAGTAGCCACAATCTCGACCACCATGTAGTGAATTCCTTCTCCGCCATTGTTTTCAGAAACGACCAGTTGCAACAAAGGGCTAAGCCAATTCTTTGCATAAGGGCGAAAGACCTACAAGAGAATTTAAAAGTCAAATATAGAAGAATCCTTTTGAATAATCAAAATATTAATATAGGAATTTATTCTCCATCAGCTAAAATTTTATGACTTAACCTAAATTCAAAATAAATGTAAATTCCAACAATTAACTCACTTAATTGGATTATATTTGATGAATTATCTCTTTATGAGCTCCTAAACAATTCAAGTGAAATGGATTTATAATTGATCTTATTGTTTAAAAACCTTTGTTATGTAATGATGCTTATAGAAATCAAAATCAAAGTATTCCATAGTAATCCCCTCTGTCCCTCTAAATAATAGGCAGTTATAGAAAATTCAACTTTCATTTTATACAAAGGCATAGTACATAGGAAAAATAAAGGTTAAAAAAATCAGGTAGGAATATATGTCTCAATTTCCGCCCCCCATTTTTTTCCCTATCTTCAAAGTCATTCTGTAATAAACTTCACATCAGCTCAACTTCAGATCTCTAAAGTCTAATTCCAATATATCCATATACTAAATTCCATTTAATTTATATTAGAATTGCAGGAGAATGCCATTTTGATGGAAAAGAAGACTGAGTTATTTACTTCTTACCCTTTCTACCTTCTCATTTTCAAGTATGTTTAATTTGTGTGGCCACAGATCTTTTTTTTATAAAACTTTTTATTTTTTAAATATTATTTTTTAGTTGTAGATGGACACAATACCTTTATTTGTTTGTTTATTTATTTATTTTATGTGGTGCTTAGGATTGAACCCAGTGCCTCACACATGTAAGGCAAGCACTCCACCAATGAGTTACAACTTCAACCCCACCATAAACCTTTTTTGATCATGCACCCATAAGAACAAAATCTTGGGCACACTCTATGTATGTCTATAACTCTAATTTATTCATCATATATGTAAACTTCTTTATTAGGCTATTAAACTATAACAAATACTTAATGGTTAAAAGGTTAAAACTGAATGCAAATATAAGTTCTTTTCTTCCACAAGACAAAGACTGTTGGGTTGTCTCATTTTGAGTATCACTACTCTGATGACATCCACATGCACAGCACTTCAGGGACATGTCCTAGTGACGTCTCAGAGTCATTTGTGCAAATACAGTGTAGCAGGCTTCCCTATCAGCCTAACTGCCCATGTCTAGCCCCACCAAGAAATCATCCAAAAAATAGCTCCTTTTTGGTAGATATTGAGTCAGTGCTTTAGCTAAAAATCAGGTGTGATGCCGAGTGTTAGGGGTTGAACTGTATCCCCTAAAAAGCTGTTTGTTGTCCATCATATGAGTTCTCAAAATGTGACCTGATTTGAAGTTTAAATGAGGTTATTAGGTGAACCGTAAACCAATACACTGGTGTCCTTTATTTTTTTTTTAACTTTTAAAATTTGCTTTTATTAGTTATACATGACAGTAGAATGCAATTATGCACTTTGATATATCATACATAGATGGGATATGATTTCTTATTTTTCTAAGTGTACATGTTGCAGAATCATATTGGTCATGCAGTCATATACATACATACAATAATAATTCTGTTTCATTCTACTAGCTTTCCTATCCCCACATTTCCTCCCCTCTCCTCCCATCACTTCCCTCTATCTAATCTAACACTATTCTTCCCTAGTGCCCTCCACCTTACTGTGATCCTGAGGTATCTGAAGCACAATGGTGTCCTTTAAAAAGGAGAAATTTAAATACAGCAACAGACAGATGTGTAGAAGACGACAACACAGAATCCCATCCACATGCCAAAGAATGCCTAAAGCGACTAGAAGCTGAGAGAAGCCTCAACCAGATGCTTCCTCACAGGTCTCAAAGGAACCAACCCTACCAATACCCAGATCTCAGATTTTAGAACTTCACAGCCCATGTTTAAGCCCCACTGTCACCTTGTGACAGCAGCCCCAAGAGCTAGAAATCCAGAAAGACCCCAAGGAAAGCAAGTCCTACTAGAGTCCCAGGCAGCCTCTCTCTGGATTACATCCAAGAACTACCTACCTAGACGGGCTTTTCTACTGGGAAAGATGATCTAAGTGGATCATGTCAATCCTCCACTTAGCACCCTTCAGTAGCTCCCTACTATTCATCAAATGAGCCAGACCCCTTACAAGGCCTAGTCTAGGTCACCTGTCACTCAGAAACCTCTCATCCAGACCTTGCCCCATGGTCTACTCAGTTAGTACAGACATATTAGCAATCTCAGGGGTCACTTCTGCTCATGCAGCTCCTTCTAAGCAGAATGCAAATCTCTACCACACTAAGTCCAAGGGCCCTCTCCAAAATCTACTCAATCCCCCTGGTGGAAGGTGCTCCCAACCTAATTGGTGCTATGTGTAAATGAATTGACAAATTCAGCAACTACCTAAGAGAAAGAGACTTATTTTTCATTTAGAGTTAACAGGAATTTTTTTTTTTTTAAAGCAGTGGGGGTTTGTGTGTGTGTGTGTGTGTACTGGGGATGAACCCAGGACTTGCGCATGGAAGGCAAGCACTCTACCAACTGAGCTATATCTCCAACCCAACGGGAATATTTTTACCCATTTATTTTTTGCTATTATAAACAAAGAGGGTCGACAGCCTTAAGAAAGTTGCCACATATACTCTACACAAAGATAATACCTAACTCATCAGAGATTAATTTATGTTCGATAAAACAATGTACTTTCAAGATATAGCTGGCTAATTTGTTGAGAACAGAAACATGCTCTCACCATTTAGAACTTCCTTCATTGTGATATTCTTTAAGCAGATGCATAAAACTGAAAAGAATTGTTAAATAATACTTACTTCTTCTGTATTTATAATAAGTTTGGCTAAGAAGAGACGGATATTTAATGGTACAGATGAATTTCCTAGTTTGTCATGAAGAAATTTCATCCAAGGAGGAAGATCTTTTGGCACTGAACCCTGAAATAAAACACAAAATTACCTTGAAAAGTAGAATAAAAAAAAATCATTTTGATGTTATAAGGAAAAAAATGAAAAAGATATGAAAGCAAAAATATCATGTTTATCTGGTATGTAATATAGCTTTTAATATTAGTTAATCCTCAATATGATATCAATAAGTACTATTAACAAAGACAATATAAGATTAATGGAAAAAACACCTCTTCTTCTCTGAGTGGGATCAGATTTCTCTGCATGTGCCTAATCAGGGCTACCATGGGCGCCATACATTCGTGTTGATTGAGCTCATCCATCTCTAATTCTAGGACATCCTCTTGGATCTTGGGGTCTTGATGTTCCTATGAAAAGGGAAAAATCCAGTGATGTAGAAAACTGTTAAATGCCATTGGACATGAGGTGCTCATTTTTTGTTCAATATCATATAATAAAAACAAAAATAATAATAACAATTTGATAATAATATCAAATACACTTGCTATGCTTTCTTATTGAACAACTAAAAAGTAAATAGGACCTTATGTTTGTCTTACATTCCAGGTCCCATCTGCCCAGTTACTCCCCTGGGGTCACACCTCAGGTCAGTTATCCCTGTTACCTTCACACCAACCCAGCTCAGAACTTTATTCTACCATGACCCCTAGCTTCCTGACTCCTTCCTTATTGCTGAGTCCACAGGACGAAAGGCTGGGGCTTAGATTTTGGAAAATTCTCCAAATCAACATTAGTCCCCAAGGACTACCAATAGAGTTTCCCCTAGTAACAAAAGAGCACAGCTATGACCCCTTTATTTGGCAAACTGTGACACAATTCTTTTAATATGTGAGATGTGATCACCCGTCTCCGAAAATGACCAGTGGTAGATTTAGGGTCTTGGGAGCTATAAGAATAGCTCTGAACTCCAGTTGAGAAATCAAATTGACTCATTTCCTCACTCAGGCTACTATCTGCCAAATATGACAAGGAAGACATATAATGAGGACCATCTGAAACATAAATAAAAGAAAATACATGTACTCAAAACATAATCAATAAGAAATGTATTTCTCTAAGTTCAAACGATATCAAAGGATACTTTACTTTAACTAGGTCTTTCATCAGCCCTGTGATTATTAGCCCCTAGTCCAAATTAACAAAGCAAAAAGGAAATGGGGGAAAAAACTCCCATTGCTTGTGTCATTATTGAGCAGTTCTTCTCTACTGCTATGACAAAGAAATTAAGTTAAACGGAATCTAATTTGTAACAATATCTCTGCATTTAAAATTCTTATGACAATACATTTTATTGTGCCCCTTAAGTTTAAGATAAATGTGGGAAGAAATGCTACTAAAAACCAGTTAATCCAAACAAAATACATAAAGGATTTAAAAAACTGTTTCAAAATATCCTCATATGAAGAAATGGTGATTAAAAAACATGAAGAAAAATTAAGAAAAAAAAAGTGAAACAAAGAGAATGCAAATGGATAGTATGTTTACTTTGAACCAGGAGGCTAGAGAGTGCTGACATTAAACAAAATGTCATGAGGCACACTGACACCTGGTGCTGATAGTATTAGAGGGAAGGGCACGAATAAATGTCTCTAGGCAAAAATCAAGCCCAGCAGCCACAAAGACCAGGCAGAGGCTGTGGGGCTAGAGCAGAGGGCAGTGAAACAGAGGCCTGGAGCAGCTCTGTCCCGAGAGGGGGACCACTGGGCAGTCTAGACTGGTGAGTGGCAGAATATAACTCTTATTCTAACATATATTCTGAAAATATCTATATAATCCATAGAAAAACAAAGAAGCATCAAGCCCATCTTGCCCTCTCTGGCCACTCTGAGATCTTTCTAATGCAGTTTAGTTTGGCTAATTACATTTCTTTCAAAATGTAATTCCAGTTGCCACCTAAGAGTTGGAATAAAAAACAGTCAAACTCAATTTCGATGTTTTGGAGTATTTAAAATATTTTCTATTCACATAAACAAACATTAACTTTTAGAAACTTTCTAATCATTTTCACAATGTCCTACCTGAATTCCCATTTGCTGCCTCCCTGGCTTCTTTCCTAATTTCCATGTACTTTTTCTTTCTTTCCATAGGAACCTATTGGGCAAAACAAATACACTATTTAAAATATTTTAGAATCATGGATACACTTTTTCTGTTTTAGAAGTAATCTAGCCAAAAAAAAAAAAAACAAACCTTTTTTTTTTTTTAAGGTACTGGAGATTGAGACTTGGGGTACTCTATTACTGAGCTATATCCTCAGCACATTTTATTTTTTATTTGGAGACAGGTCTCCCTAATTTGCTCAGGCAACTTAAGTTGCCTAAGTTACCCTGAGCTTGAGATCTTCCTGCCTTGGTCTCCTGTGTAGTTAGGATTACAGGTGTGCACCATTGCACCTGGCCCAAAGTAATATTAAAAAAAAAAAAAAAAAAAAAAAAAAAACCTTTTATCAAATTTAAAAGCATTTTAAAAATTACGTGTGTGTGTGTGTGTGTGTGTGTGTGTATGAGTTTTCTTTATGGAAAACCTTGATAGAAGACTCCCACACACTTGGCTCTGGTACAGCTTAATGAGCAGTGTGTGCTGAGCTTTTTATATCTTTTTATATCTGAGAATCAATTTCCTGTATCAATCATGGTTACAATACAGCACCTTACAGTGTTTTTTAAAGTGTAGAAATAGCATATATCAAGTGTATAAATACTTATAAAAACTGGTGCTAATGTTTTTTTGGGTTTTAGTTCTTTGAACATAAGCCTAAGAAAAGAATCTAGCTGGGCACAGTGGTGTATGTTTATAATCCCAGCTGCTCAGGAGGCTGAGGCAACACAATCACAAGTTCAAGATCTGCCTCAGGAACTTGGCAAAATCCTGTCTCAAAATAAAAAAGGCTGAGGAGACAGCTCACTGGCAAAGGGACCCTGCTTTCAAACCACAATACCACAACAAACAAATGAACAAAAATCTGGTTATGCTCCAAAAGGATATGAGGTAGGAAGCAACCACTGGCATGCATCAGTGAAGCACTCAGACATGGTCAAGGTCAGCAGCTATGTGTATGACCTATGGTATATGAACTCAGAGCTCTCCCCCACCATCCTCATTTCTCCCCACTCCACCCTAGTACTAGAGATTGAATGCAGAGGCACTCTACCACTGAGCTACATCCCCCTACAGGGTCTTGATTGTTTCCCAGTCTTGCATCAAACTTTCCATCTTTCTGCCTCAGCCTCCAGAGAAGCTGGGATTAAAGGAGTGTGCCACTGTGCCAGGCCTACTCTTCCCATTTCCAGTGGGGAATGAAGGCAACAGACACCTGACTTTTCACCAACTGCTGAAGCCAATATGCCAATCTGACCTTGACTAAAACCAAACGTGTTACATCTGCTGGTTATCCCCATGACTTCCTCATTTTCTGGTCAGGTTGCCCAAGCAGGATCACAGGTTCACAATTCTTATCAGTATGGACTTCAATTTCTCTGACTAAAAGAATTTACTCAGAAAATAACTTCTGGCATGTCCTAACAGTTCCTTCTGTTGGCACTGTCATTCCTTCACAAGTCAAGAGGAGGAAAAATTAAAAATTAATTAAAAATATAATTGTTTGAGACTATCCCTGGGGCTGACACTGCCAATTTCTGTAGTTTTGATTTTATAGAAACAACATGAAGCTGCCAGTTTTTGTGGCTGAAAGCAGACTTGAATATTTAACATGTTCAACACAATATGCTCTTCTCTGTGAGCATTTAATGTTTGGTTTTTTTACTTAGAAATAAGATTGAAATTTTTGCTTACCTCAACTTCTACAGGAAATGTATAGCAGCGCTTCAGATCTATCAGATTTTCAAAAATAAGCATGTTCTATAAAACCAAAAAAATCATATGAAAATATCTGAAAGATAGACATCCTAAATGTAATGGTACTACAGAATTAATTCTACCCCATAATTCATTAAGAAGCACTTCAACTTTAAAATGTATTTATGCAGAATTAAAAAAACCCCATACCTTTAACATTATAAGAAGATATAAATTATGATATAACTTGAATTGATGAAATCTAACTTTTGAAATCCCATAATGACAACTAGTGAACGTCACTGGAGAAGCCCACCTTTTCTGGTTTTTCATTGAACAAAAATCCTTGGTAAAATTTCAATTCATTGAAGACACAGCTGATAACAGAAATGGCACAGTTGTATGCAGCACAATGATAAAGCCTTCTCCTCTCCAGCAACTGGCTCTCGCCTGCCATGTTTTCTGTAAATGCACCATGGCACAATCTGCAGAGTAGATATAGATCACAAATTAATTCACTTAACATGGAAATTGAAGCTTGAGCTCAACCATGCCTAACAACTGCGTATTCTCCAAAGTGTCAGGTTTGTGCCAGGCATAGTACTGGCACTGGGAATATCAAGATAAGCATGTCGTTGTCTCAGAGCACAGGCCACATACATTGATCTTACCACTCGTGTTAAGTACAGCAACAAGTACAGTATGTAAAGAGACAGGGAAGTACTGTGCTAAAACAAGGCTGCAGGAGAGGGCATAGAAACAAGGGCAATGGTTTCAGGAGTATGGAAAGGATAAAATGTGCCAGATCTGATGATATCCCACAGAGCCTGAGGTTGGAGAGATGCAGATAAAGAGAAGTAAAATGTGACTCCTAAGACTCTTCTTTGTGCAAACAAGTAGAAGGCAACATCATTCACCCAGGAGGTAAATATGGACTAGAGTAAGAGAAGAGTAATGATAGGTTTGGAGGTGCAAAATGAGATCAGTCCAGGTGTGGTGTGCACACCAATAATTCCAGTGACCTGGGAGATTGAGAGAGGAGGTTCACAAGTTCAAGACCATCCTTGGCAACCTAGCAAGGCCCTAAGTAACTTAGTGAGACCCTGACTCAAAAAATAGAAAGGGGTTGGCTACATAACTCTATATCATGTACAACCAGAAGAATGAGAAGTTATACTCTATTTATGTATGATGTGTCAAAATGTATCCTACTGTCATGTATAACCAATTAGAACAAAAAAAGCGGGGGTGGGATTGAGGTGGGGCTCAGTGGTAAAATGCTCCTGGTTTCAATCCCCAGTACCAATAAATAAACAAGTAAAAATAGAGACTCAGCAAAGTACACCTTCCTTGGAAGAACTTCATTAGAAGACTAGTTTTAAAGAAAATATATTTGATCACTTTGTGCTTTAAAGAACACCTACTAAGAATACTTGCCACTTTTGCCATTTCAAATAATAGAAAAAATAAAATAACTTCTCACTTCAATTCATACTACTAAAAATATATCAAGCTATTCAGGGAGAAAAGTGTTAGAAATTACAACAGTAAAATTAGAGTTTTATTCTTTATAAAAGATAAGTTTGGGATAAAATATCTAATGTCCAACGACACACTAAAGTCCATCTAAGTAATTTGTATATAAGAAAGATCAGAAAACTATAAAAGTTCAGGATCTAAATAAAACACTTATTCACATTATATACACACATAAAATTCTATATGTCAAAAATAGTAATAAATCAAATAGAATCCAAAATTAAATAATCTTACTTAATAAGTGTCTTTGTAAGTTCATTTCCTTCTGTAATACAGGAACCATGGAAAACTTGATTGATTTTAGATTCCTTAGAGTGAACAACATCTTTAGGAAGACGAGAATACATCACATCTAGCATCTTATAATAGCACATCTTCTTGGTGATTTGAGTATCAAAAGTAGCTTCATTTAGCTTAAAATAGGTAACAAACAATTATCTCCCGTTTTATCCAACACGAAAAATATCTTATTCAACACATCAATTTAATACTTAATGACTTTAGACAGAAAATAATTTTAACAGAAACACTAATTCGCTTTGATAAGAGAGTGCCCTGTTGTCCAGTGTTTCCAATATGGACAAAACATTGAGTTATTATATTCGGTGAAGCAAGAAATAATGCACAAGGCTGGGCACAGTGGTACACGCCTATAATCCCAGTAACTCAAGAAAGGAAGATCAAAAGTTGGAGGTCAGGGTCAAAATAACCTAGTGAGACCCTGTCTCAAAATAAAAAATAAAAAAGGACCGGGGACGCAGCTCAGAGGTAAAGCAACTCTGAGTTCAATCCCTACTATCAAAAAGAAAGAGAGAAAGATGATGTTCAAATAGTGAGCCCGTGGTAAAACAATGTTTTCAAGAAATCTTATTAAAGGCATGGGAACAAGAGGAGAAAAATCCAACATTAAAAAAAAAAAAAAGATATTTAAACTACTTTCAAGTTTACATTAATGATGTGACATCAGGGGCAACTCTTACCGGGTCCCCTCTTGGCCTGTGGGTACTTTGTCTTTCTTCTCACTTGATTAAATCCTACTTTTTAATACTCTTTCTCATCAATGGATTTCATTCTACAAATTCACAAGACAAGAACCCAGAAAGGAGGCACTGGGATCTGCTGCAAAACTATAGCAGCAAAGGCTGAAAATCTCGTTTCATCATTGCGGGGGTTCATCCAGGATCCTCCCACAGCATAATCCCTGTATGTTTCGTCTCATCATCCATCAGCTGCCACCATGGACTTCTGGATTGCCTTGATGTGAAAGACACCCAAGCTACAAATGGCCTTATGGATAGAATCAAAAACCAAACTCTGCCAGTACACAGGTCTCCAGTACATAGGTCTCCGTACAAGGACCCTGACAACTGTCCCTGTTCAATGCCCCTTTTCAACTTTAAGTAGCCAGAGATGTCATCTCCCCTTTTCCTAAAGGTAGTTAGGGGCACTTCTTCAGAGGAGGGAATGAACAAGATAGGTTAAGTAATGGACCCCAAATAAGATTTTTAATGTAAAGGCCATTTCAGACGTTAACCTGTAGGAACACTCCAAACATTCCAGCCAACTCTTTATTGCCAGGGTGGCAGTTTCTAATGACACTGGTTAGGGAGATCTGTTAATTATTACTAGGTTTATGAAATGTAGGATACCTTTGTAAATCTGGAATTCAACACATCAATGGCATCCACCACAATTTTGCTGAAAAATTCTTTCAGAGCATCCAGGCTGCAGTGCCACAGTAGGGTGAGGAGAGAGCGATCTACAAAAGCTTGTCGAGTAACATTTGAAAGAAGGTCATCCCTCCTGAACATTCTGTATACACTTTCTAGAAGGCCTAACTGTGTGACACATGAATTCCTAAGAAAAAGAAGAGATACAATTACATGAAAACTCATGCTTTGAACAAACAATTTATGAGATCTGCTACATACCGAGCAAACTTTGATGATTATGAATTACAAAAATAACATAAAGTTTATCAGATATGTGAAACTCTTGAAATATAACCATCACTTGCACACAAACTCTATTGTTTATTCATCCACAGAGATCTTCAAAATAAAGGCATTCTGGCATTAGGAGGAAGAATTTATTTACTCTTCAAATCTGGTTTTGCTTAAAAAACATCTGGAGGGTTTTGAAAGAATCTCAGGCCTAGAGATGATCACATTTCCAAGATATGAAACTCAAAAGAGGATTTAAATATTTTAGTCTTAAGCTGGGAGTGTAGCTCATCAGTATAATGCTTGCCTAACACATGCAAGGCCCTGAGCTTGAACCCCAGCGCTGCTAAATAATAAATTAATAAATCAATATTCTAATCTCTCCCTAATGAACCACCATTCCTATTTCCTATGCAGAGCTGTACCCTGTATTTGATCATTTCTCACCAAAAAAAAAAGATATTTGACTTATTGGTTCTAAGATTTTGTCTATAAATTTATAAATTAAGAATGTAGGGTATTAGGACAAAATGATCATTAAAATTCTGACACTGTGAAGTTAGGTATTAACCAGGGCAAAAATATGAGACTAAGACAATTCAGTCACAGAGTTCTAATGTTGTAAGACATTACTAGGTGCCACATAGTTTTTCAATATTCATTTGGGCATTACAATTAACCAAATGTTTAAGAACATAAGAAAATATGTTCTTTTAGATACAAATTAAACCCCCTCTCACCTATAAAATTAGAAACAGTCCAAATGTTTGACAACATCTTCTACAGGAATAACAGTGGTGAAATGGGCACGCTCATACATTGCTGGAGGGAATGTGAACAACTTAAGTCCCCAAAGAAGGGATGAGGAGATAGCCAGCAAAATTATAAATGCATTAATCTTTTCCTACATTTAGAAATCTACTTCAAAGGTACAATGGCAAAATACAAAACCACACAGATGCACCACTTTTCCTGTGGCATTATTTGTAATAACAAAAGACTGAATAAAAATCCATTAGTGGGGAGCTTCAAAATACTATGATACTTCTATACAATGAAAAATTTTACACTTGTTTAAATAAAAAGGAATGGAGACACTGTGCTAATTAATATAGAGTGATCAGAAAAAGATATCAAGTGAAGGAAAAAAGAAGGTGATAAGGCAGAAGTGGACTAGGAGAGGATATATGGTGAATTAATTATAATTAAAAAATTTAAATTTCAACCAGCTATTGTTATTCTTACTAGTAATATTTGTATTGTTACTTTTGAAAGTATTTTGGGTATACAGTACAACTAAATAATTATAATTTTATGGAAAAAAACTTTTTTTGTAAAGAAAAAACAGTAAGATCTAAATTGTAAGGGAATAAGAGAACAAGAAGTTTAATTTAAATCCTACGTTAAATTTGAAAGGGAGATAAAAATAGGGGAAAGTAAAAAAGGGTAAAACCTTAAAAATCTCATAAACAGAAAAAGAGAATTAAGAAAAAACAAAATAAAACAAGAAAAGTTTTAATAATAAAATATTTGGTTGCCTTATATTGCTTTTTCTTGCTTGAGTGCACTGGCTAGAAACTCTAGTATTATGTTGAATAAAGCAGAAAGGGCACACACTATTGCCTTGTCCCCACTCTTAAGAGGAAAGCATTCAGGCTTTCACTATTAAATATTTTATTCACTGTTCGTTTTGCATAGATGACCTTTTTCAATTTTGTCACGAATGGGTGCAACATCTGGTCAAAAAATTTTTCTGTATCTACAGAAATGATAATGTGGTTTTGATACCTTATTCTAGCAATATGGTTTATGACATTAATCAATTTCCAGAGGTTAATCCAGCTTTGTACCCCTATAATAAATTCCACTTTGTTATGAGATATATATATATAGATATATATAGATATATTTTAATTTTTAATACCTTTATTCCACTTTGTTATGAGATATATATATATATATATATTTTTTTTTTTTTTAATTTTTAATACCTTTATTCTATTTATTCATTTGTATGTGGTGCTGAGGATCGAACCCAGGGCCTCATACGTGCTAGGCAAGCACTCTACCGCTGAGCTATAGCCCCAGTCCCTGATATCTTTTTCACATGTTGTTAGATTCAGCTTGCCAAGGCATTTTTGAGGATTTTTATGTCTATGTTCATAAGAGATACCATTCTATTATTTTCTTGTGTTGTCTTTTTATGGTTTTGGTATCAGGGTGCTATAAGCCTCTTAGAAGGAGCCTCCTTCCTCTATTTTCCTCCTTCCTCTATTTTCTGAAAATATGTTTCATGTTCCTCCTTCCTCTATTTTCTGAAAAATTCAAAAAGTATTAGTAGGATTTCCTCATTAAGTATTTGATAAAATTCACTAGTGAATGTTGGGTCTTAGTTTTCTTTTGTGAAAATATTTTTAATCACTAATTTATTTACTTGGTAGAGGGACATTCAGATTTTTTAATTTCTTCTTGAGTCAGTTTTGGTAACTAGTGACTCTAAGAATTTGTCTATTTCAATTAAGTTGCTAAATTTTTTGGCATAAGGCTGTGAATAATATTGTATTATAATCTTTCTAGTTTTGGAGAGGTCAGTAGTTTATGCCTCCTCTTTTATTCTAGATTATCACAAACTATTATTTTTCCCTTTAGTTTTGTCTAACTCACAGTTTCTCAATGTCATTTACATTTTGAAAAAAACAATTTTTGGTTTCATTGATTTTTCTTCACCATTTTCCAGGTACCCATTTCATTAATTTTCATTCTAATCTTTATTATTCACTTCCTTCAGCTTGCCATTGGTTTAGTTTACTTTTTCTACATTTTAAGGTAGAAAATTAACACTATTGACTTGAGATCTTTCTTATTTTCCAAAACAGGCATTAAAAGGTATGATTTTACCTCTATCTACTATTTTAGCTGCAACTTACACATCTTATTTTACTTCAATCAACATCCTATCTGACTTTCCTTGCAGTTTCTTCTTTGACTCAGGATTATTTAGAAATGTGCTATTAATTAGCTGGTTATTCAGAAATATTTTCAGTTTCTCCAAATTTCCTTCTGCTTTTGATTTCTAATTTAAGGTCATTGTGGCCAGAGACCATATTTTGGATGCTTTTCATCTTTTCAAATTTATTAAGACTTGCTTCACAGCTTCGCATATAGTCTATACTGAAGAATGTTCTGTGTATATGCAAAATGAGTGCTGTATTCTGCTGTTGTGCATCATGTTGACTAATTATGATTTTTTTTAATGTCAATGGATGAACCTCAAAAACTTTATGCTGAACAAAGAAACCAGACATAAGAGATTACATGATTCCATTTCTATGAAATGTTTCAAAAAGGCAAATTTATAAAGACAGAAAGTAGGTTAACAGTTGCTTGGGCTGGGAATGGGAATGGGAGTCAATTGTTGAAGTTCAAACAGGAGTTCATTAGAACATAAAATGTTGCCATGTGCTGGGTGTGGTTGTGGCACATCTGTAATCCTAGTGACTTAGGAGGCTAAGGCAGAAATATTGCAAGTTTGAGATCAGGCTCAGCAATTTAACAAGACCCTGTCTCAAAATAAAAACCAAAAAGGGTTGGGGATGTAGCTTACTGGTAGATTTCCTAGGTTCAATCCCCAGTACTAAAAGGAAAATTTTAAAAGTTCCACAGTAATGGTGATGATTGTTCCATCCTAAAGTTTGGGAAAGTTCTTAAAGATTACTAAACTGTATCCTTAAAATGAGTGAATTCTATGATATTTAAAATATAACTCTGAAATAAATTTACATGGATATTTATAAATTCAATATAATCTACAGCCATACCACCCTGAACGCATCCAATCTCCTCTGATCTTGGAAGCTAAGCAGGGTCAGGCCTCGTTAGTACTTGGATGGGAGAAAAATTCAGTATAAATAAATGCCACTTTTTAAAAAATTCATTGAAGTTTACAACTCAAAGTAGCCATGGCATCAAGCTCTTAATCTGAAAATCAAATATGTCCCATCTTTCCCACTGTATTTTTCTAAAGTAGTAAGTTATATTTTAGGCATCCATACTGTCCTATTTACAAGGATAAATTCACCATCACAATGTAATGGTGCTAAACTGAGAAGGGAAAAAAGAATTGGAAAAATGGCTATTTGCAACTCCTAATTAAATAACTGATTCAGGGCAACTAACAGAAATGGATGCTAAAACCATTAGAGAAATGCTCTGTAAACAGGGCTGGTCAATCTTGGCATCACTAAAAGTAGGACAACCAGACACTAGGTGTCTCCTAATGCCATGAATATGAAACATTGAACATCTACTATATGCAGTCTTGTCAAAAATTAAACCTGTCATCTAAAAATATTTTTATTTTTTATTTTCTGATCATTATACATTTGATCTCTATTCCTTGTTTTATTTCTATTGCATAAGAGCACCACTAATACAAGGTTGAGAGAGGCATAAGGGTGAACACATTGTTTAGTAAATATCAGTTTTTCTTTTATTTGAAGATCAAGGAAAACCCTTGATCTTCTAGATTTGTTATTAATGGAGGTTGAATTTTATTCAGTGATACCTAGACATATATTGAGATAATAAAATTTTTCTCTTATTCTTTTAATAAGATGTCAATTGATTTCTGATGTTAAACTTTGCAATACTGAGACAAATTTAAATTATGCATAAAAGAAATGAACCTGAATCTAATTGGGCTTTTACATATAACTTTCAGTTTATAGGAACACAAGTATTGGAGGGACAACTTAAGTGAAAAGGACAAGCAAAAAAATCAGATAAATCCAGAATTAAAATTCTGTACAGAACAAGTGCAGGCTTCTTCAATAACCAAAGAAAAATGAATGAATATGGGAGAATGCTCTAAATTAAGGCAGACTTATGAGACATGCCATGAATGAGCCTTGTCTTGATCAAAATTCCATTATCCAACATGCGAGAGCACTTGAGACTCTTGGGAAAATCAGAATATGAAATTACTGATAATTTTGTTCAGTTGATAATGAAACTAAAGTTATTCAAGAAAACAACACTTTTTGGAGATACATACAGAAGGCTGTAGAGGTAAAATAACAAGGCATCAGAGATTTGCTTTTAATCAGAGTAACATACAAAGAGAAAAGACAAAGGGGAAAATGAAACAGGAAAATGCTGACATTTCTTCCATCTGGAGCCTCATTTGTGCTCTAGCTCTGAGTATGTTTGAAAAGTTTCACAATAAAAAGTTCATTTTGAAGAAGACAAGGTAAGACAGAATGGAGTTTTGAGAGTTGAGTGCCAATGCCACTCAATTTTTTTTATTTTTATTTTTTTTAACAGAGAAGATAGTTACCTCCAGAAATAACATGTATATGAATCCTGGGATTCCTGACTGGGATGACTTACCTTCTGGCAATCCTTTTGAAAGTAGCTTGAAATAATTCTTCCATAACATGCTGCTGTTCTCGACAAAGAATATCTGTCATCAACTGTAACAATATAGGGCTTTGGGATAATTCCAATGCATCTAGAAACTAGAAAAAAATATATTAGGATCATTAAAATTTTGTAGGGTTTTATTTTGCCTTTAATTGTTCTAATTTAAAAATAGAAAACAGAACAAAATTTCATACATAATTTTAAAATGTTAAGATTTTTATCATTTTTTTTTTCTGGAAACAGTGAATGCCTAGATTATGACAATGTTCATTAAGTACTGGAGTTTTTATTCTTTTTAAGTTTTGCAGATGTTTTTCCTTTCTTTTTCCACAGGTTCTGAAATTCCATGGGGTGTGCCCTCACCAGAATCTTCTGCTCTCACCAGGCAGGCACTATTGGTCCTCTTACTCAAGAAACACATTTATTTTCCCCACACTTCTTGAAATATCATTATTGTTACTGTTATTTTGGTATCAGGGATTAAACACAGGGGCACTTAACACTGAGCCATATCCCCTGCCATTTGTTATATTTTATTTAGAGACAGGGTCTTGCTGAGTTGCTTAGGGCCTCAACAAGTTGCTGAGGCTAGCTTTCAACTTGCAATCTTCCTGCCTCAGCCTCCAGAGCCACTGGGATTACAGGTGGGCACCACCAAGCCCAGCTTTCCCCACCATTCTTATTACAGGGCAGAGGTCCTTCTTCAGGCTCCCATTCTCTGTCTCAATGTCTGTTTGTTCCACTTTCTAGGCAATACTCTCAATTTTATCTTCAGAAGATAATAGGAAAGTTTTAATTTAAATTTTGCTTTTACATATTTAATTTCCATAGCCCCTGTTTTTCCTATTTCATGGACACAGTGCCTTCCTTCATTTCTCAATCTACTCTTACACATTCTTTCTTCTTCCCTCCTTTGGTTGACTCCATTCCCTCTGACCTCCATCTTCCTGTTGGTCTGCATCTTTCTTTTTTCTTTTTGTGAGGGGGAGTGGGGGCGGTGTGAGTACTGGGGACTGAACCCAGGACCTCACACAAGTTAGAAAAACATTCTACTACTGGGCTACATCCCCAGCCCAAAGCAATTTGATCACTTATTTATTTTGAGATATAGTTGTCTCATTTCTCAGTCTGGCCTTGAACCGGTTCTCACCACACCCCTGGTTTGTATCTTTTTTTTTGGAGAAGCTTTCTTTATTCATTCATGTTCATTGTTTTTTTTTTTTTTTTTTTTTTTGTATTGCATTTACATTTACATTAAAAAAATACTAAGGATCAACTTAGAATCTTTGGGTATGCTAAAATCATGAGCTAACAGATTACTGGAGAACAGAATATTTACATAATACCAACATAACCAGACTATGAGGTCACTATCATGGGGCACTATCATGGGGCAACTAATATCATTTGCCACTTTCTGTGCTACTGTTTCCAAGAAGGTTAACCTGAATCTCCTGACCAAGCTTTAAATCTAACTTTCCATTTAGAAGAAAGTAAAGGATAAACAGACAAGTCAGACAAATAGGGGAAAATATCCCAAAAAAGGTCTCTGGTTCTTTCAAAAATGGAATGTCTTGGTGTCATCAATTTGTGACCCCAAAGCCGAGGTCCTTTCTCCCTCTTTGAATTGTAGAACCAGTAACAAAATAAAGCATGAATAGAGCAGTAAAGGATACTTTCATTTCTGGCAAAGAATAGGAAAGGTGAGAGATAAACTCACAAATCAACTTCCCACCCATTGGACAAGAGAACCAAAGAAGTGTGGAGTCTAGAGGAAGTTGTGGTGCCTTTTACAACCAGTCCTGAACCCTACAGCAGCCTTCCCTCCATGGCATTCTTTACAAGCACATCCTTAAGTCCAACTCAGGCCCAGTGGGAGAATATTTCTTAGCTTCTTTTGGTATTATTGCTCATAATTAACATATCATTACACATTCCATTTTTATGCATTAAATATTTCACAATTTAATAGTGGGGGGTGGGGAATGAATTACAGAGGATTCAGCTATTTACCTGCCTGTGCAGCCAGCCAGGAAATGAATTAAAATGAATTTTTAAGGAATTCTTCTCTAATTCTGAGTATTTCACTTACTTATTTCATCAAGAAATTTAAAAAAATAAAAATGTTTAAATTTTGATACTACTAAAACTAACCTTTTTCATGCAATCCACATAATTATTGTACCTCAGAGTTCCCGGGGGAAATTCATTAGAGTTCATGGGGAAATTAGAAACAATGAGCATTTCTAGAACATGCTTAAGGTCCTCCAGACTGTCTCCAGTCAGGCTGGTAAAGAATGGAAGAAGAATTACAGCTTGGCCCTGTGGAAAAACATAGACATATGCATCATGCTAACTGTGATTTACAAATCCTACAGATTAAATAAAAATACTGCTTTCTAAATAAAGCACTATGTGGATTCAAGAATGACTTCAGAGTAACTTCTGGATTACATTGAAAACCAACCTGAATGCAATTCTGTTCCTTGACTTCCACTCCAGAGATGAGTGGGATGACTTAGAGCTATATGCATACACATAAATAAAATACTGTGTGCTGGCTCTGGAGGAGTTTTCTCCTTCTACAAATAAAAACCCTAACAGAAATGTAATAGATGAGTTTCATATGGAAAAAAATGACCTATGAGGTAATTTATAACTTACCCATTGCATAACTACCTTAGAACCTCATTCTGAGCCTCATTTTAGAGCTTAAAACATTATAAAACTTTAAAATTAGCAACCTTAAAATTATAGTATTTATTAAATTCTTGACCCCCAAATTGAGATTTTGTTATATTTAATGGTAAAAAGATTAAGTAATAAATATAGCAAATCTAAAAAGCTAATTTAAATCATTTGTGCAAAGACAAATGTAAATTCTCCTAAATATGACACTCTTCATGATTATACTTTAAAAGAAATGCTCTCATTTCTTGGAGAGACATACTGAAGCACATGCAGATTAAATGTACCAAATCCTGGGAGTGTCCTTCAAGAGGAAAGGGGCTGCATAGTTGGAACAAACCTGTCCCACAAACTGAGTTAATAAAATTGATGATAAGTACATAGGGACTTACTGTGCTAGTCTATTTTTGGATGTTTAAATTTCCCACAAAAAATAGAAAGCACGATACATATGCAAACATATAAAAGTCTGAATAAAGAATATAATCTGGGAAAAAATATTTTCCAATCATTTACCTTCAAGTGCAGACCCAACTCTGAATCAGCAAGGAGACTAGTATATGTTGTAAAGACTTCAGGGAATGAGTTATGATTTGTATTAAAAGAGACAGATGAATCAATCTAAAAGAAGGGAAAGAAAAATATGACACATTTCTTTTTATATCTCTATTTTCTTTAACACATTTTCTAAATGCTTAAATTTCAGAAATAAACTGAGAATCTGTTCTTGGGCTTCAACAATACTTCAACAATCTTATTTTGAAATATTTTAATGTTATCTGCTAAGATAAAATATATAAAGGTACAACAAAAAGACAATACAAGAAATGATAAGCATAATAAATAATGATATAAAATAATGGAAAAAGTAAAAAAATGTAATCGGTAATTACCCTTCCCCAATGATTTTTATTGATCAAACCAATGAGCCTTTGAAGCTACTTCCATTAAATTTTTAAAGATATAGCCTTATGGTTTCAAAACGCAAACTGGAAATACCTGTAAAACTTTTGTCAATAAAGCCAGTACTGCCATTTTACTTTCTGGAGCAGAATCCTTGGCCCACCATGAATCACACTTCCTCCAGTTCTGCAGAATTGTGGTCGCAAGCTTCAGTCCTTGGTGTTTCTGAATGGCTCGATCCCTAAAGCTCTGATCTAACATACCATTCAAAACAGCACTCACCTGAAATAATTTTGTAATGAATGAGGAAAAATTCTCAGTATGGAGAATGACAGATATTAAACAAAATTTACTTTCATTTCAAAGCTATCCTTAGGCAACAGAAACACTATTTCTATAACAGATGTTTACTTCAAACCCTTTTAATTTGCAAACAGTATTTTACTACATAAATTCTTTCCCACATAAAGAAGAGCATGGCCTTATTGATGTCATTGTGCTCCTCCTGCCACTCTTGGTGCTCTTAGTTTGGGGCATTTTTGATCCAACTCTAGTTGGAAGAGGAAGGAGCTCTTTTCTTTTTCAATAGCAATGCTTGTTTCAGGAACACTGTATCTTCTCTTATCTCATGGAAGTTTTTCCTTCTTTTTACCTTTCCATCACTAAAGAACCTCTGCTACACATTGCTTTTTTCCTGATGCACTTTTTAGTATCATTCTTTCCAGGTCTTGGCTTCTTAGCTATTGGCTCACGTTTAAGAACTGACTGGAAGTGCTGTGCAGGGGCAGAGATCACATGCTGTGAGGGTCACAGTTGTCACTAGTTGGCAATGACAACTGAATCTTTATTTTCTCCTAGGCCTGTCAGAATATTCTGAGGGTAAGCACCTAGTTGACAGTATCCCAGACTCAAATTGGAAGGTAAAAATGAAGCGCCTGCCTCTAGGACTAGAATTTGGGTAAGCTTTCAACTTTGTCTGTTTTCATGATGGAATCTTTACACTCAATTATGCAGAATCCTGGGCCAAGATACATGTCCCTAGAAATCATCACCTTCAGTCTTCTTCCTGGTAGCAGGACTGGGCCCTGATGACTGGAGGCTGACTTTGCACCAGGCCTCCCTCCTCAGACTCTCTTCCATACTCTGCCCAGCACACTGGTCATCCCACCCTCCTGCTGCTGTCATAGAACAGCTATTGGGCAGGCATGGTGGCCCACGTCTGTAATTCCAGGGACTCAGGAGGCTGAGACAGGAGAATTGCCAGGTTCAGGCAAGCCTCGGCAACTTAGTGAGATGCTCAGAAACTTAGCAAAACCCTGTCTCAAAATAAAAACAACAGGAGAGGGAAGATGACACAGTAGAGAAAGGAAGCACAGCTGTGCAGTCTCTCGGCACCAGACTTATACAATAGGAAGGCAACAAATAAAAAAAGGAATGTCATTTAAACACAATACTGAACTGTAGTTAAAAAAATAAAATAAAAATTCACATAGGAACAGAACGTCAGTAACTTCGGCATAAGAAATAATACCTTAGAGGCTGGGATTGTAGCTCAGGGGTACAGCACTTGCCCAGCACATGTGTGAGGCACTGGGTTCAATCATCAGCACAACATAAAAATAAATATAAAATAAAAGTACTGTGTCCATCTACAAATTAAAATTAAAAAGGAAACAATACCTTAGATACACATCAGCTCTGGTTGCCATCAGAACAGAGTAAGGAATGTGGACAAAGAAATGTGTGGCAAGCAAATGAAGAAATTAAAAATAAAGAAAAACCGACTTAGGAAAACCTGGGTTTACAGAAAAAGGCAGATTTTAATGGGCACAGTTGATGAGGTAAGCACCTCAGTGAAAAAAAATTCAAAGCAGTCTGCAAGGGTGAAAGGATTCCGGTGGCGGGGGGTGGGGGGTGGGGGGGGGTGTTGGTGAGCCCTCCAGGAGTGTGTTACTCCAAGGCAGATACTCAGATTGTACTATTCATCAGCACTTCCCAATCAATCCCACCCAATACTGGGAGATTAGAAGCTGAGAGCTACTACACCCTGCTAGTAGCTACACGAGGAGCACAAGGACAGTCACCAAAAATACAGAGCCAAAAAAATAAAGTCTGAAAATCCATTCCTACCAGCAGATTTAACTACCACAGTGGAAACAAGCCTTTTATCTCTCATTAAGATTTTCTTTTTTACTCCATATTCCCATTTTTTAGCTTTATTATATTTTAACATTTTTTCGACTTTTTCAAACATCATTTTACCATACTGTATTACTCTTTGCTTTTTTCCTTTTCATTATGTATGATTTTTTGTATATGTGAGAGCATAAAAACAAATAAAACAAATAACTGTTTGAGTATATATTTATATGTATACACACACACACACACACATATACCCTAATAACTTTTACTTACACATTGATAGCTCTCTATCTTGAATATATTCATTATTTAGTTTTCATTAAACTTAGGTACATTACAATTATACAAGAATTTGTATTGTTTTAATTTTACATTGGCTTATTCTCTTTTTTTTGGTACTAGAGATTGAACTTTACCACTGAGCCACTTTTTATGTTTTTGATTTTGAAACAGGGCCTCACTAAGTTGCCAAGGCTGGCACTGAACTTGTGATACTCCTGCCTCAGCCTCCCAAGCTGCTGGAATTCCAGGCATGTGCCACTATACCCAGCATTGGCTGTTCTTTTACACCTACATCCTAGCTCCCCTTCTTCACTCTCTTCCCCCAGTAACAGCCAAAATCTCCTATTCCCTCCTCTTCTCTTTTTCTCAATATGTTCAGTTAGCTTATTATCCCTTCTTTACAGCTGACATCTGTTCCCTACCACTTCTCTCCTCTGATCACTTTTTCAAACACTTCAAACTTTCTCTTGCCTACCCTATTTTCTCTTAAGAAACTGTAATTCCACTAATTATTAGAAAATTATACAGACTATGTAATTCCTACCCCATTCAAACTGTTGTAATTATTAAAGTATAGGACAACATAGTAGTCACCTACTGTCAAATGCCTGATCTAGTTCAGTTTTTTATTGTAGGTATTATTGTTAAAAGCTGACCCCACCATTCCTATATAGGTGTCAAAGTAGACACTAGGCATTTATATTAAGGCTGTATATTTGTTGCTAACATTAGTTCCATTCCTGATTCTTGCTCCCTCTAAAGGGCTTGGAAAGATCACAGAGTAGAGATCTTACAGGTGAGAAATACATCTCAACCAAGCAGTAGTGAATCCCACCCTACATACAATATACCCCTACTTGAGCCCTAATGTTACTTCAACTCAAAGAACTGAGGAGACAGAAACCCAAACCAATAAGAAGGACGCAAGGAGGAATAATCAGAAAGGAACCTCAACTCCCACCCCTTGGAACCTCTACTTATACATCAAAAACAGAGAAAAGTCCCGGAAAAAACAAGATAATTGGACACAAGTAAAAAAGAAGGGGAACCCAATTAGTGCACAAGTCTAGGACCTCAGAATATATGAGGAAACAGGCAAACAAATCTCTCCCCCAAATTCATAATCCCCCCAAAAAGGATTCTACTGATATGGATAGTCAAAATCCCAGAGAAATATTATAAAAAATTGATTATTGAAATTATCAGTAAACTAAAGGAAGATCTAAGTAATGAATTAAGAGCAAATGCAGAAGGTGAAAGACCATTTCAATAAAGAAACAGAAACAGTGAAAAGAAACCAATCAGAACTCCTGGAAATGAAAGAACAATCAAAGAAATTAAAAATGCACTTGAAAGCATCACTAACAGATTGGATTGCATAGAAAATGGACCTATTCAAATGAGAAGCTCTCTATTGACATATCATAATCAAAATGTCTATCATAGAAAATAAAAGAAAAAAATACTACAAGCTGTGAGAGAAACAGGTCACATTTAGAGGCCAACCAATAAGGCTCACTTCTGATTTCTCAATTCAGACCCTAAGATCAAGAAGGGCCTGGAATGAAGTAGTTCAAGCTCTAAAAGAAAACAACTGCCAGCCAAGGTTACTTTACTCAGCAAAGCTCAGTTTCAAAATAGAGGGGGAAATTAAAACTTTCCATAACAAGGAAATACTAAAAGAATTAATGATCACCAAGCCAGCATGACAAAGAATACTGAAAGATAAACTGCACACAGGGGAACTCAAAAACAAATTGCAAAGTTCCCAAACAGAGAAAGATCAATAGAAGAGTAATCCACTAAATGAGAATCAAGGCAATATTAAATATAACAAAACACGAAAATGACAGGAAACCACGAACACCATCTCTACAGTGATGCTGAAAGCTAATGGTCTCAACTGCCCAATTAAAAGACACAGATTAGCAGAATGGATCAAAGAACAAGATACCACTATATGTTGTCTATAAAAGACTTGTTTTATAGGTAAAGACACCCACAAGATGAAGGTAAAAGTATGAAAAAAAAAATCCCAGGGATACGACCCTCAAAACAAGCAGGAATAGCTATTCTCCTATCTCACAGAGCAGATTTCAAACAAAAATTAATCAGAATAGACAAAGAAGAGCTGGGTGTGGTGGTGTACACCTATAATCTGCACACCTGTAATCCCAGTAATTTGGGAGGCTGAGGCAGAAGGATAGTGAGTTCAAAGACAGCTTTAGCAATTTAAGCAAGGATCTACACAACTTAGTGAAACCCTGTCTCTAAATAAAATATTTATTTTATTTATTGATGTGCTACGGATGTGGCTCAGTGGCTAAGAGGCCCGGAGTTCAATCACTGGTACCAAAAAGAGAGAGACACACACACACAAACAAGGACACTGCATCCTGGTAAAGGGAACAATCCAATAAGAAGATATAACAATAGAAATATTTATGCTCCGAGTGTCAGCACATCCAATTACATTTAAAAAAAATAAAACTCTTCACAGCCTTTGTCACCCTGGAAGTCTTTTCTCTGTATCCTTCAAGACAACATTATTATTTTTAATCCTGTTTTATTAATTTAGTGTGATAGGGAAGGAACAAAGATAAATGTGTATGTTTTTATTCATCATTTTCACCAGAAGCCTAAACAGTTTAAAAGCTCAAAATGTTAAATTTCCTGATATATCCACTATCATTTTATTTCTAACTTTAATGAATACAAATTCATGGCTGGAGATATAGTTCACTGGTAGATCATTTGCCTAGGAAGCATAAGGTTTTGTGTTCAATCCTCTACACATAAATGAATAAATTAATTAATAATAGATAGATAGATAGATAGATAGATAGATAAATGCTAGTAGTATCTCACAAAATAGTCCCTTGACAACAAGAAAGCACTGTTTGGAATAAGAGCGTTCAACTTTGCAACCTCCCCCTTAAAATTATCATACCAACATGTTTTCTGTCTACAGGCAGGTTACATTTCAAAATTTCAGAAGTTTAACGAACCAAAGTCAAAGATTTATTAAATATTGATCTCCGAAGAATCAATATGAAAAGGACAAGACAGATATAGCAAGTATATGCAGGAAATGACTTGGCACTGATGGCATGAGAAACCTTTAGCAGTGTGGAAGATCAATTCATGGGAGCAAGGGCAGTTACACCCTTGTAGGTTAGGTATGAAAGCTTCATTGCTGAAATCAGAGTTTCTCTGCTTCTGCTGGCATGTGGGAACTGCATAAGCTGCAGGCCTCGGCAGTCAAGAAAGCCCATTTTATGTTAGCAGCTAATCAAGACAGGGATATCTGCCAGGATTGTAACTGGCAAAACCAAATTCTTCTCCACTACTATCAAGTGATGTGCTGCCGCTTTTAAGTGGGCTATGCCTTCTGGTGTCACAGCAGACCCCAGAAGTTCACCACTAATTTCTTCTTTCTGGGTTCTTGTCTCATGAATTTGAAGGATGAAATCCATAGACGAGAAAGAGTGTAAAAGAGTAGCATTTATTAAAGTGGGAAGACAAGAACTGTTGCAGGGCAAGAGGGATTGCAGCTTGAAGGAGCTAGTCCAGGGTTTATATAGCTCTCAGGCCAATGCTACTGGTTCAAACTTATGCTAATGAGATTTTGAAAAAGTACCAATGTTATTGGTCCAGATTTATGTTAATCAGATCTTGGAAAGTATCAATGCTATTGGTTAGCTCTTGAGTTAACTTTCCTGCAATTTCCATCTGGGTCTGCCCCCATTTCTGTTTTCCTATTTGCTCACCTGGCCTAGGGGCAGGCCACGGTGAGGCAACAGGTTGGCACACCCTGGTGGGCCTGCACTGACAAGGTAGGCTCCCTGCAGCCATAGCCTGGGCTTGCTACTCGGGGACAAAGGCTTGGATTCATTATGACATCTTGGCAAAAGTCCTGTACTGTAAGGTTTGCCTTATGATATTAGTCCTAGAAATTTTAGAGGCAGGAGAGAATGAAAAACATCATGAATGTTTCAGAATCCATTTACATTTATTAACTATTGATAAAGATGGTGTTTTGTTTTTGTGGGTTTTCTTTTGAAATATTAACAATAACTTTTAATCCTCCAGGAAGAAATCTTATCTTGTTTTGAAAAATAATTTCAGAAATATGGCTGTTTTTATAAGCATAATTACATAAGAAAATATTTAAAGAAAAGTTTTCTTACCATTTTGGGATTGTTCACTGATGATTTCATGAGCTCTGATACAGCAAGGTCTATATTTTTCAACAGCTCAGCGTTGATTGTTTCTGAGAACAAGCTATAGAAATACTCCCCATGGGAGAACCTAATAATGCTTTTCTCTGAGTTACCCAAGGATGGCATGAACAGCAGCGCTTCATTCAGGAGCAGACTCACCAGGCGCTCACACTGTGAGGAAGAGAGAAGACCGTGCAAGGGCCTATCTTCATGTTACAGAAAAAATTCTAGGGTAGAGTTCTAAAGGGAACTTGATATGTGAAGCCTGGGTTAAAGTTTTATTTGTACATACTTCAATTAGCTTCCATTTTCTTTTAATTTTTTTTTCTGTAGTTATAAATGGACAGAATGCCTTTATTTTGTTTATTTTTATGTGGTGCTGAGGATCGAACCCAGTGCCTCACAGATGCTAGGTCAGTACTCTGCACACTGAGCCCCAGCCCCAGCTCTAGCTTCCATTTTCTAGGTTTCACTTTAGAAAAAAAAAAAAAAAAATCCCTGAATGATGTTGTTTCCAAATTTCTAGAAAATCTTGCTGCTGCTTGGATGGTATTTTTTGGGCAAGTATTGTTAAACAATTTAAATGTAATTTTCTATACCAACAGGACAAACGATCAAGGAAGAAGTCCCTGCAATGGGAAAAGGGACAATGGAAAATGTAATGGAGCAAACACACAGGATAGCTGCAGACCTCAGCTACAGCAGACTAAGACTAGCCCTATTCAGTTCAAAGAGCCTTAAAGACTTTTGCTGTGCTGCTTGGGTGCTTCTGGGATTTTCCTCCAGAGCCTTCCCAAGCCATCTATCCTAAGAACCACAAAAGATAGAAGTCACAGGTTATAGTCACAAAATGTTCTTTGCCTAAAGTTCTTTGGAAAACATGACAAACCTTCAATTTAAAACTATTGATCCTTTATTTAAAAAAAAAATGTTAAGAAAATAGTCTTTATAAAGAAAGTTCATTGTAAATCAATTATAATACCCGTCCAGCGTCCAGCTAAGATCTTCCCTAACTAAATTATACTTTTCCTAGAGACACACTGCTAGTGAGTTACACATATCCATCATGAAGAAAGCACAACATACAAGTGTTTTTCCTACCTGTCCTCCAAAAGCAAAGGCCAACTCCAGGAGTTCACTGGCCAGGTGCTTACAGCTAGGGTCCAATGATGGCAGACACTGTTCCTCTCCAGGTGCAATCCCTTTATAAACCAGGAAGAGAAGTCTTGTGCCAACAGAATGATGTGAGGCTATACACTAAAATAAAATTAACATATTCAATAGAAAAACACAATTTCACCTCTCTCATTAGGTAAAAAAATCTATGTTAGCTGACACTGACAAATGCCTTCCAAGGTTCAGGACATTCTCAACCCAAACTTTGCTTTCTATGCTACATTTTTTTTCAATTTGCATTGTCTTGCCACACAGGTGTAATAGCAGTTGGTTCCTAAAGATTTTTAAAAGGCTGCTCTGAAAATTTTCAACTATTCTTTATTTCACTTTCATTTCATATTTACTTTCATTTTATATTGCAGATAAAACCTACATTTCTAAAGCAAGTATTACTGAAATTCCTATTTTAGCATGTCCTATAAAATAAGATATTTTACAAAGAATATGAATATATAGACCAGATAGCATAGTCAAACTAAAAGAAACGTTAAAACAAATTGGTTATGGTTACCTGAGGTGGTGATATAATGTGCAAATAGCCAGCTCTGTGAAGCTGTTTACAGGCTGACACGACCGAAGTCAGCTTGGTCCTCTCCAAGTGAGTGTCAGGGCTATACAAGTCAATGGCACAAAGCTCCTCAATGCTGCCCATGTGAGGGAAACCGGAAGAAAATGAAGTGAATTCTAATTTTGTTATCAGGACACACTGAGGAACATGTAAGTTGTATTAAATTCACTAATTACCTAGCTCTCAAATTCATTAACATAGTCCTGGAAAGCAAGCAGGCAACCCCAGACAAGGCTCATGCACCTGCCACTCCCCCACTCTAGGTGCAGGGAAAGCATTTCCTAAATACATGATTTCCAAACCCATGATGTCAAGACCTTTCCTGGAGAAAACAGGAGCTACAGCAGCTGAGTGTATATGCAAAGCTGCCAGGAGCACTGCAATGCACTGGGACTTTAAATTCCACAAGATAACACTGAGTGTGACTTGAGTACCCACCTCTGTACTGTTAGATTTTCCTTCAGGCAAGTCTCCAGGATGTCTTTGTATGGAGACTTCTTTAGTGCTTTCATCAGGTTCACACAAACACTGGGAAGATGATCCATGACCTGGACATCACCAATATTGAAACCTATGCTCATGGGCTCACACAGTGTTTTCACCAAGAGGTTTAAAAGGCTTTTGTTACACAAATCCTTCTCCAGGAGCTGTTAAGAGATGGTTCAAATAAAATTACTTCTATCAGTCAACAGCTATTTTTCACCACAATGTAAGGTCTGTGAGGTTGAGAATTTTTGTATCAATGGAGCCATGGTCCAGCAAACTTTGTGGGCCATGCAGTCTTTGCTGCAATTCCTTAACCCATTCTATTGTGAAAGCAGCATGAACAACAGGTAGATACACACAGATGGCCATGTTCCAATAAAACTTTATGAGAATCTGCAGTAGCAGGTGTGGTCTTGCCTTTAGAACATAGTTGCTGGCCCTGGTTTAGGGCACTGCTATATCCCCAGAGCCTACAGTAAGGCCTGGCATACAGCAGCAACTGGATGGACTAAGTGGACTTTGAATAATATAATACATTTCACAGTTACATTTACAAATATTTGCAAGTTTGCTTCTAAGGCAGATGTTTGATCACAATGCTAACTACAGCATCCAATGAAACTTCAGAAAAACTATTTCATACTTTATTCCCACATCTAAAATCTGAAAGGTATGCAGTTTTATTGGAGGTTGAGTAACTCTTATCTGAAATCCTTGGGACCGAAGTATTTCAGACTTCAATTCTTTCACATTTTGGAATATATGCATAGTTGAGAATCCCCAATCCAAAAATATGAAATCTAAAATGCTCCAAAATTTGAAACTTTTTGAGTGCCAACATGACATTCAGTTTCAGATTTTGGAACATTTAGATTTCAGATTTTTGGATTAGAGAGGATCAACATGTATTTTCAAAAACAGATTGTACATCATGGTAACTACAATGAATAATAATGTCTTGTCAGGCAGGAGGTACATGTCTGTAATCCCAGTGATGGGGAAGACTAAGGAAGGAGGATCACAAGTTTGAGGCTAGCCTAGATAAGTCAGTGAGATCCTGTCTCAAAATAAAAAAGCAAAATGGGCTAGGAATGTAGCTCAGTGGGACAGCCCTCCTGAGTTCAATCCCCAGTTCCCCGCTCCACACACATACACACAATGTAATATATACTTGAAAATTCCTGATAGCAAATTTTAAATGTTCTTACAAGAACAAAAGAAAATGTGAAGTAACATATATGTTCATTAGTTTGATTTAGTCATTTCACCACATTTACACATACCAAAATGTTGTACACCATAAACACAAAGAATTTTTGTCAATTAAAATAAAGTAACAATGGATAAATCTTCTGGCAATGGAAAGTTCCAGAGAAGCCACAGCCATTTCCAATAGGAACTTTAAAAGCTGAGTTCTAACATCAAATTAACAGAGCAACACGAGAGACCCTACCTTCCATCCTTCTGAAGAGGTGTTGAGCAGGGTTGTGGTAAATTCCATGACCCGGACCACAATTGTGCATTTACTATAGTTGTACCTTTCCTCCTCCTGTGGGCTGGGTCTATCTCCTGCTGTCCCAGTGCCAAAACACTTTTCTGCTGCTGTAATATCTTTCATAGCAATACTTTCTAAAAAGAAAGTCACTGACTTCCAAACTGAACACTGTGATTCAATACCTAGAAATAATTACATTAAAATATTAATATATGCTTCTTCCTAACTCCACTAATTTCAAAATTAAAACCCAAAAGTACAATCCAAATAGAATCCAATTTGGACTCATACAATAATTTACCTATACAAGATCAAGTCATGATTCTCAAACACTGCCTATGAGAATATAAATTAATATGATCCCTTAAAAGGGCAATTTGGCAATTCATACTCAAAGCTTGAAAAAATATGCATGCCAATCTCTATCAGCTGTTTAAAATACACCTATGCTTTGATCCAGCACTAAATATTAATCTAATAAAATAATGGCAGAGGGCTCGGGTGGTGGCTCAGTGGTAGAGCACTTGCCTAGCATGTGTGAGGCACTGGGTTTGATCCACAGTACTACATAAAAAAAAAAATACTGTGTTATCCACAACTAAAAAAAAATAACGGCAGAACCACAAAGATGTGTTTATAAGAATGTTAATTTTAGTATTGTTTTTATTAACAAAAAAAAAACCAAAACAACCTAAATGTAGTTGAAAGGGGCAATATAAGACAAATTATGGCAGTGGTCTTCAAGTAAGTGTGGACGGGCATTGGGCACCTTATAGAAACAATTTCCTATCTGCTACACATCACTTTTTTTTTTTTTTTTAATAAAACATCTGTGTGGACACAATTGGGCTGTTTCTCTTGTCCCATTCACCATGACTGGTCTTTCACCTAACATACTACTAACCTCTCCCAGTACTCCAGGATTAAAGACCTTCAGAGACACAAACAAAGGGACAATTTGAAATATCAGTATAAATGTTCAAAGAATAAATAAAGGTAATGACTAAGTAAGAAATCTTCTTGGGCTGGGGTTATAACTCAGTGGTAGAGTGCTTGCCTAGCATGCATGAGGCACTGGGTTCGATTAATAGCACCACATATAAATGACTAAATAGAAAATAAGGGTCTACCAACAACTAAAAAAAAAAATCTTATAAGTCTGAGGGCTGCCAATTCTTTGTTTTCAATGTAAGATAAAGTTAATCAAAATGTTAATTAACGCACTGTTAAAAATAATTTAGTAACAGATCACTATGTATTCAAAGAATTGAGACTATATATTAAGAATTACATTGAGCTGGGATTGTGGCTCAGCGGTAGAGCGCTCGCCTAGCACGGCGGGACCCAGGTTCAATCCTTAGCACCACATAAAAATAAAGGCATTGTGTTGTGTGCATCTACACCCAAAAAAATAAATATTAAAAAAAAAAGAATTACCTTCTCAAACATCATATATCCTTGTCTCCAGCAAATCATCAGAATAAATGCCCACCACATATTTGAGACCAGCCTTATTGATTTAGTTAGGCCCTAAGTAAATTAGTTGGACTCTACCTCAAAATAGAAAATAAAAAGGGCTGGGGATATAGTTCAGTGGTAAAGTATCTCTGGGTTCAATCACTAGAACAACAACCAAAAAAAAAAAAAAAAACCCACAAAATAAATTTGCCTAAGGATGCATTTCTCAGAACTTACCCCCATCATTAAGCAATATGAACTAAACAAAATCAAATATCCAAAAATGTAATTTAACATTTCATATGTAATAGTTATTTATTAAAATTCTTATTATATCAATACAGTCGTAATTAATATAAGTGCCCTAATAATAAACGTAATGAAATGACATTGAAAAAATCTTTAAACATGCAGATCCTTTCTTTGCAAAGACATAGACAGGATTATAAGTAAAATATGAAACAAAAAACATAATACTTTGGGATAAAATAGTATGAGGGGTATGGAATGAATACATCAACTCAGGGACTCTGCAAAATTTCCAGTAAACAAATTGTATTTTAAAGCTGATGACATTAAATACAAAACTACTATAGCACTTAGGAACCATTGAATTAATGAACATTTTTAAATGAGGCACTGGGTTCGATTAATAGCACCACATATAAATGACTAAATAGAAAATACGGGTTTTAAAGTTTTTAAAGTTTTATCTTAAAATAGCAACAAGAATGCAAAAAAATGAGAAAATACATACAAACAATTTTTGGTATACAGAAAAAGTTTACAAGAGTAAATACTAAACTGTTATTAGCTTTTATCACTGAGGATTGCAATGAGGGGAGAAGATTTTGCATATTTTGCTTCCTGAACTTTTTCCTTGTTAAAACTTTCTGAGAGTTTTAAACAACGAATTTAAAGTATTATTTACAATGGCTAACACTGGTGAAAAGTTTTTCAACTGTTTTCACCCATCCTTCTGAGTCGACTGGTTTTTTTTTTTATATATGTATTTTTTAATTATAGGTGGACACATATCTTTATTGTATTTTATGTGGTGCTGAGGATCAAACTCAGTGCCTCATGCATGCCAGGCAAGTGCTCTACCTCTGAGCCACAACCCCAGCCCCTGAATCGACTATTTTCACCTGTCCTTCTGAGTCAACTGTTTTCAGAATTGAATGAACTGTTTCTAAACTCCAGCACGTGTACACATGTGCACACACACACATACACACTCCTCACTAGGCCCAGCTTCTACCGTTCTCAAGCTAAAACTAAGACCTAGTCCCCCTCTCCCAAATTCCCATAATACCAACTTTATCTCTGACAGAATTAAAGAAAAAATGATAGTTCTTTTAGTATTTCAGCCACAACTAAGAACTAGAATACTGAATACTCCAATTTAAAAATTCAGCCAGGTGCAGTGACGCATGCCTGCAATCCCAGAGGCTCAGAAAGCTAAAGTATGAGGATTATGAGTTCAAAGCCAGCCTCAGAAACTTAGCGAGGTACTAAACAACTCAGTGAGACCCTCTACCTAAATAAAATACAAAGGGGGAGCGGGGCTGGGGATGTGGCTCAGTGGTCAAGTGCTCCTGAGTTTAATCCCCAGGACCAAAAAAGAAAAAAAATTAATTTAAATAGTCTGGTTCAACCCATGGGAAAGAGGATTTATAAGAAGCCTCGCTGCAGAACTTGAAGCAAAGGGCACATCTGCTAGCTCCATATCCTCCATCCATATGCTCCATCCCCAAGAGTCACCTCCTTCCCTCATACACCCCACAGAGGTCACCAGAAGGATGAAGCTGCCCACCTCTTTTCTTCCAGCATGGGCTAAGAGTACACACTTGGATCCTGTCCTCTGCAAAAAGCACTATTACTACCATAGAACGATAAAAAGCTGAAGAAATATGAAAATGTAAGGAAAAAAAGATACTACACAAAAACTTGGAATAAAATCACAGAATTTCCTATCCTGATGAACTCTTTTAGTTATTCATGCAAACGAAAACCTTTACAGGGTATTTTACTAAAGATTCATGAAGAACTTGTGAACAGGGCTTCACAAATGGATGTGAAATGGCTGGGAGTGTAGTTCAGTGGCAGAGCACTCGGCTTGCGTATGTGAAGCCCTGAGTTTTGATCCCCAACACTCCAAGAAAATCAAATAAAAAATGCTTGTGGACGTTTTGGCCATGTTTGTGCAGTCTGTGTTTTGTCATCCATATCATATTCACTGTGGATTCAGTGATGCTATAGTTTGGATGCGGGTCCCCCAAAGGCCTATGCATGAAAGCTCTTAGGCCACCAGCTCCTGTGGCATACTAGTAGATGGTGGAACCTTTAAGAGGTACGCCTTAGTGGGAAACATTTAGGGTTTAGGGACATATCCCTGAAGGAGCTACTAGGACTCTTGTCCCCTGATATCTCTCTCTCTCTCTCTCTCTCTTTTTTTTTTTTTTTTAAGAGAGAGAGAGAGAATTTTAATATTTATTTTTTAGTTTATCGGCGGACACAACATCTTTGTTTTGTCTGTGGTGCTGAGGATCGAACCTGGGCCGCAAGCATGCCAGGCGAGGGCGCTACTGCTTGAGCCATATCCCCAGCAACCCCTGATATCTCTCTCTTTCTCTCTCTCTCTCTCTCAATCTCCCTGGCTGCCATGATGTGAACAGCTCCCTCTGACACGTACTCCCAACACTAAAAACTGCTTCAACATAGGCCCAAAGACAAAAACACCAATTAACCATGGATTGAAACCTCTGAAATCATGAGCCAAAATAAACCTTTCCTATTTGTAAGCTGATTACCTCAGATGTTTTGTCACAACAGAAAGTTGACTGACACAAATGAGAATGCAGGTAAAATTCTTTGCATAGCACTAAGTAACCAGAGTCTGTTGTCAACTGTTACTATCACTTTGACATGGCAGCGAGCTATCTACCAGGATGATGCCTAGCAGACAGGCTATGCTAACTTAGAGGTTAAGTTTGACTTACCCAGGACCTCGCAGGCTTCCACAGTCTTCTCCCCGATGAACGTGTTGTAGCACTCTAGTGCTGCTAGGAACAGGTCCATCCACTGCAGGGTCACTCGCAGGCTGAATGGCCCTCGCAAATGCAAGAGAGTTGGTTGAGCAAGGATGCCTGATAGCTGATCACAGCCTGCGCCTCCCCCCTCAAATGTGTTTATGAGAAAAGAAATATCTTCTTTCTTAATAACATCTTTCAACCACAAAGAAGGGGACTTGTTGCCTTAAAAGAGAAACAAGATTAAAACATAAAACATAAATAATTTCCATATAATTAAATTTCTTTAATCACTGTCTATTTGATAGTAATCTTTTATGTTACTATCATACTTATAACTTTATGTTTCACTAGAGTTACTTCCAAGAAAGTATTTCCATAAAACCCACTCTCTTTGGTTGCCTTAAACACTACAAAAATGGTTGCACATCATTTGGAATAGATACATATTAATACCCTTTTCCCAGAACTGAATAGGCACTTCACAGAAGAAAAAAATAGTCAACAAATATATGAAAAAAATGTTGATACCTCTAGCAATTAGAAAAATGCAAATTGAAACTACACTGAGATTCCATCTCATTCCAGTCAGGATGGCAATTATCAACAATACAAGGAAAAATAAATGTTGGTGAGGATGTGGGAAAAAATGTTCGCTCATACATTGCTGGTGGAACTGCAAATTGGTACAACCACTCGGGAAAGCAGCATGGAGACTCCTCAGAAAACTTGGAATGGAACCACTATTTGACCCAGTTATCCCATTCCTCGGCATTCATCAAAAGACTTAAAATCTGCATACTTTAGTGATGCAGCAGTTCAATTCATGATAGCTAAAATATGGAACTAACCTAGGTGCCTTTCAACAGATTAATGGATTAAGAAAATGTGGTGTACATACACAACAGACTATTACTCAGCCATAAAGAATGAAATTATGGCATTTGCTGGTAAATGATGGAACTGGGACTATTATGCTAAGTGAAATAACCCAATCCCCAAAAAACCAAAGGTAGAATGTTCTCTCTGATATGTGAATGCTAACATACAATAAGAGGGTGGGGTGGGGAGAATAGAAGTTCATTGGATTAGATAAAGGGGATGAAGGGAAGGGAAGTGGGATAGGAATAGAAAAGAGTAAAATGAATCAGAAATGACTTTTCTATGTTCATATGTGAATATATGACTGGCGTTAACTCCACATCATGTACAACCACAAGAACGGGAAGTTATACTCCATGTAGGAATAACTTGTCAAAATACACTCTACTATCATGTGAATCTAAAAAGAATAAAAAATAAAAAAACCCTTTCCCTTGCTCTTTTCTACTAACAAAAGAGAACTGTGGTTTTTAGATTCTGGTGTTAGCTGTTCTGCTCACAGCTGAGGAAATCTGGCCTGTGTCTCAGTATCTACAAACAAGATCAATAATATCTATCTCTTGTGTTGATACAAAGATTAAATGAATTAAAGTAGCTAATATCTGAGCATATGTTTAGAATATCATTTACTACATAATAAGTATAGTGTTTGTTGAGGAAAAGTCAAATGACCTGCTTTTCTTTTCTTTCTTTTTTTTCCTTTTTTTTTTTTTGGAACAGGAGATCAAACCCAGAGCCTCACACATTCTAGGCAGGCAGCTCTGCCACGGAGCTACATTCCCAGCCCTTTTTATTTTGAGACAGTCTCACTAAATTGCACAGGCTGATACTGAACTTACAATTCTCCTACCTCAGTTCCCCAAGTTAGCTGGAATTATAGCTGTGTGCCATCACACACAACTTATATGATCTGGCTTTTTAAAAGATATTTTCTTTTTGATATTAAACTTTTTCTAAATCAAAACAAGAAATATATAAAGTTATGTTTTGTATTCTCTGATATCAGTGGCTCTGAAAAGATTAAATCATTCTGCCTATAATGAAGTTAAAAAAGAATCAAAACAATAAAGTATTTCTAATGTATTAAGAAGACATTTTTAAAATTTTTTTAAAGACTACATTTCATGAATCAGTCAGTTGTGGTGGTGCACACTTGTAATCCCAAAAACTCAGGAGGCTGAGACGGAAGGATTTCAAGTTTGACGTTAGCCTCGGCAACTTTGAGAGATCCTGTCTCAAAGAATAAAAAAGAAAAAAGAATAGGATATTTTACATATTAAAAGGGAACATTTCATTACTTTTACTAAGAAGAGACCAAGGAAATGATAATACTGAGTGTAAAACATAAAGATATTGAAATTCTATATATCAAATGCTAGCAAAAGAGAAGAGAAAGTATCAGAAGAAAGGACAAAGGCAGATCAAGAAACTGAGTAAGACAAGGGATTCTCAGCAAGAAGACAGACAGGCCAACAACACACAAAGGCAAGCTCATGTCCTCCTTCTGGGCCTCCCCCCATCTGTTTCTGGCCTGTGTAGCACACTCACACTCATCCTGGGTCTAAATTTTCAGAAGGCACTGTGAAGCTATGCCTCCCTGACAGCTGGACACATGTCATGGGGACAAGCCTGCACCTGCTGTCATGTTCACAGGCGTAGAAACCTCACTGCACTATGAACTGAAAAGATGCCTAACGCTGTCCCTTACAAACCACTGGGGGAAAAGACACCAGAGAAAGAGAGGCAGATGTACCCTGGAAACCATAGAAGAAACACACTAAAGGAAGCTCATTAATTTTATATGAATTATATGCTGGGAGAAAGGAAAGGCTCGCTATCACCTGCATCCTTGGTTTACCAAAAATAATTCTTAGAGGTAGAACTATGAATTTAGTTCAAAATATACAAGTTTCCTATTAATAGGCAACTGAGAAAAGAAGAAACGTAAATGAAATGTCTGGGAACAGTGACGCACAGGCACTAGACACAAATCTGAGGTGGAGGCTCTGCCAGTAAGTAATTCTGCCTATGAAACACCTGGACCTCAGCTCCTTCAAAACAGCAAAACACATGCTGCCTACACTTCTCACTGACTGACTTCACAGTGTTGTTAGGAGAGTGACTTAGGAGATTAACAAAAACTTGGTAAGCTAAAAGCAGCAAATCTGAAATACTAATCATGTTTTCAAGCAATTCTCTAAAATGATATATACTTCCATTATTTATATAAAAGTAGAGTATGAAATAAATTCATACTATATATTTTTCCATATTTTTTTAGTCATAGATAGACACAATACACAATTTTATTTTATTTACTTTTATGTGGTGCTGAGGAACAAACCCAGTGCTTTACAGGTAGGTGCTGGGCAAGGGTTCTACCATTGAGCCATAACCCCAGGCCCTATATTATATATTTATGAGGCACATATAATATATGGTATGAATATAATATATAAAACACATGATATATATAACATCAGAATATATTCTACAGTATAAAAAATTTAGAAACCTTCTGAGTAAACCTAACTTCAGCCCACATTCCTCTGTGCGATAACTACCCTTCCTGCTCAGAGGCACATGCCACAGACACACAGAGTCCTGGCTCTAGACTAGTGACCAGAGTACTGAAGGGGGAATCTTAGGCCACGTTCCATCCTGGGACATATTCAAAGCTACCAAATCCGTGTTTGGATTTAGTAGAGAAAATAAAACAATATATTCCTGATAAATATAGTAATTATTTCAAGCTCATAAGTGCAATTTAATGTTTAATGAGAAATTCCTCAAAAGAACAAGTTAACTGCTTTCTTTTACTATCACTGATCTGAGTGAGATCATTCAGACTAAGGACTATGGGAATTTCTTATTAATTACATGTTGAAATAGAACTGCATTATCTCATTAAGTTAATATTTTGAATCTTAATTAATATCATGTTAACTCCAATAGTGATACAACTCTACTTATTCTAAATGGGATTTTAAAAAAGCAAAACTATACTGAAATCTAAAATACTGGGAAAAGCCAAGGCACAGTGGCACACACCTGTAATTCCATCAGCTTGGGAGGCTGAGGTAGGGGGACCAAAAGTTCGAAACGAGATTCAGCAACTTAGTGAAACCCTAAACAACTAAGCAAGAACCTGCCTCAAAAGAATTAAAAGTGTTGGTGATTTGGCTCAGTAGTTGAGTGCCCCTGGGTTCAATTCCTGGTACCAAATAATTAAGATACTAGGAAATTCTAAATTTACTTACTCTGTACCATTTGATTAACATCAAAATAACTCTTTCTATAAATCTTTATCATCTATCACATAAATCTGAAACAATTACTTAACATACTTATTTTTTTATTTATTAGAAATGTATTATAAGGGTTGGGGATGTGACTCAGTGGCAGAACACTAGCCTAGCATGTGTGAGACCCTGGATTCGATCCTCAGTACCACCAAAAAGAAAAAAGAAAAAAAGAAAGAAAACATAACACTCATTTAAAGAACACAAAGATCAGGTGTATTGTTTGATTTTTCAGTTTTATCTCAGAAGCCAAATATGTATATTCTTTCAAGTAATTGGCTTCAGAATATCTTTCATCATTGATTAGGAAGATTGTGTTTTTAATAGTATGCATGTCTAAGCTACTGGCAAAAGCAAACTCAAACCCATCATTTCTTAGGAATGTAAAAATCAACATACCTGGCAGTAAAGGAACAAATTTATAAAAGAGTTCTATGGACTTATGTCGACATTCTGTCTGCGGCCTTCCACAGTGAGCTAAAAGCCACTTGACAAGATCCAATAAACATAATGATGTCGAAGGTGGGAATCCTCTACCAAGATAGAACACAATGTCTTTAATATGCTCTCCAACATTCAATATTTAGCTTATACAACAGTCTAGGAGTTGTAAATGCAATTTTACCACACTGATATATTTAAAAAAATCTCATTAAAAGGCATTCAGCTCATTTTTTAAATATATTTTTTGTTTTGTTTCAGATGAACACAATATATTTTATTTTTATATGGTGCTGAGGAGTGAACCCAGTGCCTCACACGTGCTAGGTGAGCGCTCTACTGCTTGAGCCACAACCCCAGTCCATCAGCTCATTTTTAATGTATTATCATTAGAAAATAATGACCTCAACAGCTGGTAACCTTCATTTTATTATTTTTTGATCTAGGGGAAAATTTTAAAAATATTTTACAATAGAAGAACACCAAATATTTTTGTGTTTCCTTTTCAATGTAACTTAAATCAAATAAGGGTTTCAGATCTAAAGCAGTACTTCTCAACATGTGGACCAATATTACCTATGAACTAGTTAAGAATGCAGGTTCTCTGACTCTATTTCAGAAATGACACAGAAATCCTGACGGTAGGGCCAGGCCAGCAATCTATTTTAATTACACCTACAGCTAAAGTTTGAGAACCAACTACTGGAATGCAGGTGTAATTCAACGATACAGTGCTTGCCTAGCATGCATGGGGCCCTGAGTTGAATCCCTAGTACTACAAGAGAACAAGAGAGAAAAGCAACTATTTAAAGAAATTTTGTAAGTTAAGAATCTGGAAGAATTCATTTTAAAATGGAGAAAAGATTACTTTTGATCTACATGCTTCTCCAGGGTGATGGTTGCTAGTAAACAGATCAGGGGTCCCCACCCACGGGAGGATATAGGAAGTATAGCATCCCCCAATCCTATCTGACAATGAGGCACCGCTGGGGTGGAAATGATACCAATGACAGAAAACCATTGACCCAACAATTAGCCTGGGCTTTGAGCAGCTTCATGTCATCATTCTATAATCCTGTGTCTGTCAAAAATTCTACTATTCAACATTTAGCTCTTTTTTTCTTTCTTTCTTTTTTTTTTTTTTTTTTTTTGGTAGTTGTAGATGGACATGATGCCTTTATTTTATTGTTTATTTTTATGTGGTGCTGAGGATCAAACCCAGTGCCTCATGCATGCTAGGCAAGCACTCTGCCACTGAGCTACAGCCCTAGCCCTCAACATTCAATTCTTAAACTTCAAATTTTACTGCACAATAATTCATGCATACACTAGCTAAATATCCACATCAAACTTGTATTCAAAATTAGTACAGGTAGGGACTGGGATATAGGTCACTGGCAGAACACTTGCCTCACATGAGCAAGACTCAGGATTCAACCCCCAGCACCACAAAAGATAACAATAATAACATAAAAAGCAATAGAGGTAAAATAAATGTCTCAGTTTCAAAATTAATCTTCAATTCTACTATTCCAACCAAGATCAAATAACTTCCACCTTAAATCAAATGTTTTCAAACAGAAAGCTTTTTAACTCCTTTGGAAAATTGACTCTCTCTGTTTCCATACATTTTTTTTCAGGAAATTGAATCTTTATAGTTCCAAACATCTGTCCCTAATAATCCTTTAGTAGCTAAAAACTGGTTTTTATGGTGGGGGGAGAAAAACTAGAAAAAGAAACAATATTACCTACCGTGGCAAACGTCGTTTTTTTGCCTTGTTTAAAGAAATGTGCTTCTTTTCAATGATGCGCGTGAGGTGATCAATGGCATCATAGCACTGTTGAATTGTACCTGTTCTCCAGTAACAAAATAGATTCCAAAGAAAATATACAGCTGATTATTATTAATAAGGTAAGAGTGTATATGTATAGGTCTAATTTTGTGATTAAAAAGATAATTTTACTGTAGATTTAATATTTTTTAAAAAAACATTTTTAGTTGTGGATGGACACAATACCTTTATTTTATTTATTTATTTTCATATGGTGTTGAGGATTGAACCTAGTGCCGCATGTGGGCTAGCTAGGCAAGCTCTCTGCCACTGAGCCACAACCCTAGCCCCTAGATTTAATATTGATCCATCCTTCAGAATACAAAATTTCAATAAATGGTTTATATTGCATGTCCAAAAACAAACCCAGATTTAAAACTATGATAGCATGGCGTAAGTATGCACACATATACAGAGTATTATCACAACTACAGTATACCAACTACAATCCGCACCACCAGCACTGTCAGCAGCCAAAGTACAACTTTACACAATAAACTAGAGACAAGAGACCAAGTATATATTACAAAACCCCATGTTAGGCCAGAACCTTAAAACCTCAATTCAAAGCTATTCTTTAAGGAGTATAAGTTCCTTGGCCTCCCATTCTTCCTGTGTAGGATAAACCATATTATAGTTTAGTAATATAGCCACTGGAGAAGGAGAACAGACTAAGATGGCAAACCACTCAAAGAGATCTATAATTATTTAGGGAAGGAAAAAGGGTGCAAAGTAACCTCTGTCACTAAGATTTTCTTTCTATTCCTTTTTTGCAGTGCTGGGAATCACTGCCTGGCACAAGGCAGTGATTTTAGGAAAAGTCTCATTTGCTGAGAAAATGCATCTACATGGATAATCAATATAAACAAAGTAAATTTTTAAGGTAAGGACTAAATTTTTAGCATTATTGCCTATGGCAGACTTTTGACATAAAGGTAAATCCTAACCTCTAAACTGTCTTTTTAAGAAATAAACAAAAACCAAGATGTGGACAAGTAAAAGAGAAGTCCTGCCACCTCACAGCTATGTGACGTAATGAGCCACCAACACTCTATATGTTGACAAGTGTTGAAGTATTGGAACCAACTGAGGTTTTTTGTTTTTTTGGGTCATTGGGGGGGGGGGGTACCAGCAATTAAACCTAGAGGTGCTTAACCACGGAGTCAAATGCCCAAATTCCCAGTCCTTTTTTAAATTTTTATTTTGAGACAAGGTCTCACTAAGTTGCTTAGGACCTCACTAAATTTCTCAGACTGGTCTTGAACTTGCAATCCTCCTAGCTCAGCCTGCCAAGCAACTGGGATTACAGGCGTATGCCACCACACCCAACCCAACTGAGATTTCTAGGAAGTCTTCTAGCTCAAAAATTTTATGACGTTTCTAGTAGTGTTTAGACACAATTTAATTCTAAAAACTTAACATTTATTACTCTTTAACAACTCTAGCCTAACCCACTTCTGACACAGAACCTTTTTCATATTCCTTAATCATGGCTGAAATAGCTTTATTACAATCTTATAATGAGACCTATTAAGTCATCATTAGAGAGTTCAGAGAAATTAGCCTCCTCTCAGTGGCTACTGCATCCAGCTTTCTTCAGCACTGTGACTCTGCACATTTCCATGTTCATGTCATTAGTCACTGAGTGGCTGCACTGCAGGATGTTCCACCAACCAAGGGTAATTCTACAGCCATAAGGGAATCTTAGGTGAGGACTTGAAAAACCTACAAACTGGATTTGAGGTACAGAAGGGACACATCAAATTTATTTATGGAAGATATGAAAAAGAAAACATCCCTTATAAGAAAATCACCTGAGCCTTAAGTACTGGGTAAAAAAACTTTTAAAACCTTACAGCAAACAGAACCTGTATGACACATACCTAAGGATTTCTCATCTGCATGTGCCAAGGCCAGACTTTCCATATAGATCACCAAGGCTTCAAACACAAATTGATCTACTAAGGACTCTTCTTCCCTGCAAAATAAAGAATGTTAAGCTTCACCTAAGAAAATAATAAAGTGCTAAGGACACACACCAAAAAAGTGATGGTATTAAAGAATGCAAACATTCAACAAATTTGTTTTTTCTTTTCAATAAAAATCTAAATGTTTTAAAACATAAAACAACCTAAAATGTTTCTCAAAGAACACTACTTCCTTATTGAACTGGGGATATAGCTCGGTTGGTACAGTGCTTGCCTCACATGCACAAAGTCCTGGGTTCAATCCCCAACAACATACACACACACACACACACACACACACACAAATAATAATAATAATAACAATAATAATAATACTTCCTCAAGAGCAGACTAAAGCATGAGGCTTTATAAATCAATCAAGAGGCAGTACTGGCTTTTCTCCATCCACGGGTATCATATGCCTCCTCCCACTAGGAGACTGTTCCTGGCACATAACCTTAGAACCACTATTCCAACCACATTTTACAAAGCTCATTAAAACTTAATGTAAGGAAAAAGAAGAACTGATACCATATAACACATCCACGTTCTTCTAAAATAAAGAAAATTTAAAAGCTCTCATCCTACCTTAAATCAAGTCAACATCTAAGCAGAGTAAGTCAAACTAAGAAGGTTACAGGTCATGTGTTTTCTCTTACATGCAGAAGTTTGAGAGGAAAGTGGAAAACAAAGCTGAGAGTAGATCTCCTAAAAATCAAAGGGCTATTGGTAGAGGAAAGGGACCCAAGGGTGGCAGGTGGACAGAGACGGGGAAGTGCTATGGGGTGAAGTTGGCCAAATTATATTGTCAGATTGTGTGCATGTAACAATAAATCCCATTAATATGTACAACTATAATTCACCAATAAAAAATGTGTAAAGTAAAATAAAATAAACGTTTGGTAAAATTCAAGAAAAATAAAAAGAATTAGGATTGATGTTCAGTGGTAAAATGCCCCCAGCATCCCCTCGCCACAAAAAAGTATGCATTTAAGATCATAGAATGTAACATTTTTTCTACTTTCACTATCCAGCTACTGAGTGTCAATGAAATAAACCCCCTTTTTTTTTTTTTTGTACTACGGGGGATTGAACTCAGGGGCACTCAACCTCTGAGCCCCATCCCCAGCCCTATTTTGTATTTTATTTAGAGACAGGATCTCACTGAGTTGCTTAGCATCTTGCCATTGCTGAGGCTAGCTTTGAACTTGCGATCCTCCTACCTCAGCCTCCTTAGCCGCTGGGAATACAGGTGTGTACCACTGCACCCGGCAAGCAATTATTTTTAATTATGAGAAAAAATTTAAGTCAATACCAATAGTAAACTCTGAGCCTTTCATAAGTATATCTAGTACATGCAAGTAATCAATTCAATCAACATCTGTGCACCATCTAACTTATACAGTCACACATAACTGACCACATATACAACAGTAGTCCTAGAGGATTACAATGATTAATGTCAGTACAGATGTCTTACACTGTGTACTTAGTGAATGTGTAAGTACACTCTACAATGTTCATAAAAATGACAAAATAATTTAAGGGCACATTTTTCAGAATGCACCCCTGCCATCAAGTGACATGTGACTGTAACAGATAGTAAACTTGGTGTCCTAAGTACCAAGGGCCAACACCTAGTTAGAGAGGTCAGATATCTCATGGGAAAATGTGTTCCTTAAAGACACAGGATAGTAAAAGATTAAATATAACATAATAACTTTCACGGGAGTTCACACAAAACTAAGAGTTGGAAGTTGCAGTGAAGCCTTCAGCCTCAGTCACTGCATTACCCCTTGGGATGGATGTGTTTGTGCAATAAGAAAAGCAGAGCAAAGCACAGACGAGGGCATGGGGCTTACAATGAGAAATGGAAACTGGTAGTCACACTGGCATGAATATAATAATTTTAAAAAAATATTATTCCCAAGGGGGACAGGGCCTTTCAGAGTTACACAAGCCCCCTCATGCCCCAACATTTCAAATCCTTGAAGTAAAGGATGCTGAAAAAAAAAAAAAAAAAAAAACAGAACCAGTATGGATAAGAACATGGAGGCAAGCAGGAAAACAGAGAGTCAATCAGCAAAAGGTTCACTCGGAGGAATGATTTGTGAAAGAACTGCAAGTTGAACAGAAAAGGTCATAGAAGGCCAAGGTAAGTATTAATAGTTTTTATATTAGGCGCCAGGAAAGCAGTTGATAGGTATTAGTAAAGAAATTATATGACAAAATAAGCTGCCCTCCAAAGGAGCATGAAACCAGTTCGTCAGAATGCAGAAAGGAAATATTAGTGCTTCAATTTATAGTATCCAACATGCAAGATATCAAACAGTCCTCTTTCATGCATTCTTTCTCAAATTAGCCACTTGAAATGTGGTCTAACAAATTAGAGTACCCAAGAAAGACAATGATACAGGGTAAGGAAACAGAAGCCCAAACACAGGAAAGAAGTCAAGAAATAACCAAAAGATGGGGCTGGGTTTGTGGCTCAGCAGTAGAGTGCTCATCTAGCATGTGTGAGCACTGGGTTTGATCCTCAGCACCATATAAAAAGTCCCTCATAGTCACACAGAGCGAGCTCGACATAACACAAAACTGGCAATCAAGGACTGCAGAAAAGACATGCTGATAGCTGTCTCCAACAGGACATGGCTGAATGTATCCTTCCACCTGGACAGAATGCCCAGGCAAATCCAAGTTTTTCTCTGAGACTGGCTCATCATGACCATGTTCTGGGAAATTCTGTGTTCTGCCTAGATCAGCTGACAGTGCTCATTTAGCCACAGGAGTATTAAACTTTGACTTACTCCTGACAGACAAGGTGGGCATTCTGAGCTGAGAAGAGGAACTAAGGGATAGCCCATACCCTTGGATGATACTTCCCCCATACATCAGATTCTGGTCCACTTCATGGCCATCTCTGAAGAAACTTGCTTTCCAGGATTGACTATGGATCCTGCTGATCCAACTTGCTCTTATGATCTATTAGGAAGGATGAAGCCAGTCTCCATTCAATTTAGTCTCCCAGAACCCCTCAATAGGGAAATGACTCTCAGAATGGTGGCACATGCCTGTAACTCCAGTGGCTCAGGAGGCTGAGACAAGAGGATCACAGTTCAAAGCCAACCTCAGTAACTTGGTGAGATGCTGTCTCAGAATTAAAAAATATTTAATAAAAAGGGCTGGGGATATTGCTCTGTGATTCAGTGCCCCAAGGTTCAATCCCCAGAACAACAACAACAAAAAAGTTAAAAGACTGCCTTTGTCTCACATAACTGTGCTTGCCCTCACCACCCACTTTTCAAAACACAAAAATATATTGTTTGGGGATAGGAGATAAATATAAAACTATGGAGAAAAGCAGGAAGAAAAGGAAAGCAGGAAGGAAGTAGCATAAGTCAGGAGAATGATGGCCCTGGAAGGGCAAGAAGTTTTCCAGAATACTAGTAATGCCTTATTTCTCAATCTAGGGGGTATGTGACAACCTGTTTTACTATTATTATTCTATAAACTTTATACACTCTTGCTTTACGTACTCGTCTCTACAAATAGTTTTCACAATTTAAAAAGCTAAAAAGAGGGGCTGGAGATATGGTTCAGTTGGTAGAGCACTTGCCTTGCATGCACAAGGCAACGGGTTCAATCCCCAGCAGCACCACCACCACAACAAAAAGTTAAAAAAGAGCAGAGCACTGTGGTGCACCCCTGTAATCCCAGCAACCTGGGAGGCTGAGGCAGGAGGGTTACAAGTTCAAAGCCAGCCTCAGCAACTTAGCAAGATCCTGCCTCAAAATAAAAAATAAAAAGCTGGGCGCTCAGTGGTAGAGCACCCCTGGCCTGAATCCCCAGTACAAAAAAAAAAAAAAAAAAAAAAATGCTGAAAAATTAACATATGGCTCTAAGTGGCCAATTCTCATCACACATATAAATTCCCATCCATACATTCATCTGATATTGGTTTTTTGTTTTTGTTTTGTTTTCTAGGTACCAGGGATTGAACTTGGGCACTTGTCCACTGAGTCACACCCCCAGCCCTATTTTGTATTCTATTTAGAGACCAGGTCTCACTGAATTGCTCAGTGCCTCACTATTGCCGAGACTGGCTTTGAACTGGCGATCCTCCTGCCTCATCCTCCCAAGCCACTGGGGTTACAGGCATGTGCCACCACACCTGGCTCAGTCATCGGATATTTATCACTGATTCCCTCTTCTCTATGCCAGCTGTCACTTTCTGAGAGAAGTTATTCTGACCAAACAAGTTTAGATTCTCACTATAAGATTACTTAGTAATTATGAACTACTATGTAGCATCACTAATTTCAGTTGCAAGCTTTATATTTATTGCTGTGATTAATTAATTAGTATCTCTTTCTCTGACATGTAGCCCTCAAGAAGGGCTATATCATTATATCTAGGCATTTGGTACCATACCTGGCACATATTATTGCTATTATTCTTTTCTTAAGGTAGAGTCTCATTATGTTGTCTAGGCTAGACTCAAAACTCCTGAGATCAAGTGATCTTTTTTATTTTGGCCTCCTGAGTAGCTGGGACTATAGATGCACACTGGTTCATAACATTCTAAGCAAGTAATTAATATTCTTAATAAGTTACTGGTTCATAATATACTTAATAAGTGATGGAATCAATGAACAACCACCACTACCACCTTAGGTCAGTAATTATCTTTTTCTTGGACTTCTGAAAAAACCTCTTCATTGGTGTCACACTTAGACCCACTTTCCTTCCAACTACCAACAGATAATTTTAAGAAGAAATCTAACCGCACTGATCCCAGCTCCCAAAACGCCACAGATTTGCTGAAACAAGAGGTAGCTGGTACTTTCACCACAGCAGCCCAAACCCTACTCCCCAGCCTTGCTGTATTATCTCCCAAACCTTCAACACCACAGTCTGGGAAAATCCAATGTCTGCATCAACTCAGATGCCATCCCATTTCTTACCTCTCCACCACATCCCTTTGATCTGGACACCCTGGCTTGTTCTCATTTATCCTTTACATCCTACCTTTGACATCTTTGCCTAACCTACTCTGACTGGACTGGATATCCCCCCCGTGGGCTCCAAAACTGCTGCAGTATTATGTTTGTATGTATTTCTTAGTAGTTTCTAAGCATCTTGAGTACAAACTGAATTTTAATTCATTTTTAAACCTTGGAACACAGCACAGCATCCAGCACACAATTACTTACTAAATACTTGATACATAAATACATGGACAGAAACACTAAGCCACTTTTCAAAAGTACCAGTACAAGTTTCAAGAGCAAATTTTATACCCTTCCTTGTACACATGTGTCTCACATACCTGAATTCCCTATAGATGTTATTAAAAGCCAGTGATGCTCCCAACCTCTTGAAAGCACTGGGGTGAAGTGCAAAGCTGTAAAGTCGCTTGAAAAGTGACTTGGTATTTACTGGACTCTTTTCTTGCTGCTGTGGTGTTGTTTGCTTAATGGACCATTTGAGGAATTCTCGAATACACTGACCACAAAAATCTCTTAAAGTACTGTCGATGGGGTCCACAATTCCATCCTGAAACAAAGACATATTTATTTTACTAATGTTATATCCATATAATGGCAGCCAAATACCCTTAGTCTGCCTTTGAGCATGACTAGAATGTTATGAAAATTATTTATAGCACAAAACAAGAAAAAATAAACACTAAGAGAAACAATCTGGTTTCCCTGAATCTAAATTCAAATGACAAGTTCCTTTTAACACAAGGAAAACATTATCTTTTACACTAAATAATAAATTGAAAATTCCATGGAAAAGGGAGAAAATTCTGAGATAATTTGAATTTGTACCCCAAAAGCCTATGTTGAAAATAATCTCTAAACTCACATGTTAACAGTATTTGGAGTCAGGGTCTTTGGGAGGTAAACAGAACTGAAATTAGGTCATGAGGATGGACCCCCATGGTGGCACTCTCTCACCAGGTTTTGCCCTCCACATGCTACCATGCAGCAAGAAGGCTCTCATCATATATCAGCACCTTGATGTTGGATTTCCTGGCCTCCAGAACCATGAGTTATAGCCCATTCTCTATAAATTACCAAAGTCTGTGATGTTCAGTATAGCAACAGACAACAGACTAAGATAGTGCATGTGCTGATGTTAGGGAAGTGACGATTCTTTCTAATAAAATAATGGCTCTCCTTCACTGAAGTGCTATGCTATAAAGTTCACATTTCTTCATTACCTTCTCTTTCAGCCATCTCATTTTACTTTATCATTATCTCACTAGATTTCTTTTGAAACCCCTTACTTCAGCTACCTTTAAGAATCAAAAGGGAAAAGGCAATAACTAAAATAGCTGCTTCAGAATAGAAACATAATAGAATAAACACATCCAGCCAGGTATGGCAACACATGCCCATAATCCCAGAGACTTAGGAAGCAGGGAAGGAGGCTAACAAGTTCAAGGCCAGCCTTGACAACTTAGTAAGACCTTGTCTCGAAACAAAATAAAAAGAGCTGGGTATGTAAGCACAGTGATAAAGCACCCCTGGGTTCAATCCCCAGTACCACAAAAAATATAAACAGGACTGGGATTGTGGCTCAGTGACAAAGCGCTTGTCTCACATATGTGAGGCACTGGGTTCAATCCTCAGCACCACATAAAAATAAACAAACAAAATAAAGATATTGTGCCCATGTATAATAAATTTTTTTAAATATAAACAAACCCAATCTGAATATAAGTAAACCACAAATTAAATTAATTGTATTTATTAGAAGCAGAATTCACTGGTAGACGCTGCAAGGAATAATGTTACAGATATAATTACGGTCTGCTTCCTAATTAAAAATGTTCAACAACTAACTCTCTGTTGCCTATCACATGACATACAATTAGGGTGACTCTAGGAGTGAAAGTAGTACTATTTGTAATTACACATCAGGATATGTGGCTGCCCTACAGAATGATCTGCTCTTCTGTCCAACACCATTCTAGCCTCCCTTTTCACAATGCCCCTACACAATAAAAACATGAAAACAAATCCAAATCCTCACAAACACCACAAACTTAATACCTTCACTGCTTCTCTCTGGATGCTCTTGTCAATTTCCCTATTTTCCTGACTCATCTCAAACTTAAGAGAAAAATGGCACACAGATGTAAACTGGAGTCAATTTGCAAGAACAAGGAATTAAAGGATATGTTTGAACAAATTCACTATGTGTTCAACTACAGCTCTGAATTCTAAAGTGTATAACAAAATAAAATGATACACTGAAATAATAGACAAAATCAAACAATAAAAATTATTACTGTATGTATTATAGTAATATACATAGCATCAAAAGATACCATAGCCTAGCTGACCTCACTACTTTTGTCCTCAGCAAGCCATTGGTCAGATCCTAAGGATTCTACCTCTACCATGTCAGGAGAGTTCTATGTAAAAGATAAACTGCTATTAGTAGGACCCTTTAACAATTGAATCTGAATACAGGAAAATATTGAGAAAGCTCAAAAATTCCTTTTACTTTTAAACTAAGTATTATACTAAAAGTATTTTAAAAAGAGCTACCGTACCTCCAATAAGTCAAAGAACATTTTTACTCCATACACATACACACACGCACCACACACACACACCTTTAATGAGATAAAATTTGTTGAATTTACAATAGCCTTCCCAGAAAACAGAAGAAAAATGTGTGAAATATTATTTAGTTATAGATATTTAAAAGCATCACTTAAATAAATAAATATGGCATTGTGTCCACTAAAATGGCATTAGAAATCAAATACAACAAAAGATAAAAGGATCCAACTAGAGGCTACATTTTGGTATTAAATGTAACTAGACAACAGGAATAGCAAGAAAAGAATCAACCACTACTCACCAATATGGTTTCTAGTAAGGCGACAGTATCTTGACTTTCAAATTTCTTATTATTAGTGAACCAGTGAATCAGTTGCATAACAAGTGGCTCATAAAGTTGCCTTGTCACCTGAAAAAACAAGACTTTACTGGAGTTTTTTTCCTTTGTGTTAAAGTAAATTTAAACTGGAAATTGAACATTAAATGGCATTTACAGTAGGGCAAAATGAAGCAAAACTACTACTGTTATTTCATTAATTTCTTTTTCTAGTTCAATTCCATAATGAACTATTCTTCCTTACTTTCTAGAGTTCAGCAAAGAAAAATGTACCTCTAAATCTCATTGTTCCTCTAGTTAGGAGGGTAATTTAGGGTACACATTATTTATCTTCATTACTTTGATTTTAAATGTGTACACAAAGTATTCTAGATTAGATACAGATTATCATTGATCAACCACAAAGCAAATAATGAGTCTGTGGCTTCCCACATCATGAATGCCATCCCTGTGACAAAATGAAAGCCAGATCAACGTCCTATACATACAGACTTTAAAGTCTATACCATTGGGAGGAACAAAGTCAAAGAGGAGAGGCAGGTGCCTCTGCTTCTGTTGCCTACTCCAAATACTGAGGAACCACTCCCAGCAATAGGCATAGGAACCAGATCACCGTGATTTGACTATGAAACTCAGGTAGATAGTCTTTACTATATTAAGACAACATTAAATCAGGCCTAGCCTACCAAGATCAGCCAAAGACCTTTAGGCTTCTATGGAGAGAATAGCTACTTCTTAAACTATTTATATGGTAAATTTCAGTTTCAAAAATTCCACTTAATCATGATGATTTCATATATGTTGCAAAATTTTCCAATATATTTATAAGTGACTTCTGCATTTCACTTTATTTTTTATGTGTACACTCTGATAACAGGGTTATGCCAGCTTCATAAAATGAACTGAGATTTGTTTTTCTGCTTCATGACAGAAATGGAGGTTCTGTCCATGAAGTATCAAGAACAGGTCATTTCCCAACATTTCCAATCTGTTCCTTGACTCCTAGCCACTTTTTCACTTCCTGAAAGATGGAGTTCATCCATCCATGAGCAGGGTGACAGCTAATCCACTTTAGGATGCCTAGACTCTCAGTGACTATAACATTGGCTCCCCAACTCTGTGGCACAAAAGAGGTTGCTGGGACAACTTTTCAAAGTCTTATTCTCCATGTCACATCCATAACCAATCAAATCAGAATGTTTGGTAGATTCCCAGGTGATTATTCCAATGTGTAGCAAACCCTTTGACAACTGAAGGAGACCTTTTTTTTTGTACTGGGGAGTTAACCTAGAAGTGTGTAACCACTGAACTGCATCCCCAGCTCTTTAACTTTTAAGACAGGGTCTCACTAAGTTGCCTAGGGCTTTACTAAGTTGCTGAGGCTGGCCTTGAACTTACAATCCTCCTGACTCGACCTCCCAAGTTGCTGGGATTACAGGGATGTACCACCATGCCTAACCACTTTTTTTTTTCTTTTTAAGTTTTCTATTCAAATCATGCACTTACCTGATCTACATCACAAGCAAGGCGAAGCAGAACAGGAAAAGTATGTTTATATAGCTGGTACATGGGCGGAGAACCCTGATCACCTTCGGGCATCTGAGTGGCTTTTCCCAACATAAACATGACCATGCTATGTAACAGTTCACAAGCTGCCACCTAAATAGGCCAAGAGTTCAACAAAGCTTACATTATAACGTTCACAAGAATATTTTGAAGTATTTTTCAATTTAGCCCTTCAAGAAGAAAAACTTGTTGCACATAACTATCATTATCATGTAATGTAATTCAAATATAAATTAACTGGAAGTAGCACTTCTTAGATAAAATTAATGCTTCTGTTCACTTTGATCTTCATCTAAGAGCCAAGAATTGATATTTAAAAGCTTTAGACACTGGGACTAATACATTCACAAGAAATGTATTTTCCTTTATTTTTGCTTTTTCTTTAAAAAAAAATTTTTAAGAACTATATTTGAATAATGCCCCATTACAGAATTATAGACAATCACTTCATTTGTAAGCATATTTACAACTATCATGGTTAGCAAATATTTATTTATAACACTATATTAAAATTTCAGATGATTTGTTTTTAAGGTTGAAGGAATAATCAAACACCAAGTATAATTTTTAAATGCCCTTTGTACTGTATTTTCTATCATGAAGAATTTTTGGCATACTAATTTTCTGCCAGGTTATTATCTATTAAGATAATTTATGTTTAACTTTTATTTATCAATGATAAGTAAGCAATCAGAAAAATACAAAATTAATGATAATGGAATGGCTAAAATATATTTTCTTTTCCTACCCAATGTGTTTTCAAAGCAATAGATCCTAAATAAGAAATGAAATGAAAAATAAAAGTACTTTAGTTTGTCTGTCACTAGCTGAAAGAGCCAATTCTGTGACCCGGGGCAAGAATATATCCAAATAAATGACAGGCTTCATATCTCTGAAAGGCACTGCAAAGCTGAGTCTCTTCTCTCTGTCCCACGCCACACACTTCTTCATCATTTCATCTGAAGTCGTGGCTGACAAAAAAGAAGAGTAGTTTTCCATTCAAAATCCTTCTTAAATCAGTTGTTCTACCTCTCATTGGCTCAATCGGAGTATTTGGTGGGGGCATTTGGCCATTGAGCCACATCTCCAGCCTTATTTTTTTGCATTTTATTTAGAGACAGAGTCTCACTAAGTAGCTTAGTGCCTCACTTTTGCTAAGGTGGGCTTTGAACTCATGATCTTCCTACCTCACCCTCCTGAGCCACTGGGATTATACATGTGTGCCACCATGCCAGGCTAATCAGGGTCTTTTTAAACTTTTAAACTAAACATTTATTCATCTTTCCTTTTTACTGCTTCAGATATGTAATTAGAACATCTAAAAGTACTGACAACAGTATTTTTTAATTTAACTTAAGTAAAAATATTTTCAAACAAATTAACAATCTGGAATATTTAATATTCAAATTCAGTAAGAGTTACTTAGGGTATTTTGTGGAAAAAATGGTAAATGAAAAATATTTTTACTAAAAATTTCCTGCTTATTTCCAAGTACAGGTTCAAATTTCCTAAATAACCAAGCCACTAAGTTAAATACAGTAAGCCACTAGTGTATTTAATACCAAATTTCAAAAGTAAAAACAAATGAGTTTTTACTAATCAAAATTATTGTCATAAAAACAATCTAAAAGCATCCACGTATTAAGAATATTGAGTTTTTAAAAGTTTAAATTCCCCTAAAATAAAGTTTACCCATAGAAAACAATGCCAAATTAGATTGTTTCAAAATGGAAAAAAATATATATATGTGTGTGTAACAAATCAAGCTGGAACATTTGCTCTGTTAGTGTGCTGAATTATTCCAATGGCATGAGTATAATAAAAGCATTTCATCAAGTGGTACATTATTCACTATAATCCTCCTTGAAAATACGTAAATCACACATAGGAATAAATATTTTGATATTTATTTGATATTTATACTATGACACTATTGATCCCAACTGAAGCACAAATATATCTACACACATTAATTTATTTTGAAAGAAAACATTACCTGTTATAAGATTTTTGTTTATTTGTCCTCCGAGAGATCCAAGAATTTGTACTACTCTAATTCTTATTTCTTCTAAGGACAGTGTTTCATTCTACAAAATGAAAAATTGTATACATGTAATATCTGAGTTAAAATTAAAGAGAAGATGAAAATAAGGAAAAACTATTTTATCACCCTTCCTATTGCTAATTTTTTTTTTTTTGTAATGCTGGGGATCAACCCCAGGTTCTTATATACCACAGAGCGATGCCCCCAATCCTCTTACTGGTTAATTATATCCTACATGGTAGTGCTATTAATTTTATCGCAAATTCATAAAAGTCATATTTCTTCCAACTATGAAGTTGGATATCTATTTCCTAGAGCAGGAGTTCCAGGCTTCTGGGGAGGACACTTTATGCTTTTTTTTTTTTTAATATTTTTTTAGTGATACATGAACACAATACCTTTATTTTGTTTATTTATTTTTATGTGATGCTGAAGATTGAACCCAGTGCCTCACATGTGTGAGGCAAGTGCTCTGCCACTGAGGCACATCCCCAGCCCTCCTTTAATAAGCTCTTAAGAAATATCAGAAACCCCAGAAAGGTTTTATTTATGTGGGTAATGCTCATTAATATTTATTACATTAGAAATTAAACTTAAATTCTTTAAATAGTTATTATTTTTAAAATACACTCATCAATACTTATTACATTAAATATTAAAACTTAAATTATTTAAAGTTATTATTTTTAAAATACACTCATTAATACTTATTACATTAGAAACTAGAACTTAAATTATTTAAATAATTATTTTTAAAATACTAAACACATTACAAGTGAATGAATGACATACTGTCAAGAAAAGTAACTCAATTTTCCAAACAAAAATCCTCAGAATGGGAGCCCTGTTTCACGTAAGTGCAGATCCCTTTTGGCACACTGTGAGATTCAGAATTTAGGCCTCACAGAATCACGTAGCTAGAAGAGGGAGGAGCATTTTAAGTCTTTTTTAACATAATTGTGGTTACAGTTCTTTGATATTACACCAAAAGTATACTATTGGCAGTTTTTTAAAGGTTTGTTATTGTAATGTGGAATTTGAAACCTTATCAATGAACTGGATTACATTAAAATCCTTGATTTGTTTTATATCTGAATAAATGTTTGTACTTGTGCATAATTTGGTAACTTCAAGTATTGCTCATCTGAATAAAATACTGATTCACTGGATTAGGCAAACTTTCCAGAATGTGCCTAGAGGCAAGTGCCAATAAAATGCTAAAAAGAACCACAACAGTGTTGCCCACTGTCATATCATGGTGCAAATGTCAACAGAAACAGCTTTGGCCTTGCACTCTGGAACCCAGGGATCCTCACTTAGAAAAAACTGTCCTAAGGAATAGGCATCCTAGGGAATAGGCATTGTGTACCCGTGAAAAAATCTTATTTGTAAAACTAAAGATATGCTCAAGTTATGTTATCCATCTTTGTTTATGTGAGATAAAATTATTTTAAAAATTCAGAAAATCATTTTTACTTGCATGCAAGTCTTTCAATCAAAAGCTACCAAAAACAATAGCGTAGAAAACATTTATGCTAGGGTTTTTTACTTATCAATTTTCAACATTAAAAGTTTTTCAAGTTGTAATTTTCACTTCATACCAAAAATAGATACTTTCCCTAAACAAAGCTTTTACCATTTATATCATTTTTTCCTATCACATCATACAGCTCATCTCAAAAAAACTGGTCAAAAAATTATCATCAAAAAGCACAAAACTAGCATGAACTTGATAAAGTTGTATTTAAGAATGAATCAATCTTACATATCCATGGTATCAGTATTCCAATGTGCTTGTTGAAAATGAACCATGTTACTCTGCATTATCCACTAAACACATTTAAGGGTAGGGATGAGCAGGACAACAACATCAAGACAACAGCCAAATAATTAATACAGTTTATATTTTCATGCCAAACATATATTGAAACTACTTCTATACTACACTTATTTATATGTAAAAACAACTAACATCTCAAATGAGGATTCTTTTCGAATCTCTGTATTATATAAGGTAAAGAAAATACAAAGGATATCTTACTGATGAAGTGTTCTTTGTCTTTTTCAAATGCTTTAACACAACTTTATTAAATCCTTTCTGGGCAGCTCGAGAAAGTGCTGACACTTCCCAGTTGTTCTTGGCCTCATCTAACAACAGTAAACAAAAATCAATTTTAAACAGCATTCATTTATTTGATGAATACTAAGGAGAATACACTCTACTACCAAACATATAAACATTAAAATCCTAATCTTAGTTATGATGAAAAAAACTAAGTTTCTAGAACATAAAGTCTTCACACTGGTTGTCTTGTTTTTAAGCACCACTGTCCATTAAAAGCATCATGGTTCCTTGAAGAAGTGCTGATTCTTAGACTGGAACAGACTCATCAGAAGATCCTGAATTACATCCTGCTGCTGAAGCCAGATCCCACACCTCATATACAAGCCAAATTTGTTACCATCTGACCATCAAAATCAACCCACTGAAAAAAATAAGAATCCATGAGTCCCAAGCGATATAGATAAATAAATAAAGGAAAAAAGAAAAAAGTTAGTTCTTACAGTAGAATATCAACTAGGATTGAAGGATTAGAGATGGTAGAAAAATACTCTTTTTTTTAATATTTATTTTTTAGCTTTAGGAGGACACAATCTTTATTTTTTTATTTTTATGTGGTGCTGAGAATCGAACCCAGTGCCTCACACATGCCAGGTGAGCGCGCTACTACTTGAGCCATGTTCCCAGCCCTGAAAAATACTCTTTTCTAACTATCACAATAATAAAGGAAGAACTATCAAGGAATACTAGAACAATTATAGTGAAAGTGTGATGAGGAACAAGAATATTTACAGTCCTAAAGTACACCTCTATAAACTACCTATTTTTAAAACAAATCATAAATAGAACATTTGAAAGTAAAATCAAAAATTCCTTGCCTGGACAAGGAATTCTTCAATGTGCATCATCAGTGTCTCATAAAACCGCCCCACAACCGTTCAAATCAAGACATTGGCACAGAGTAATGACAACTAAATACAATATAAATTCTATACTGGATTCTGGATCAAGAAAAATATAGTTATATAAGAAACTAATGGGCAAATGAAAATAACTACTATGGACTATATATTAGAAGAGTATGTACCCATATTTCCTGATTTTTTTATAAGAATAATGTAGTTATGTAAAAGGAAGTCCTCGCTCTTAAGAAGTACACAATGGGACACTGATGTGTAAAGATCCATGATGCCTGCAGCTTACAAAGAATTCACACACAAAAAAGTCCTGTATAAATATATACACCCACACAAAATCACACATGATATAGAAAGTAAAGGCAAATGGTACAAAATCTTAATAACTGGCTTAGTAAGTGAGGAATCCAGGTGAAGTATACAGTAGTTCTTTTTACTATTCATGCAACTGTTCTGGAAATTTGATGTATCAAGTACAAAGTTACTAAAAATAGTGGTTGCCCTGAACATGATGTTCTTTTTTGCTTACTCTGCTTCTATCATCATATGGTCTAGAATACACATATCTATCAATAGACAGATCCTTTGACACAATCACAGCAACTTCCTTCATTAATCTAAAACATAAGTCTTTTCAAAAACTTAATTAACAGAATCAAATGCAAAACAAAAAATAAAAATACTACAAGATTTTTGCTATTTCGTATATTCTAAGTGTATGAATTTTTGTCAACTACTCAAATAGCAGTACACCTTATATAATATGCATTTTAAAAGCCTAAACTATAGAGATTAACTACTATGAAATTTTTTCATCCCTAAAACAAGACTCACAATCATTTATATAAAAATCTTCCAAAATTTGAACTTTTTTCAAGAATTCTGAATATACATTCAGAATGTTTCAACTAGATACAGTAAAATCTGTCAGATAACTTCTATTTAATGTTTCCAAGACAATAACATTTAATAACAAAACAATGATTTACATAGGTAAAACTTCACAAATAAAACATTTCATTTCCACTTTTAATATAGTGAAATTTAAAATTCTAAAATTCTTACTAATACTTCAGTCTTTCTCCCAACTGAATCTTTCTTTTTGCTTGCACTTGGTAATATTCCTTTTCATTCTCATTTAAGTAAATCCAGCCTTTTGACTGTTAGTACTACATTCCCTGATTAGTAATATTTTTTGCCTGGTCAGATGATTTTTTCTTTAAAAATCTTTTCCTAAACCTATTTCTTCTCCATTGACCTTTTTTTTCCCCCCCAATTCTTAGCTTATATTTTAAAAATGAATAAAAATCCAACAAAAACACAAAATCACTATTTACTTTCTTTTTTTTTTCTCCTTTCTTTTTTGGAAGTACTGGGGATCAAACTCAGGCCCTCATACATGAAAGGTAAGTGCTCTACTATTGAGCTACATTATTAGCCCTTTCAATGTTACTTTGAGACAGGGTCCCGCTAAATTGCTGACACTGGTCTTGAACTTGCAATTCTCCTGTCTCAGCCCACCAAGCCCACTGGAATTACAGGTGTGTGCAACCATGCCTGGCTTCTGATATTTTTAATTCTTGTCCGATTTATTCAAAAATTCTTTGCAAGGTAGTATATTAGGAATTACAAAGAGCTTCTATCCCTGAAGATTTTATAAATCTTAGTAAGATATAAACAAATAAAACGAAAAATATTTTAATAACTTGATTACATTTCCTATTGTTGCAATTATATTGAGATAACTAGGGAATAAAAACAAACATATAATGAAAACACTGGGTTCAAATTTTAAGTTTCAAAAAATATGAACAGTCCTATTAATCATGATGCATATTTCAATTTTTTTAAACCTTACCTGATAAAGTGGAAGTCTTCAGGTATCCATCAAGGCAGGGGAGAATATTTTTGTAATAAGGCTGAATTACATGCTTGTCGATATAAATTGACCATTCTTCAAGAGCATTCAGACCTACTTCTGCCAGCGGGGGATAGCTTAAACCCAGCTTGAATGCCATCTATGTCAATCCAAACATGATAAAGAGAAAAATGGTGAATTTGAGATTTAAAGAAAAAAAAAAAAAAACCACCAGTTAATTGTGGTTTCTGTGTAATACACCATTATTCTATCACAGGAGCCCAGACATTGCTGGAGGTATGTGGGTACAGTCCAGGTCACCACAAGGAAAACAAACAGCACCAGTTCACAAGACTGGTGGTTTACTACGGACTTCCAACATATGCAAGGTGTAATTCTCACATTTGCCTGCAAGGGAAGCTCAGAGAGGCCATGTCAGGTTTCCTGAGCACCGAAGCTGGGAAGTGGCAGAGGCTAAGCCACTCATGCAGCCTGCATATGTGATTCTGCATGGAGATCCTTGGTATCTCCATGCTCTTTAGGAAAAATAATAGCAATGAAGATGTGGGTCTGCTCAAAAAAATTCATCTACCTGCAATGCAGGGACGTAGGCTCTAAAGTCAAGTTCAATGATGTCATGTGGCAGAGACAGAACAAAGGTCAAACAGGAGGCCAAAAGTTCATCTTTGTACTGTTTCATTTTAACTGATACCTTAATGAGAAATAAGACAATAGTAAATATCTGAAGAGAGACTGCAATTTGAAAATCAATTTTAAAACTTTTAGTCTATTTTCAAATACAAAGAATGAGCACATAGACTTTATTTGACATGACCATGTTCACTTACAAACTAACCACTGATCTCCAAGATAATTTGTTGAAGGGCCTAATTCCCCTCTATATGAAAAAATTAAGAAATATATTTTGATTTTGAGTTGTCATCACTCAGTTGAATTATTTTAAGGGAATTCAAGGTACTTTTGAAACACAATGATTTGCTGTGTTAGTTTTTTAAAGACCTTAACTTCCAATCTGAATTTAGCAAACCAGTTTTTTAAAAAAATTATGTCACTTATGATCACTAGGATTTTTTCACTACACATTCATTTAAAAATAACCTATAAAACACTAAGATAAATCACTTAAAAATTACCTCTTTACCAAATTTTGCAAATAAAGCAAAGCAAGAATACTTTTCTGGGTCCTCAGGAGAGCATTTCAGACTCTTTGGACTAACTCCCTGTCAAATAAAATATCAAATTAGTACACTAAGCAAGAATTAGGAAATATTATATTCTAATCCAGCAGTTCCCAACCTTTCTCCAGAGGGCTAAACTCATTCCACTTTACCAAAGTCCAGTGTGGAAAAAAAAGAGACTCAGCTATAAGAGCATTTCCAGGCAGAGGCCAATAAGAAATAGAACAGGAAGAGGGAAGCTGAACTAAGTCCATTTCCCTTTCCATCTTCCAGTAAGATATCTGTGTTCTGGGAGACCTGCTTCTCCTGAAATTACACAAGCAGAGTACTTGTGTGACAAAATGGAGCCTCATGGATGCTATCACAGTCATTCTCAAAACTCAGAACGCACCAAAATATCTGGATGAATTGCTGCACAAATCACTCAGGCTTGCCCCCAGAGTTTCTGATTAGCTAAGTATGGAGACAGCCCACAACTTACAAATAATGACTGCAATTCAAAAATTCCTAGGAATCTTGAATAAATTAGCCAGGTGGTTAAAAATCAAAGCAGAAAATGCCACTAACTTTTCAAAGACAGTCATCCAACTGACACTCAAATATCAACTTTTAAAAATATATAATAAGTGCTGGGATTGTGGCTCAGGGGTAGAGCGGCGTTTGCCTAGCACGAGTGGGACCCAGGTTCGATTCTCAGCACCACATAAAAATAAAGGCATTGTGTTGTGTCCATCTACCAAAAAAAAAAAAAAAAAAAAGATTCTCTCTCTTAAAAAAAAATAAAAATAAAAATAAATATATATATATATAAAAAATAAAAGGGGATGGGGACGCAGATCAGTTGGTAGAATGTTTGCCTCGCATGCACAAGGCCCTGGGTTCAATCACCAGCACTCCCCAAAAAAATGAAAATAAAAATATATAATAAAGCCAGACGTGATGGCGCACACCTATAATCCCAGCGACTAGGGAAACTGAGGCAGGAGGTCACAAATTCAAGGCCAGCCTTGGCAAGTTAATAAGACTCCATCTCAAAATAAAAATATTTTTTAAAAAAGGTTGTAGCTCAGTGGTAGAGCATCCCCAGTATCACAAAAACAAAAACATATATATACATGCAAATATACATATATATACACACACATATACATATAATTAGTAGACTTTAAAACTGCATATGCCATAATCACATATATTTCATAATGCATCATATATACTCATTTTTTCCCAAAGGGGGGAAAAAAAGAATGAAAACAACAAGACTAAACCATATTTTCCAAAATTCTTACCTCGAAATATTTTATTTTCTTGGCATTTCTCACTGCAATAGAAAGCAATTTGTAGAAACCACTGATGAGTGGCAACCGTGTAGACTGCAAAATTAACTTATATGCAAATGAATACATCCAAGGTTCAAAAAATCCTACTTGTTTCTCAGGGAGAATCTCTCTGTAAAAACAAATTAAATGTTTAAGGTAGAAATTTTTATCCTACTAATTTTTATTTATCTTTAAAAATACATGGGTTATAAAAATTATAATTCTATTGTATAACATTTTAAGTAAATGCTTTTTTAATCTACCTTTAGATTTTTTAAAAGGCTCATTTAGATATATTTTAAAGGTCTATACATAAATGATTTTAGATTTAAATCCTTATACTATTTTATTTCTTATATTTATTTAAGGGTATTTCCTCTATTATACCCAATTACTAATAATTTTCAGTCTTAAATAATTAAAATTTTACAAAGTACCTGCAAAATTCCACCAGGTTAATGAAAGCTGAAAAATCTTTAGGTTTAGCAGGATGTAAGTTAGCAGCTGGATCTGAAGTCGGGATCACCCAAACACCAGTAGCCTCATTTCCATCCTTAAAAATTAATTGTACCAAACACTGTACTATTCGATCACATATTATTCAACAAATAACTTTTCAATCTTCTTGTCCTAGACCTGATGCTATGAGGAAAGAATGAAAACGTGATAAAGGCAGAGACAGGTTCTTAAGAGCCTGCAGTCTGGGAGGAACAACAGGACTTGAAGCAACAGAAAAACCAAAGAAATCATGAAGTGATGAAAAGAATGGGAGAAATAAAACAAGGGTCTGATTTCTTCAAGAAGCCAGCAGTGATACTTGGACAGAGGCAGAACTGTAAAAGGTTAAGAAGGATCAATGATAACTTGGAGCTTTCCAACTGGGAAAAAAAGAATAATGAACAGTAATAAGACAACGAAAAATGTAATTTGGGGGGAGTATATGAAGTTTAATTTTAAACATATTATGTTTGTGTTACCAAATCTATGTTATCAAATACAATTTGTATATTCAAATTCTAATATTAAACAACAGGTTATAAACACAGAGACAGAACCTACAAAGGACTGGAGACCAGCTATGACAGAGGTGACAGGGGACCTGCTGGCACAGGCAAAAAGGGTGGACCACAGAGAAAGAGAAGCCAGTGAAGACTTCTGAATGAAGATGAACAAGTGTTTGTATGTTGGATGACACAGTTCCAAGAAATATCCTTTCAGAGAGTTTTTTTGTTTTGTTTTGGTTTGGTTTGGTTTTTTTAATGAAATTATCTTAAACAAGCATACAACACATAAAATAATTCAACTCACACTGGTTTCTACCACCCAGCATAAAAAAACTGCACATTACAAGTATAATACAGCCAATGTGGCAATGGCCTTATAACGCTTCCATTTTTTCCCCTTTGCATATTCTCTCCACTATCCCATCATCTCTCATGTACCTTCACAAGTGCAGTGGAATTACATACACGTGAACTCTAACAAGCACAAATGCGCTTAAAATTATCACTACGATCAAAAGCAAACTAAAAGTTTTCCAACGAAACCTCTAACCCTTTCACACTAGTCTCAGTCTTGTGGTTTGCTGTCTCTACAGACACCTCAGAAAAGAGCAGGGCAGCTCCACGCTAGCAACTTCAAGCAAAGATTTACCTATTATCCAGGCTACAAACCCTGGGTATGTTCAGTCTATTACCTGCATTCTAATATCTCAAGAGCAAATTTGATATTTTCTGCCCCAGTTTGGAGTGTTCTTAACAAAAAACAAGGAACCCCACGCTTCCCTTTCCTACTGTACAAAGTCTCATCTATCAAAGCGAGAAATAAACCCAACAAATTAAAAAAAAAAAAAAAAAGTTTTAACATATTAAACATAGAAATTGCTTTTTGAATAATCCACTGATAACATTTTGTGTACAATAAGTCTATACCCAACAGAAAAGCATCAATGGCATATAGTAATCCCACCCAATGAAATCAATTTGCTTCAACCCCCTAAAGATGTGCTATTATTCCCTGAATATTTACATGCAAAGAAAGTTACTATAAAATGATGCAATATTATTGACAAAAAATTCTAACCTCTTGTTCTCCAAAAGTCTGTTTTTCTAGTGTAAGATCCAATTTCTCCACAATCTTCAAAATGGATTTTACAAATTCATCATAGAGTAAATGATTCAGACTTTGAAAGGAAGAATTCACAAAGAGAAATGTCTCGTCTGCTAAAATAAAATCCTTTAAATAAAGGAAAAAAACTTCAAAATTTTGTACAAAGAAATATTTAGGATGAGTATTTATAAGCATTAAGATATTTTTTAAAAAGATACATACACAGGTTCTTGTATTTTTAGGTATCATGGAACCAGTGATATGTAAACTGAGGCAGATTTACCTGATGTTTTCAAGCTTCAAAAACCTTTCGAAATCATTATTACAGCATCATTTCAGTCAGATAATACAACTTATATAGTCATGTACCAAATACTTTGTACATAGCAGTGAATGAGAAGATTTAGACAAAGCCCTGTCAAAACATTACTCTAACAATTTGTGTGCAAATGTCCATAAACACACAAATGTAAGAAACATATACATTATTTGTTTGTGTACATACACATATATGTACACATGTGTAAACACATACTTGCATAATAGGTAAATATATACCCAGCCTCACAATAAACTGGAAAGTATAATCCCATTTCTTTAAAAGTGAACCTATTTATCATTCCAAAATTATAGTCTTAATTTCTCTGCCTATTCTCACACATTCTATGGGATTTAACTTCCAAATATAGGGATATCTAACATTACATACAATAAATATTTTGGATAAAATTAATAACTGCTATACTATTTTAACTCAATAAAAAAAAGCAAAAAAACCTAAAATTTTTTGACAAGATAGAAATTATCTATTGACAAAAAGTTGCATGCCCTAGGTATCAATGCTTTGTCAATGGATATATTAAAACATTAGGCAACCAAGCCTAATGTAGAAAGTGAAGAAATATCTACCAGAATAATAGTAGGCAGGAGGTATTATTCTAATATAATTAATGTAAATAGTAACTATGCACTAATCACCTTCACACCTATTCAACCAATTGGATTTAATTTATCTTTATCTTAAGCAGATAAAGAGGGCTGGAGGTATAGTTCAACAGCAGATTGTGTGTTTAGCATGCATGAGACCCTGGGTTCAATCTCTAGCACCCAAAAAAATGTGGCAAGGGGTGAGATAGTTCTCTGGTGATAATACTGTTATACTTTTTGTTTCCTAAGACACTGGACCTGATGAAAATAATAATTTACTACCAATTACATTATCCTGTCCCATGAAGCTAAAAAAAGACTTAGCTACAGTAATCAATTTAAAAGAGCTCTACATTTGTATTCCATTCAATTAACTTTTTTCCTAGTTTCACTTTTTTTCCCCCCTTATAGTACTTGGGAATGAATGCAGGGCCTTAAGGATATTAGGCAAGCACCCCTACCATTGAGCGATACCCTAGGTCTTTTTATTTTATTTTGCCCTAGCTGGCCTCAAACTTGCAAACCTCCTATCTCAGCATAGGCGCTATTACAGGAGTGCACCACTGCACCCAGCTTCTAGTCTCACTTTGTCTTCAACTATTTAAATTTTTCATTACTTGAAGTATTTTTTAAAAACTTTTCAAAGTTATCACAACGTAACTCTGAAACAAGTATTTAGTCAATAATTATTGAAAAAAGGGAACTGGGGAACATTTGTAGCTTTAAAATTATAAATTTTACCATCATCTGGTCACAGTTCAGGAGATATCTAAAAAGATCCACATAGTCTTTATACGTGGGTACTTTCCATTTGCCAGTTCTAACCTCCCCGGAGGCTCGTTGGTCTTTAGATTCAGAGTCAGCACCCTGGGCCAGAAAGAAAGCAAGGCAATATTGACTGATGTACTCACAAAAGCAGCTTGGCTGCCAGAACTTGCTGATTTTCAGACTTTTCTTAACTAAAACTGCAACCAGCAGGAGACTTATACAATCAGATCAAGGAAGACATATTTGAAAGCACAATAAAAAGAAGCTGAAAAAAGGATGATTGTTCTGTGACTAAAACCAAAAACTATTTTGACACATTATCCACCAGATGCACAATAAATCATTCTTTCTCTTTTCTTACACAGTTCAATCTCTCATCTTAACCTATTTACTATAATTTCTAGTAACTAAGGTATGTCTCCCATAATATACCTTAGTATTTTATCCTAGAGTTCCAAAAGAGAAAACATTTTTTACAGTTTTTTTTAGTTGTAAATGGACACCATACCTTCATTTTATTTATTTATTTTATTTTTATGTGTTGCTAAGAATCGAACCCAGTGCCTTACATGTGCTAGGCAAGAGCTTTACCCCAGAGCTACAACCCTAGCCAAGAAAACATTTCTTTTTCGTAAAAATATATAAAAGAGGGCTGGGGATTAGCTCAGTTGGTAGAATGCTTGCCTGGCACGTATGAGGCCTGGGTTCAATCCCCAGCATCACAAAAAAAAAGAAAAAGGAAAAAAAAAAGTGTGTGTGTGTGTGTGTATACACATACACATTATATATATATATATATACACACACACACACACACACACACACACACACACACAGTAAAGTTATGTTTATGGAATTTCATCTTTTTTTTTTTTTTTTGGTACCTGGGATTGAACTCAGGGGCTCTCAACCACTGAGCCACATCCCCAACCCTATTTTGTATTTTATTTAGAGATAGGGTCTCACTGAGTTGCTTAGCACCTTGCTTTTGCTGAGGCGGGCTTTGAGCTCAGGATCCTCCTGCCTCAGCCTCCTGAGCTGCTGGTATTATAGGCATGCGCCACTGCACCCAGCTGAGGAATTTCACATCTTGTGAGAAATATATTCACCTCACACAATATAGGTATTATGACCAACATTTTTTAAAATGTAAGGCATGGCTAATGAAGAAGAAAGGCCACTTTTATATATTTACATACTAAAACTATAGCAACATTTCTATCCTACGGTGATAAAAAAGACTTATTTTGAAACATTAGATTCAGAATTTACCTTTTGAAGGATCACAGGTTTAGAACATATTCTGATTAAAGCCTGATGCACTAAAAAAATAAAAAATAAAAATAAAAATGAACACTGAAAAATATAACCAAATGGGCAACAAAAACAACACTTTTTATAACTTCACCACTCAATTTTTTTTCTAAATTTGTTAGTATCCTTAGTTTTAAAATTTGAACTATTAAATTCAGAAACTAAGTATGAGGGGAAAAAAATATTTTGACCCACCAAAATTTTAAGAATTCTCTAAAAGGGTTTTAAGATACAAAAGAATCCTATTATTTATTTATTTATTTATTTTTCTGCAGTGCTGAGGATTAAACCCAGGGGCTCATGCATACTGGGCAGGCTTTCTATCACTGAGCTACATTCCCAGCCTAAAACAAAGGAATTTAGTAGATGTTATGTAATACATTAAGTATTCATTACTCATCATCATAAGAACAAGAATGTTCTCACTCCAGTCAGAATGGCAGCTATTATGAAGACAAACAACAATAAATGTTGGCGAGGATGTGGGGGAGAAAGGTACACTCACTTTGCACTTTGGGACTGCAAATTGGTGCAGCCAATATGGAAAGCAGTATGGAGATTCCTCGGAAATCTGGGAATGAAACCACCATTTGACCCAGCTATCCTTCTTTTCGGACTATACCCAAAGGACTTAAAAATACAGGGACACAGCCACATCAATGTTTATAGCAGCACAATTCACAATAGCTAAACTGTGGAGCCAACCTAGATGTCCTTCAGTGGATGAATGGATAAAAAAAAAATGTGGCGTATATACACAATGGAATTTTACTCAGCAATAAAAGAGAATAAAATCATGGTATTTGCAGGTAAATGGATGACGCTGGAGAAGATAATGCTAAGTGAAGTTAGCCAAACCCCAAAAAAAAATGCCAAATGTTTTCTCTGATATAAGGAGGTTGACTCATAGGGGGGTAGGGAGGGGAAGCATGGGAGGATTAGATGCATTCTAGATAGGCAGAGGGGTGGGAAGGAAAGGAAGGGAGCAGGGGATTAGCAAGGATGGTGGAATGTGATAGACATCATTATCCAAAGTACATGTATGAAGATACGAATTCGGTGTCAACATACTTTATATACAAACAGAGATATGAAAAATTGTGGTATATATGTATAAGAATTGTAATGCATTCCGCTGTCATTTTTTTTTATTAAAAAAAAAAAGAAGAACAAGAATGAATGGCAAACTTACCCACAGTACTAATGCAATTCCAGAGAATTGGTCCTTTTTCTGCTAAGGCTAGGAAAACTTTCACTATGGCTTTACAACAAACTGACTGCATTTTTGGACTATACTGTGGGAAACAGTCTATTTGTACCACTATGATATGTTCCAGAACTGGAGTATACACCTCAGGAACCTAGCAGAAATGAAAAGCAAACTAAAAGTTACAGGAGAGAATAAATATATGAATAATACAAATATCCAAACCAATTAGAACTACATTAAGCATGTTTTAGATACATGAAAACTTCTCTGCCAAGCTTAATGCTTATGACTGCCTAAAAGAAATTAGAATAAAATTATCTGATAGTTAAGGCACAATTGTATCCCAAGCAGTGATTCTTAATTTTTTAGAACAGAAAAAGTAACACGTACTTTTATCTTCTCTGGATAAGAAATCAAGTTACTAATGGGAAGTCTATTAATAAAAAATATTATTAAAATGTCATATTGACCACAATAGTGCCTACACTAAAGGAACGACATGACTCCACCAAATTATTTGAAAAAAAAAAACAAGATTAAATATTCAAATTGTACACAATTTATAACAATTTCGCTTACTGTGTCAAGGTAAAGCAAGACACTTGCAATAGACTGGAGGAAACTGGGCATCTGATAAACATGGTCATCAACAGTGTCTGTCTGGGTGAGGAACATTTGCTTGCAGCGCTGAATGAGCTCAATGTACATGAAGTCAACATCTTTTGCATTTATAACCTTACAAGGCTTTAAGAAAAGCAAAACATAACTCTTTATCAAACTTATCCACATCAAAACAAAGTTACTTAGGATGTCATGTTAAGCCATGCTATTATAAACTGATATTAGCAAACTACTTACTTGTTTACTTTATATAAAATATCTTATTAAGATGCTTTTTATACTAAGCTGTGATCACACTCTAGTTATTCATACACAGGACATTTTTTTGATTAACTATGTTCTAGGCACTGTTTAGATGGTGGGTCACATGCAGTCAGTGCCCTTATGAAGCTAGGCAATCCCAGGAAGACCAGACTTAAACAGATGTCCAGGATACACTATTACACCATGCTCCACACTATGAGCATAGTCTTCTTTTTTAACTCACAAATCTGATAATGCAACTATTTTTTATTCTAAGACCAGATCTCAAAAAGTTGCTAAAGCTGGCCTTAAATTTGCAATCCTCCTGCCTCAGTCTCCCTACTCCCTGGGATTATGGGAGTGTGCCACCAACAACTACAGTTTTACTTTTTTTTTCTTTAAATAAGGAACAATACAGCACAGAGAAAAACATGGGCTTTTGGTCTTTAGACTTTATCAATTCTGTGTATCCTTTGATAAGTTAATTTCTCTGGATCTCAGTTTCCTCGTGCATAAAACAGAATAATACTCAGCTTATAGAAGAGTTATAAGGCTCTGAGATAACATGTATTAAAGGATTCTTACATAGTAAACACTGAAAAAGCTCTTAACAACTGACAATAATACTGTCACAAGTATGAGACACTATCCTTTAAACACTCAGGTGAAACAAAAAGAATAGAGTTAATTAATGAGCCATACTCCCGCAAAGAGTCCATATCCACGGATAGCAATGGATAACTCCTTGTTGTTTGAATCTGTGTTTCTGATGATTCCATAGAATTGTTCCATAAAGTACTGGAGCTTAGTCTTATGCACCTCTGCATCTTTTGCCACCATAAAAGAAATCTGTAATTACATAATATTTATCTTTAGAAATACTTAATAGCAAAATAATCTATACAAATATGAAAAAACTGAAATTGTTTCTATACTATTTACATACTAACAGTTATAATTTCTGTTACTCATAAGACACTTTACTTCCATTTGCTTAGTCTGAAGTTCAAGAAAGATAGACTCTTAAATAATGATATATTTATTGTATGTGATATATTCTTCCTAAAGAAATGAACTAAAAGAGACAGGGAAATGTAGAAAGTGATCTGCACACATGCAAAATACAAATTTTGATAAAGCAGAAAGTAGTCATTGGAGCACATGTCATCCAAAGTGTGAATGAAACTATCAGACCCAGTGGACAATGAATTCAGAAGTCATAACAAATATAAATTACAACTTAGAATCAGAAAGACAAGGAATCACAAACTTATTAAAAATAAGCTACAGATTATAAAGCTTAAATGAAGTGAGGGAAGGGGAAAAAAAAAGTGCTTTTAAAAGCAAATAGATGATTATCTACCAACTAAGCAACAGTGGCCTAAACGCAAAAACATAGGTAATCAAAAGAGCTTTCCTAATTTTAGGACAAAGACTGTCTAGGATAAGAATGGAAAGACTTGAGATAATGAACAGATGGAAAGGGAAAAAGGAGCCACCTTCCATCACCAACCAACTACAACATTCCCTAATTCTACCCAAAGCCATCAGGTCTTAGCATTTGTCCTTCTCCGGTCTTTGTTCCCCATTCATTTTACAAGGATGGAGAATCACGGATATTGCTTCAAAATTTCCTTTCACAAAACAGACCATGAACATGTTTCTCAAGAAGTAAATAAATAATATCTTAATTTCAAAAGTTTTTCATTTTCTGAAATTTACCGAGAAGACAGGATAGAATAAAATATTTTAGCATATGAAACAATGCTATATCATAATATCATTAAAAATTAATCATGCAGAACTCGATGTGCCATCAAGAGAACATACAACAGTGGAAAATCTCAAGGTTGCAAAAACTGTGAATAATACTCCTTTAGGGCAAAATATCTTTCTCTTCACTCCTTCCTTCTACAAAAAGAGGAAAAGAGAGGGCAAAAGGAGAAGGGGGGAAGAAGACAAAATGAGAAAGGGGTCATCAAAATAGTGATTTTTTTTTGTTGGTAGTGGGATTTTAGAAGATTTGCACATTGTCGACAAAGTACAGCATCCCTTTATGTTCAAAACACTAGAAAAACTAGGGATAATAGGAACTTAGCTCAACATTGTAAAAGCTATATATGCTAAACCTTAGGCTAGCATCATTCTAAATGGAGAAAAACTGAAGGCATTCCCTCTAAAATCTGGAACAAGACAGGGATGCCCTCTATCACCACTTCTATTCAATTTAGTTCTTGAAATACTAGCCAGAGCAATTAGACAGACAAAAGAAATTAAAGGCATAAAAATAGGAAAAGAAGAACTTAAATCATCACTATTTGCGGATGACATGATAATATATTTAACAGACCCAAAAGGGTCTACAAAGAAACTGCTAGAGTTAATAAATGAATTCAGCAAAGTGGCAGGATATAAAATCAACACGCATAAATCAAAGGCATTCCTGTATATCAGCAACAAAACTTCTGAAATGGAAATGAGGAAAACCACTCCATTCACAATATCCTCAAAAAAAAAAATAAGATAATTGGGAATCAACCTAACAAAAGAGGTGAAAGATTTATATAATGAAAACTACAACCCTAAAGAGAGAGATAGAAGAAGATCTTAGAAGATGGAAAAATGTACCCTGTTAATGGATAGGCAGAACTAACATCATCAAAATGGCGATATTACCCAAAGTTCTCTACAGGTTTAATGCAATGAGAACCAAAATTCCAACGGCATATCTTGTAGAAATAGATAAAGCAATCATGAAATTCATATGGAAAAACAAAAGACCCAGAATAGCAAAAGCAATTCTAAGCAGGAAGTGTGAATCTGGAGGTATAGCGATACCAGATCTCAAACTGTACTACAGAGCAATAGTAACAAAAACAGCATGGTACTGGTACCAAAACAGGCAGGTGGACCAATGGTACAGAATAGAGGACACAGAGACCAATCCACAAAATTACAACTTTCTTATATTTGATAAAGGGGCTAAAAGCATGCAATGGAGGAAGGATAGCATCTTCAACAAATGGTGCTGGGAAAATTGGAAATCCATATGCAACAAAATGAAACTGAATCCCTTTCTCTCGCCATGCACAAAAATTAACTCAAAATGGATCAAGGAGTTAGATATCAAATCAGAGACACGGCGTCTGATAGAAGAAAAAGTTGGCTACGATCTACATACTGTGGGGTCGGGCTCCAAATTCCTTAATAGGACGCCCATAGCACAAGAGTTAATAACAAGAATCAACAAATGGGACTTACTTAAACTGAAAAGTTTTTTCTCAGCAAGAGAAACAATAAGAGAGGTAAATAGAGAGCCTACATCCTGGGAACAAATTTTTACCCCTCACACTTCAGATAGAGCCCTAATATCCAGAATATACAAAGAACTCAAAAAATTAAACAATAAGATAACAAATAACCCAATCAACAAATGGGCCAAGGACCTGAACAGACACTTCTCAGAGGAGGACATACAATCAATCAACAAGCACATGAAAGAATGCTCACCATCTCTAGCAGTCAGAGAAATGCAAATCAAAACCACCCTAAGATACCATCTCACTCCAGTAAGATTGGCAGCCATTATGAAGTCAAACAACAATAAGTGTTGGCGAGGATGTGGGGAAAAGGGTACACTTGTACATTGCTGGTGGGACTGCAAATTGGTGCAGCCAATTTGGAAAGCAGTATGGAGATTCCTGGGAAAGCTGGGAATGGATCCACCATTTGACCCAGCTATTCCCCTTCTCGGACTATTCCCTGAGGATCTTAAAAGAGCGTACTATAGGGATACTGCCACATCAATGATCATAGTGGCACAATTCACAATAGCTAGACTGTGGAACCAACCTAGATGCCCTTCAATAGATGAATGGATAAAAAAAAAATGTGGCATTTATACACAATGGAGTATTACGCAGCAATAAAAAATGAAAAAATCATGGAATTTGCAGGGAAATGGATGGCATTAGAGCAGATTATGCTAAGCGAAGCTAGCCAATCCTTAAAAAACAAATGCCAAATGTCTTCTTTGATATAAAGAGGGCAACTAAGAACAGAACAGGGAGGAAGAACATGAGGAAAAGATTAACATTAAACAGAGACGAGTAGGGGGAGAGAAAGGGAGAGAGAAGGGAAATCATATGGAAATGGTAGGAGACCCTCAATGTTACACAAAATTACATATAAGAGGTTGTGAGGGGAAAGGGGGGGGGACAAGGGAGAGAATTGAACAACAGCAGATGAGGTAGAGAGGGAAGATGGGAGGGGAGGGGAGGGGGGATAGTAGGGGATAGGAAAGGTAGCAGAATACAACAGTCACTAATATGCCATTATGTAAAAATGTGAGTGTGTAACCGATGTGATTCTGCAATTTGTATTTGGGGTAAAAATGGGAGTTCATAACCCACTTGAGTCAAATATATGAAAGATGATATATCATGAGCTTTGTAATGTTTTGAACAACCAATAAAAAAAATTAAATAAAAAATAAAAAAAAGAAGATTTGCACATTATTCTTGGTACTGTGTGTTTTTTTTTTTTTAATGCAACTAACCTGCAAGGATTTTAATAAGAAATTTATAGAAAGCTATTAAATAAAAAAAGAAAAATTTGGGGACTGGGGTTGTGGCTCAGTGGTACAGTGCTCATATGGCATGTGTGAAGCTCTGGGTTCAATCCTCAGGACCACATAAAAGATAAATAAAATAAATGTGTTGTGTCCATCTACAACTAAAAACATATTAAAAAAAAAAGAAAAAGAAAAATTTCTTTCCCATAGGGATAACATTTAAATTTTAAAATGCATCTATAATAGCAAAAAATAATAATGGAAAATAAGATAACATGAAGCTAGAGGACAATGAAGTGCTAATACAAGGACAAACATAAAGGTGAATGGAACAAACTAGAGAGTCTAGAAATAAGTCCACACTTATATGGTCAATTGACTTGTGTGTGCATTACTAGGGATTGAGCCCAGGTGTTTTGCCAATGAATTACATCCCCAGCCCTTTCTATTTATTTTGAGACAGTCTCACTAAGTTACTCAGGCTGATCTTGAAGTTGTGGTCCTCCTGCCTCTACCTTCCCAAGTAGCTGGGATTACAAGTGTGCATTACTGCACCTGGCTTGGTCAAATAATTCTTGACTAAGGTGTCAGGGTAAGTCAATGGGGGAAATTAAGTCTTTTCAATAACTGGTGCTTGAACCAACAAATGTGGGGAAAAATTGACATCAACCTTTATTTTATAACATAAGCAAAAAGTACTTCAAAATGGATTATAGACCTAAATGCAAATGATAAAACTATAAATTTATTACAAAACTTCCTAAAGAAAATTCCTTCTTAAAGGGGATACAGGAGCTGGACATAGTGGCACACACTGGTAATCTCAGTGACTCAGGAGGCTAAGGCAGGAGGATCTCAAGTTTGTGGTCAATCTCGGCAACTCAGTGTTTCAAAACAAAATAAGAAGGGATGGAGACATGGCTCAGTGGTTAAGCACCCCTAGGTTTAATCCCCAAAACAAAAAAAAAGTGGCTAATAACCACAGGGAAAAAAAGGATCAATAACAACAGTCATCACAGAAATCCAAAATAACCTGGGCGTGGTGGCTCATGCCTATAATCCTAAGCGGCTCAGGAGGCTGAGGCAGGAGGATCACGAGTTCAAAGCCAGCCTTAGCAATGACAAGAAAGCACTAAGCAACTCAGTGAGACCCTGTCTCTAAATAAAATATAAAATAGGGCTGGGGATATAGCTCAGTGGGTGAGTGCCCCTGAGTTCAATCTCTGGTACCCAAAAAAAAAGAAATCCAAAATAAAACCCCAATAACATTATGTACCATTAGAAATAGCTAAAATTAAAGTGACAATACCAAGTATGATTGAGTACATAGGAAAACTAGAAAAAAAGTGGTTTTAGTATTTTACATTCCTGCATCACTGGCAGGAATGTAAAATGGTAAAACCACTTTGGAAAAGAGTTTGATAGTTTCCTCTAAAGTTTAACATACATCTATCATGTAATCCAGCAATGCCACTTCTAAGTTTTTACTAAAGAGAAATGTTAGCTGAGTGAAGTGGTGCACACCAATAATCCCACTGGCTTGGGAGGCAGGACGGTTGCAAGTTTGAGACCAGCCTCATCAACTTAGTGACACCTTAAGCAACTTAGCTAAATAAAAATAAAATAAAATTTTAAAAAAGAGCTAGACATGTGGCTCAGTGGACAAGCTCCCCTGGGTTAAATCTCCAGTACCAAAAAGAGAGAAACAGAGAAATTTGACACTTGGGTACAAATGGACTTTGCTATTTTATTTACAAAAACCCCAAATTAGAAACAAACAAATGTCTGTGAATAAACTATCCATACCTTGGAATACTATGCAACAATAAAAATGAACTACTGACACACGCTACAATATGGTTAAATTAAACTCTCAAAAACACTCATAGAGCCAGGTGTGGTGGTGCATGCCTGTAATCACAGCAGTTCAGGAGGCTGAGGCAGGAGGATTACAAGCTCAAAGCCATCCTCAGCAACTTAGTGAGGCCCTAAGCAACTCAGTGAGACCCTATTTCTAAATAAAATACAAAAAGCTAGGGATTTGGCTCAGTGGCCAAATGCCCCTGAGTTCTATCCCCGGCAACCACCCCCCCACCCCTGATGCCAAAAGAAAAGAACCAACACTGACAGAGCAAACCAAGTTAACCATAACAGAACAGACACTATAAAACTTGCATGGAATTCTACAAAAGGCAAAACCAATATTTTGTGTCAGAAAGCACTGGTTGCCTATAGCTGGGAATGGGGACAAAATGCAGAGGCTCAAGGGAATTTTCTAAGTGTTATGGTTTAGATATGAAGTGTCCCCCCACATTCATGTGTGAAGACAATGCAAGAAAGTTTAGAGGTGAAATGATTGGGTTACAAGAGCTTTGACAATCAGCGTGTTAATCCACTGATAGGGATTAACTGTGTGGTAACTATAGGCAGGCAGATGTCACTGGAAGAGGTGGATCACTGGGGACCAGCCCTTGGGGTTTATATTTTGTGGTGAGGGCAGAGCTCTCTTCTGCTTTCTGGAGACCATATCCTCAGCCACCTTTGTCCACCACTCTCTTTTGCAGTGATGTTTTGCCTGATCTCGGGCCCAGAGCAATGGAGCTGGCTATCTATGCACTGAAACATCTGAAACCATAAGCACCAAATAAACTTTTCCCCCATTAAAACTGTTCTTCTCAGGTCTTTTGTTCACAGCAATGAAAAAGCTGACCAAAACACTAAGTGGCTGGAAGTATTCTGTCTTGAACAAATTACACAGTACATATATTTATCAATTACAACTGTAAAAAAAAAATAAAATACATGCATGCTGCTATATATAAATTATACCTCAATAATGCCCACTTTTGTGTACGTGCCTGTGGGCATGCTAGGCACGTCAGTGTCAGGAAAATAAACAATGTTCTGACTCCACAGGGAGAGGACACTAGAAGCTCCATGTCTGGTACTTTCTTGGTCTCTGTACTGTGTGTCTTCCTTTACTTGATTTTAAATTCTGCATTTAGCTGTAATAAGCCATTACTGTGAACTTAATAGCTTTGAGTTTTATGAACCTTTTTAGCAAAAAATCATTTTTTTTCTTATTTTGGTACCAAGAATTGAACCCAGGGGTGTTCAACTATTTTTTTTTTTTTAATATTTTATTTTTTTTTTTATTTCTCGGCGGACACAACATCTTTGTTTGTATGTGGTGCTGAGGATCGAACCCGGGCCACACGCATGCCAGGCGAGCGCGCTACCGCTTGAGCCACATCCCCAGCCCCGGTGTTCAACTATTGAGCCACATAGCCACATCTGTAGCTCATTTATTTTCTATTTTGACACAGAGTCTAAGTTCCTTAGGGAAACTAAGTTGTTGAGGCTAGCTCTGAATTTGCAATCCTCCTGCCTCAGCCTTCTGAGCCACTAGGATTACAGGTGTGTGCCACTGTGCCCAGCACAAACTATCACATTTGAGGGTAGTTTTGGAAACCCCTAAACATGCAACAGAAGTCAGCTATAAGGACAGCACTGAGGGAATTGTTTCCTAACTTCTTAATTGCCTGAACTCTTTAACTTTTTCAAAAATTACACAGTATTAGGAGAATATCTTCAGTGATTAAATAACATCTATTCAATCTAAGTGTTTATTAAGGATTGGAGCAGGAATCTGAAATTAAATTCTCTGGCAAAGATCTGCAATGAAGATGTTCCGTGAAGCTCATTAACGGCAAATAGCCAAACCAAAGGAGGGCTAATAGTCATCCCTGCAGGCCCCCTCCCCAGCTACCCTCTGCTATGACAGGCAGGTGTTATTAGTGAGCATTGATTCAGGGATGCCACCAGGTGTGATTCCCTCCAAAAAGACTCCTACGTAAGTCCTGGACGTTCTTATTCATCTTAGTAACAAAGCCTGAAATGCCGTCTCTCAAAAGCCAGTGTTTATTGAGATCCAAACATATTTATGTGAACCAGAAAAAAATAATACCATAAACTTTCATTTTCTATAACAAATAAGATCAGCCAATTAAGCAAAACAGGCATTTTTATGAGGAGGACCAGGAAAGGAAGCAACCTTAATATCAAGAATAACTTTGACAGACAAGTTTGATGGGCAGGTTGAGAACAGCAGAGGAACACTAAGTTGAGAGGGACAGCAGGAAGCAGTAGGGGGCCAGACACAAAGCACACTTATTTCAGTTTTGTGGGAGTTGGACCACACCCAGACAAAGAACAGCAGTGCTCTCTCTCTCTCCTATTAAGCTGTGAATCTCAGGCCAATAGTGTCTGCACACAGTTCACAGTTTTCCTGGACTAGTCTGTGCATTTACTATCACTTATTCATTTTTAACAGTTCTCCAAACAAAATTTTGACTCTCTAGGATCTTTCATCAGATCCAACTTGGCAGTCTAGCTCCTTAACACCTAGCCTACACTACAGGAATTTCCAGATGCCTCTGGATGCGCACAGCAATTTTGAAACCACTGCTCAGAACCACAATCACAACACATTCCCCTCAGCCAAAAAAGATCTGCTTCAAAATTTGCCAGATGAAATTCTGCAACTGCATCCTATCTATACGGAAAACCCACAGGGACAAAGGTGCTCTCCCTATCCTTGTGGTAATCTCTCATACAAGCCTCTAGCTTCTCATAGCAGCTAGCCCTTACCTCCCGAGAGATGGGGTCCTTGGTCCCCCAACCTCCAGTTTGAGTAGCCCTAACCTCCCAGCCTTTCCTCTAACTCATTCTCTGACACATCTTAGCTCCATGAGACTTGCCTCAATGTTGGCTCTCTGTCCTGATCAAAATTAGTATCTTACTAGCTCTCTTGGTCCAGGGGCCAGTTATGAGACTGATGGAAAGTAAAGCCTTCTGTTCTAAACACTACAGATGCTAATGGATTCACTTATATTTATTTTTCAAATTTATACATAGAAGATTAGTATTTAATTTTGTAAAAAAAAAAATTTTATTATGAAAGTTGAATTTGTAGTACCTGTTTCAAAAAGGATTCCAGGGCTGAATATGCAGCTTTTTTCAGTTCTACATTCATATGGCTACACCACTTTGATAGTACTTCAAATAAAGAAATGTAGTTTTCCAAAAGGCAGGTACTAAATTGAGATGCATGCAGAGTAAATAAGCGTAGGCCAGCTGCAAATGCAAAACACATTATACTTGAAATAGGACAACATAACAGTATACTATGGGGACACAGCCACATCAATGTTATGGCCATGCAATTCACAATACCTAAACTGTGAAACCAACCTAGATGCCCTTCAGTAGATAAATGGATTTTTTAAAAATGTGGCATAGGGCTGGGGTTGTGGCACAGCGGTAGACTGCTCACCTCACACGTCCGAGACCCTGGGTTCAATCCTCAGCACCACAAACCAAAATAAATAAATAAATAAATAAACAAATGAAAGAAAATAATTTTTAAAAATGTGGCATATATACATAATGGAATATTACTCACCAATAAAAGAGAATAAAATCATAGCATTTGCAGGTAAATGGATGTAGTTAGAGAAAATAATACTAAGTGAAGTTAGCCAATCCAAAAAAAAACAAATGCCAAATGTTTTCTCTGATATAAGGAGGCTGATTCATAGTGGGGTAGGGAGGGGGAGCATGGGAGGAATAAACAAACTCTAGATAGGGCAGAGGGGCGGGAAGGGAAGAGAGGGAACATGGGGTTAGAAATCATGGTGGAATGTGATGGACATCATTATCCATACTACATGGATAAAGACAAGAATTGGTGTGAATATACTTTGTATACAACCAGAGATATGAAAAATGGTGTTCTATATGTATAATATGAATTGTAATGCATTCCATTGTCATATACAAAATATTAATAAAATTTTTTAAAATGAAATAAAATAGGACAACATAAGCCAGAACAAAGCAGAAAACTAAGAAAGCTTCAGGTCTATGTCAAAGTTAAAATTGTGTTCATGAAGACTTAGTACATCATACTAAATCCAGATTTATTTAAACAAAGCCAGAATCAAACAGCATGGATTCTCTGAAAGATACCCTAAGATAAATATATTTTTAAATCATGAATCTGAGCATAATCACCTCAATCCAGCTTTGTGTTATAAAAACTAAACTCCCAAAACCTTTCTATAATAATTATAATATGAAACATCACAGATGTTATAGCACTCACTTTCATTCATAGTTTAAGTAAAAACTTATTCAAGATGTTAATCGAGTAATGTAAAATACCACAACTTATTAAATATAGACTCTTACCCAAGGGGACAGCATATCTCTTCAGATCAATCTGTTTCAGAAAAAAAAAAATTCACCATCAGTGTTTGAAAATCACACATCTCAACCATAAAAGACTGAAGAGTAATATTTATCCTACCTGAGGACAAATTGCTTTTAGTGCAAAATCAAAAATCTCCCTTGAAGTCTGTGGATCTGGGGAAATAACAAAAAAAAGCCTGTTACAAATCATTACAGTATCACCTGATGTACTTTACCAATAACTCTGCAGATTACCAGGTTTGCTTCAGTCAGGCTGACTGCATTAACTCCAAGTCTCTTATGAATTCAGGAGTAACCCCTTTCAACACTGGATCCAACTAGAGAGATGCAACTCAATACTGCTGCACAGTTATTACTAGAGGAAAGTAGAAAAATGTGGAACAAGGAAGACATGTGTTTAAAATCCAACTCATCACTTACAAGCTCTGTTAGATAATCTCTCAGAGCCTCAGGGATAATTTACACCTTCTTTAAGGGTTGCCTCAAGAATTACATAAAGTAACTCATTCCAGTCCAAACACATTCCACCCCCCCACACCCTTAGGTATTTATTCCATGCATAACACATGCCAAATTATTATGGGAATTACAAATGTGAATAAAATATAACCTTTGACCTTACTGAAATTATGATCCAAAAGGCAAGACAGAACAGGCACAAAACTATAATGTGAGGTTCTTATCCTGGCCTGAATGACATTCAGTTATTTGTATTTGTCTCCCACCAAATTATTCACTGCAGCTATACAGTAGTTATGGTTTATTCATCACTGATTTCTCCACCCTAACAGTCACCTGCAAGAGCAGAAAAACGCTTTTTTGATGGAAAGACCTACTGTCTTTCAAATGAAGAACAGCCCAGAGGATTATATGATAGGAGCTGGATGGAATTTAATTGAAAACAATTTTATGCATATTCAGGAAAGGCTTGACAGACATGGCAGCATTTGAAATGGGACTGAAAAAATGGGTATTAGGGGCTGGGGTTATGGCTCAGTGGAAGAGCGCTTGCCTTGTATGCATGGGACACCACCTAAATAAATAAAATAAAGGTATTGTGGCCATCTACAACTAAACATTTTTAAAAAATAAGTATTATGGAAAAACTTATTCAAATAGAAAATAACAGTGTAAACACAGTATGCAGACACAGGGGCACACTTATTTCATATAGCATAATGTCATCTAGATTGACCCATGTTACAGCCTATATCAAACTTTCCTTCCTTACTTTATGTCTGGATAAGCACTTGTGTTAACACAAGAATATTCAGAAGTGAAATCATTAGAACATGAGAGCTGTAACCTAATCAGTTCATACTAGTTTGAATGTACTAACTGGGTGGGAAGAGTGGGTCACTGAAAGCATGCCCTGGAGTGGTTCATTTTCCCTATGGCCCCTTCTCTCTTCCTTCTTGGCCACCATGAGTGAAGCAGCTTCCTCCACCACACCATTCAGCCATGATGTTCCGTCTTACCTTAGGCCTGGCTAACCATGGACTAAAAAATGAGCAAAAATAAACTTTCCCACCTCTAAATTGTTGTCAGGGAGTGGTCACAACAATACAAAGTGGACTAATACAACTTGACAGAGTGGGAGCAACAGGACGTAAGACAGAGGAAGGCAAATCACACAGGGTTGCTCCAGTATTTTTTCTTGCTAAGAAGCAATAATAAGGGTTGAGTAGAGCTGGGCACAGTGGCGCACATCTATAATCCTAGGGACTCAGGAAGCTGGGGCAGAAGGACTACACATTCAAGGCCAGTCCTGGCAACTTAGTGAGACACTGTTTCAAGATAAAAAGGGTTGAGGATATGGGGATATAGCTTAGTGGCAAAGTAAAACAGATTCCATCCCCAGCACCACCAAAAAAAAAAAAGGTAGAATTGAGTAGAAAAAATATTAGGTTGAAATGTGAAATTATTCTTTTTTTTCTTTTCTTTGGAGGGGGCGGGCAGGTGGTGGTACCAGAGATTGAACTCAGGGGCATTTGGCCACTACTCCATATCTCCAACCCTATTTGTATTTTATTTAGAGACAGGGTCTCACTGAATTGCTTAGCGCCTCACCATTGCTGAGGCTGGCTTTGAACTTACGTCTTCCTGCCTCAGCCTCCTGAGCCACTGAGATTACAGCATGCGTCACTGCACTCACCTTAAAATTATTCTTTTTGGGAATGAGCAACCTGATGAAAGCAAAACACACAGAAGTACAAAAAGCTGGCAATAACTTAAAATTTTAAGTGCAAGAAAGAGCAAATATTTTTAAAGGCAAATTTTTTTGACCCTAAAACACTTTTTAAGAAACTAGGAAAAGGTCTGGGGATGTGGCTCAAGTGGTAGCGCGCTCGCCTAGCATGCATGAGGCACTGGGTTCGGTTCTCAGCACCACATAAAAATAAAATAAAGATATTGTGTCCACCTAAAACTAAAAAATAAATTAAAAAAAAAAGAAAGAAAGAAACTAAGAAATAAAATAAAGTTTTATAAGCTTAGAGTGGTATCTGTTACATTATCTTCTAAACCTTTAGCTTTGAATTATTCCAGGAGAACACAGCTATGAAGAAAAGTATATTAAAGAAGACTTAAAATCATAGGAAAGGATCTGCATCTTCAGAATTTCAAAATGTTGATGAAAAAAAATCAAAGACCTAAATAAATGGGGGAAATATACTGCTTATGGATTGGAAAACTCAGCATAGTGAAGATGTTAATTTTCCCAAATAGACACAAAGGTTTAGTGCAATGCTTATCAAAACAGCAACAAGGGTTTTGTTTATTTTCTATTTTTGTAGACACAAGCTTATTCTAAAATTCATAGTGGAAAAACACAGGGTTCATGATACTAAATTGTTTTGCAAAAGAAGAATAAAATGGGAGAACATACTCAACAAAAAGACAGTTCATTAATGGCAGGGGACAGTCAAATATATCAGATCAAAGAACTCAGAAACAGACTCATAAGATATGCTCAACTGATTTTTTTTTAAAAGGTACAAAAGCAATTCAATGGAGATTTGGTGATGATTTCAAGGATATGACACCAAAAGCATAGGCAAAATAAAATAACCAAAATAAAGAACTTTTGTGCATCAAAAACAATAATCAACAGTGAAAAAACAATCCATGGGAGAAAATATTTGAAAAACCATTTCTAAGAAACTGATATCCAAACTATATGAATAACTCCTATAACTTAATAACAAAAAGCCAAACAACCTGATTAACCTAAAAAAAAATGGACAAAGGATCTGAACAGACATTTCTCCAAAGACAGAAAAACAGTTGGGTGTGGTAGCTCACATCTGTAATCCCAGCAGCTTGGGAAGCTAAAATAGGAAGATGACAAATTTTAGACCAGCTTGGGCAATTTAACGAGGACCGAAGCAAGTTAGCAAGACTCTGTCTCAAAATAAAAAATAAAAATAACTGGGGATGTGGCAAAGTGGTTAAGCGCCCCCTGGACTCAACCCCTACAATCCCCAGTACAAAAAAAAAAAAAAAAATCTCCAAAGATATGGAAATGGCCAATAAGCATACACATAAAAAGGCTCAATGTTAAAGAAGTGCAAATTTGAACTACAATGAGATACCACATCACATCTGTTAGGATGGCTATTACCCTTGTGCACTTCTAGTGGGAATGAAAAATAGTGTAGTTGCTATTAAAAAAATACATATATGGCAAGTCCTCAAAAAATTAAAAATGTTACCATACCATCCAGCAATCACACTTCTGGGTAATCCAAAAGAACTGAAATCCGGGACTCTGAACAGGTATTTGTATACCAATGTTCATGGCAGCACTACTGGTAATAATCAAAAGCAGAAGTAAACTAAGTATCTAATAATGGATGAATAGGTGAATAAAATGAGGTATATTCACACAATGAAACATTAGCTGACCTTAAAAAGGAAGGAAATTATAACACATGCTAACATGTATGACTATGCTAAATGAAATAGATACAAAAAGTTATAGCCTATGAGTTCATTTGTATAACATTCTCGAAATAACAGAACTATAGATGGAGACAGAATAGGGGTTGTGGGGAGAAATGGCTGTAATAAAATAGCTCAATGGAACCTTGTGATGAATCTGCCTTGTTTAGTGATGTACACACAAACCTACCCATGTGACAGAACTGTTCAGATCTAATACACACACACTAGCATGTGCATGTATAACTGATGGGATGTGCTGAAGGTCAGTGGATGGTGTCGATGTTAATATGGTATTGTGCTGTTGTACTATAGTTATAAAAGATATAATCTTTAGGGAAAATGGGAAGGTGTATCAATCTTTCTGGATTATTTCTCACAACTGCATGCAATTTCACAATTGGTTAAAAAGTTTAAAAAATCAACACTAGTGGTCTTTGTTAGACTTATAGTTTTTGAATACAGGAAGAAAATCAAGCAAAGTCCTGAAATACCTTCTTCCATAGACTTAGTAAAGTTACACAGAAGCGAGGACAGTCCTTTCAGACAGCCAGCCAAGACAGGTTGTTTGGGCTCTCTTACTGCTGATGTCATCTAAAACAAAGAGTTAGAAAGATATAATTGAGGAAAAAAACCCAACCAAATCTATGAAAGCAGAATATCATAAAGAGTATCATACCTGAGTCTTAAGCTCACCCAGAAAAGCCCGAAATAGATTATCTGAATGATTTATCATCTCACTAGGATGAACTTCTCCTAATATTCCAAGGAGCTCATACACTTTCTCTAGAACTGAAAAATAAATTTTAGATAAATGAATGCCTAAAGGTACATTTAAATAACAAAAAATACATAAGGAAATAAGAGGTATTGAGTTCACAGTAATTTTATAAAAAAAAAATCACAAAATAACCAACTTTGCATATTAGAATTTTTCTCAAGATTTATGCAAATCTATTATTATAAACGAAACTATATTTGACATATACTGAGTTTTCTGTTTAAAGAAATTATTTTATAAAGATTAACGTTTTTATGAAGGGAAATCTTCACATATTATTTCCATTCTGGTTTGTTTTCAGCAAAAAGGATTCATCTGTAAAATATAATGCGTTGGCAGTACTAATACTAAGTATTACACGAATGGTTAGTTAATTTTAGTTTGTTAGAATATTTTGAAAATAACATTAAATGCATCTCACCTGTGTCTGGTATTTTTGCTTTCGATGCAAGTTCTCCATAGAATTTATTAAATAACTCTCCAATTTTAAATTCATCCATGAGTCTAGAGCTTCTCAAAGTCTGAAGTAACTAAAAAAACACAGCATTTTCTAAAGAGGAAGATACAGAAAAGACTTCCTCTACCTCAGTATGTCTGCACATAGCAAGGCCTCAGAATCCTGTGTCTGTAGGGACTTTATGCTAGGCCTCTCAGGACTCATCTGTATCCAGATGACTGGGGAAGGTGGGCTTGAGGTGGGTGTAGCAAAGCAGAAAGGTGGTCTAGACCTAATGTTACTTTCCAAAGAAATCAATAACATTACTAGAATCACTCCCTCAGATGCACTTAATTCCACAGACCAAACAGGCCCAGTGAAATTCTAAAACAGGGGTACAAAAACAGACAGAAGTGCATGTGAAAGTGAGGCCAAAGGACCACTAAAACACGACCTTCCCATCCTCACTGTTAAAGCTTCAGGAAAAACTCGTGAGAGATAAGGGGATCTTGACAATTCTCAATAATATTAGGTTTCACCAAAGGTAATAAATGAAAAAACAAACAATTTCTTTGTTATTTTAATTTTTCATTACTCTCACAACCCAAAATTCTTCTTTTACTACCTAGGAGAGTCTGAGAACAAAATACCAAGGTATTATCAGGTGATGGCTGTGAAGTGTGCATCTTATCCACTCAATGATGGGATTCAACCCTATCCTCCCCAAAACTCTCACCCAAAACAAAGCTCAAAACTCCCAATTTTATGTCTTATAAGTTATTATGTTTAACAAAAAAAAAAAAAATTGTACTTAAACACAAAAAAAATTACCTTAATGAGAAGATCTAGGGCTGGAATTTTACATTTAGCAGCTCTATCTTTTGTATAAACACTGGTACAAATACTCTAGATTTTAAAAGGAAACATACCAAATCAATAAGATTTTAATGAGTGCTAAAACTATATCCCTGAGGAGTGATATAAGATAACAAAATGTATGACATAATAAAACTTAATATTTAACTTTTGAAAGCATAACATCAAAGTACATAATGTTTTGATTAAAAATGACTGAAAACATTGATGCAATATGCTGTGGTGATATCAATAACAATTTAAAAGCACAAAGTCAACAGATACCTCAGTAGGACTTTACAATATCAGGTCATTCCTTCTCACATAAGTACCATAGGACTTGTTATCCAATGTCAAGAAAGAGAACATAAAAAGGTGACTAAGAAAAAGTTGAAAGAATGGCTGGGACTCTAGAGGAAAAAGCAGTGTGATGAAAACAACAGGTGCTCTGGCATTAGGTGAGCTGGCTGCAAAAGATGGGCAAGTTTCTTAACTTTAAGTGTCGTTTGTTAAACTAGAGAGATTAATACCTTGGGCTGGGAAGTGTAGCTCAGCCGCAGAGCATATGCTTAACGTGGATGAGACCCTGGGTTCAACCCCAGTACACATACACATTTAAAAAATAAAAAATCCAACGAAGTCAGACTAGAAATCCAAAGGGAATTTAAAAAGCACACAAACAAAATCTACTTTAAAAAGACCAATAATTGGTAAAATGAATATTTTATGTTTTAGCTAATTTTAATTCTCAAAATATAGCTGCCATTTAGTATCTGTGGGTGATACTCAAGTCCCTTTCATAAAATGGCATATTTTTTCATATAATCCCGGCATATCCTCCCACATACTTTGAGTCATTACTAGATTACTAACACAATGTGAATGCTGTCAATAATTGTTATATTGTACTAATCAGGGAATAACCACAATCTGTTCGTATTCAGTTCAGATTTGTCTTTTTTTTTTTTTTTAATCAGCAGGTAGTGAATCTATGGCTGTGGAACCCACACATACATAGAGTCAACCATACCTTCTAATTCTTCAATTCTTTTTTGTATTGTTTTGTTTTTGTTTTTAAATTTTATTTTTTCTTTTTGGATATATATGACAGTAGAGTGTATCTTGACATATTATACATACATGGGGTCTAACCTCCCGTTCTTATGGTTGTACATGATGTGGAGTTACACTAGTTATGTGTTCACACATGAGCATAGGAAAGTCATGTCTAATTCACCTACTGTCTATGTTTCTTCAATTCTTAACACACTAAATCTAAAAGCAAACTCCAAAGGGCCAACAAAAATAATTTACCTTGAAATGAGGTAATTGTTGAAAGTATAAGAAAGGATGACAAAGAGTGACCTAATTTATGATTGCTAGTTCCTTATAATAAATTATAAAGAAACCTGGCAAAGGCATGTTTGAGAAGAATGAGAGGCATGAAAGAGCCAAACTTTTCAGATGAAACTCTTACAGAAAACACATGAACTGGGCTGGGGTTGTGGCTCAGTGGTAGAGTGTTTGCCTAGCATGTATGAGGCACTGGGTTTGATTCTCAGCATCACGTAAACAAATTAAATAAACAAAATAAAGTTATCGTGTCCATCTACAACTAATAAAAAAAATTTAAAATAAAAAAGAAAACACATGAACTACAGGAAGTATGGATTCTACCCAGCAAGAGGACTCTTTTTGGAATTATCCGTTAAAGTGTTCTGGAATTTTCCCAGTTTTAAAAATCCAAATCAGGGCTGGGGATGTGGCTCAAGCAGTAGCACGCTCGCCTGGCATGCGTGCGGCCCGGATTCAATCCTCATCACCACATACAAACAAAGATGTTGTGTCCGCCAAAAAATAAAAAATAAATATTAAAAAATTTCTCTCTCTCTCTCTCTCTTTAAAAAAAAAAAAAAAAAAGAAAAGATTTAAATAAATAAATAAATAAATAAAAATAAATAAAAATCCAAATTATCCCAGGTGCAAAAAATGATCAAGATCATTACCAAAAAAAAAAAAAAAATTATCAAAGTAGTTTTTCTGACAAGGGTCTTAGCTTATTAATTCTAAAACAATGACAAGCCCACTTCATTTCAACTTGATTAATCAAGCAAAATTAAGTATACTCCCCAATACAAAAGGCATAAACAAAATAAAAATCTAGATTCCTTCCATCATAAGTTAAAATAGATACTGACATGTACTAAGGTATGTTTTTTCCTCCTTACCTTAATATCAAAAGCATAAGGCATAATCTTCTCACCAATTTTTTCTAAGAAAACATATAAAAATTTTAGGGCTTCTTCTCTACAATCACGAAACTATAATAAAAGAAATAAATATTGTAAATATGGTTAAGAATAAGAGTCACTTCAACAAAAACAGAAAAAGCAAAATTAAAATTTTTCACTTACTTCATCAATGTTAAGTGATTTCCGAACAAATACAAGCAAACCAAAATCTCTGGAAAAAACTAAGGCAGTCTGTAATGCTGGACAAACAAACAAACAATAAGTTAAGAGTTGCCAAGCATTTCATAAATCATCCTAAAAAGGCTGCAAGGTTTCCAAGGAGGACTTTTAAATAAGAAAACACTAACCTAAGGCTGCTATATTAGAACAAAGAAAGGAGAAAATTCTGAATGATGTTCCATAGGGATGCAGTAGGGGAACAAACACTCCTCCAAGATGCCCATACCCTAATCTGTGGTGTCACATCTCTGAATATTAATTTTACACGGTAAAGGAAATCAGATTGCAGATAAAATTAAGGCTGCTATTCAGCTAACTTTAAAATAGAGATAATGCCCCAGATTATCCACTAAGACCATCATAGTCACATGGGCCCTTAAAAGTAGGGGAGAGATGAGAATGCGGCATCAACAAAAAAAAAAAAAAAAGGAAGATAAATAGATAAGAGGAAAAACAAAAAACAGTGAGAAGAAGAGTAGAGCACAAAGATGAAAAGACAGGAAAACACAAGAGATATCAAACCTCTCCTGAGAAGTAGCTGACAAACTGTTGCAGGTTTTGAAGATGGACAAAGGGGCTACAATCCAAGGACACTGGGCCCCTTCTAGAAGCAAAAAACTTCAGCCAAGAAATAGGGACCTTATTCTACAATTTGAATAAGAAAAAGGATTCTCCCAAAAAGCCTTCAGAAATGAAATTAGTCTTGATACCTTGGTTCTTTCTAACTTAATGAAACTATATCAGGCTTCTTACTATGTAAGATTAACAAATGAATGTCACTTTAAGTCACTAAGAATGTGGTATTTGCTATACTCCTCTAAAATTTCTCAAGTGAAAGGACATATATTGCATATTTACAGTAAACTAGAAATCACTTTAGACATGAGTTACTAAATGAACATGAATTTTAACTTTGAAAACCTGACTATAAGAAGCAATTACATAAAGTCATTAGTTTTTTGCTATTTCCCCATTACTAATATATCTTTAACAATACACAGACACAACATAGTATCTTGTTTAAAGAGTGGTTTAGATTTCTACACTGTACTCAGTACTGACCTCTTAGAAAGATCTCATCTAGCTCTTATTAGGACACACCATGCAGATGAGGTCTACATACTTGTGTTTTTTAAAATAGGAATACAATTTTGGCCAAATTACATTGTTATACTGAGTGCATGTACAAATAGGTAACTAGGAATTTCACCATAATCTACAATTATAACGCACCAATTTAAAATGGGGAAAAAAATGAAACAAGAATACATAAGTTTTCATGCAACGGCATATTTAAATTGAAAAATGCTGAAAAGAAGCACTTTTTTACTGCAAAGGAAAAATATCATTCTCGTCCAAGCATTGACAAAAATTTTTTAATGACTTTTAAATTATATTTCTGCGAGTCTTCGTAAAAGCGGGACAGTAAATATGAGAGTTTGGAAAGGTACTCGTGGGCTTAGGTGAGACTAGGCGAAGGGAAATATTTTCTCTTGTCCTCTCCACCCACTAGCTATAGCAATGATTGACAAATTTAGAGTCATTTTCACCAACTTAGGTTTTAAAATACTTTTCTTCTGGTGCTAGGAGGAAAAGATATAGGGCAAACCGCTTTTCATACACATTCACAGAAGTTAGGGAGACTTCGCAGTAGTGTTAACTAAACCCACGGGGAGAGAAACTGGGCTGTCCAGCTCCAACACTACTCGGAAAGCCAGGAGTACGTCCCGGAACTGTACGCACCCACAACCGAAGGGCTGGTACTCAGGACGCACTCTTGCCCCAGGCCGCGGATCAGCTGATAACTGGCCGACGCAGCATTGTAGCGGTCCGCGGTGGATAAGGACTCCTGCAGCCGAAGCAGGTATCCCTGCAAACCTGCTCCGGAATCCGCCATGACGAGGACGCTAACTCTGCGCAGGCGCGCACTTTGCCCGGGCTTCGGCTGCCGCGCGGCGGCGCAGGAGCAGGACTCCAGACTAGGGGCGGGGCAACAGAGGCGGGGTCCTTCCACGCGACTCTCTTCGGGAGGGTCCTCCGGGTGGAAACTTCTCCTTTAGACCTAAGTTATCGCGCCGGCAGATTATGAATGCATACCATATAATACACTTAGCAGGTATACATCCAAATTTACGGAAAAACAGGAACTCAACGGTTTGCCCAGAGTAAAAACACAATACAATCTAGGGTCCTTAGTCAAACATGAAGTTTGTTCCTCGATTTAAAAAAAAAAAAAAAAAAAAACAAGATAAGAAATGCATTTGGAATGTCTCTAGAAATTTTAAAAAAACCTATGGGATTAAAAAGCGCTTAACATTATAGTGGAGAACACCCCTCCGAAACTTGGTTTTGTAGGACGTCCCAGATTTCCCGCGAAAATGCGGTGCGGCATCAGGTCAAACCATCTGCACTGCGGGTAGGGCCAAGCGGGTCCTAAGTCAGCTTTCGACTGGGGCGCCCAAAAAGGCCGTTCAGTCCCCCCCTATAGTTGCGCAGTGGCGCCTTCCAGAGGCGGAACCATTGGGGAGCGCTTCTGTGATTGGTGAGGCCGCCGAGGGCGGCGTCGATCGTGCTGCCGGCGGGAACCCTTGGCCCTGCTCGTGCTGTCTAGAAGAGCAACTCTCCAGGTAGAACTTGACCTCTTAGGTGTCTGCCGGCGGCAGCCCTTCCCTGGTAATCGCGGGACTACAGGGAGGACTCCGCTCAGATCCCGGTGGGGGCATCTGCGCGGCGGACCGGAGCGGGCGCGACGCGAGCCTGTCCTTGTCGTGCAGGTATCCTGGCACCATGTCGTCTCCAGCATCTACCCCGAGCCGCCGCAGCAGCCGGCGCGGACGGGCCACCCCCGCGCATACGGGTAAGTTTCGCGTTCCCCCCATCACCACCACCACACACACCTCGGGCACTAGTCTATACGGATTCCCGTCGGCCCCCACGCCTTCCGCCCTGCGACTTCCCTTTGGCGGGAGAGTCCTTCGCCGCGGGCCCTGCCGCGTCGATGCGAAGATGCCGACGGTGGGGGGCGCTCGACTCGACATTAGCGGGTTGGCTTCTTCGTTTCTATTGGTTAACCATGTCCGTACCCACTTGCCATCACTTGTGTTAAAGTAATGAATCTAATCCTATGAAGAGGCAAATCCTGGAAGACCAAACATGAGAGTTGAGACCCGTCTTTGTTGTTTTACATGACAAGCCCGGAGCGAAGAGGCCAGGTCATCTCCCTCTCAGAGACGTAGAGGCGAGGATTCCACCTCCACCGGTGAGCTGCAGCCCATGCCCACCTCGCCCGGAGCAGACCTGCAGAGCCCTGCAGCGCAGGATGCATTGTTTTCCAGTCCTCCTCAGATGCATTCTTCAAGTGAGTTTCTGAAGATCTAGGTTATACTGGGATTGATAGTACAAAGGGTCAGGTTGGTTATTTGGTGGCAGTAGTTCTTACAATGCCTACGCATTCCCTCTGTGCATAAGCTAATTTGTTCTTCATTAAAAGAGCTGAAGAATGAAGAAGAGCTGGTACATGTTAGGGCTTAGTGAGCAAAGAAAGGAGCTATTATTTTGCCTTTTTAAATTAGAACCTTTAATGGTCCTCAGAACTTCAACCACCAAACGTATCAATAGATACTCAGTTCGTGTTGTGTTTTAAAGGCAGAGCAGACATGCTCATAGTTTCAGGTTTGTTGTACTACTAGAATTCTGTTGTAAACTTCTGCATTTATCTTCGTAGCTATTCCTCTGGACTTTGATGTTAGCTCACCACTGACATATGGCACTCCTAGCTCTCGGGTGGAAGGAACCCCAAGGAGTGGGGTTAGGGGTACACCTGTGAGGCAGAGACCTGACCTGGGCTCTGCACGGAAGGGTCTTCAGGTGGATCTGCAATCTGATGGGGTGAGTACACAGCAGTCTCCTGATAGCGCTGTCTTGGGAACAAAAATGGATAATTCCATTGGTATGGCTCTGTAATACTTTTCTTTGTAGGCAGCAGCAGAGGATGTAGTGGCAAGTGAGCAGTCCCTGGGCCAAAAACTTGTCATCTGGGGAACAGATGTAAATGTAGCAACATGCAAGGAAAATTTTCAGGTGAGTTGTATGTGTTAAAATACATACTTAAGTAAGGTACTAGGGCTGTGTAGCTCAGTGGCAGAGCACTTGCCTAGCACATGTTAGGCACTGGGTTCAATCCTTAGCACTGCATTAAAAAAAAAAAAGTCATTCTGTCCATGTACAACTACAAAAAAGTGTAAAGATAAATAAAATACATACTTAAGGGCTATGGAACTAACCATAAAGCATAGGGGCAGATTATAGGTTGATGGCATTTCAAAAAATACTTGTTTATCTTCTCATAGTGAAATACACATCACTTTTTGTATTCTGAATAATTGCTTATTTCCTGTTGCATTAAGCTTAAATATTTTTCCTCTTTACATCAAGAGATTTCTTCAGCGGTTTATTGACCCTATGGCTAAAGAAGAAGAAAATGTTGGCATAGATATTACTGAGCCTCTGTATATGCAACGACTTGGAGAGGTAATCAAATTTTCTTTGTTAAAAAGTTGTGCATTAGACTGGGGATGTGGCTCACGTGGTAGGGTGCTTGCCTGGCATGCGAGGGGCGCTGGGTTCAATCCTCAACACCACATAAAAATAAAACATATTGTGTCCACCTGAAGTTAAATAAATAAATAAATAACTATTTTTTTTAAAAAAGGGTTGGGGCTGGGGATGTGGCTCAAGTGGTATCGTGCTGGCCTGGCATGCGCGAGGCCCTGGGTTCGATCCTCAGCACCACATAAAAATTAATTAATTTTTTTAAAAAAACGTATTGTGTCCACCTGCAATAAAAAAATAAATATTTTTAAAAAAAATTTTTTTAAGTATGCATTACAGCTGCGTGTGGTGGCGCACACCTGTAATCCCAGCAATTTGGGAGACTGAAGCAAGAGGATCAGAAGTTCAAGGGCAGCCTCAGCAATTTACCAAGGCCCTAAGCAACTTAGAAGTTATACATTATATAATAATAAAATTAGCAAAGTATAACTTATTTGTTTTATCTTACAGATTAATGTTATTGGAGAGCCATTTTTAAATGTAAACTCTGAACACATAAAATCATTTGACAAGAATTTGTACAGACAGCTCGTCTCCTACCCACAGGTAAGAATTTGGCTTTGACCTTGATGAAATACTATAAATATCTAGAGGGATGTTTTTGGGTAGCAAGATTTCCATCATAACAAAAAGATCCCTCCAAAACATATATGTTTTTTTTAAAAAACATTCTTCTTCAAGGTCATTGTTTTTACGTTTTAAAGTTTTTCCAATTGGCATGTGTATTGCTATCATAGTTCTTATAGTTGAATGTCAGGGTTGAATTGGTTATTTTTCTAACAAAATAATCATGAATCTTATTAATGATAGTTTCTTGGGCTTCATGAAACAAATTATCTTAAATTGAAATGTTTTTTAAATGTATTATATACTTTCTGACATTTTTAATGGACTATATTAGCCTTAGTGTGTTTCTAGCCTGTAATGAAACATCAGCTGTACTGACAGGTGTAAGCTTTGTAGGTAAGTAGGCTTGGATTTTGAATCATGGCTTTGCTGCTTACTGGCTGCATAACCTTGGTCAAGTTCCTTGGCCTCCCAAAAGTTGATTCTTCATCTATAGTTGGAGAATCGTGATAAATTGGAGTAAAATAGGGCTAGGGATATAGCTCAGTTGGTAGAGTGCTTGCCTCACATGCACAAGGCCATGGGTTCAATCCCCAGCACCACAAAAAAAAAAAAAATATCGAGTAAAATAAGTACAATTTAATCTATTGTGGTATCATTACATTATGGAAGAAACATAAGACATGAAAATATGGCTCAAAAATGTTTTCCTTACAAATCAAAAGCATAACACATGCCAGCAAGTTGAGAAGGCACTTTCATTTAACCCAAATGAGGTAAGATAGTTCAGTATACCTAAGGTTTGAAACTCATGTGTAGGGGCTAGGGATGTGGCTCAAGCGGTAGCGCGCTCGCCTGGCATGCGTGCGGCCCGGGTTCGATCCTCAGCACCACATACAAACAAAGATGTTGTGTCCTCCGAAAACTAAAAAATAAATATTAAAAATTCTCTCTCCCTCCCTCTCTCACTCTATCTTTAAAAAAAAAAAAAAAAAACTATCATGTGTATAAATCTGTAGGGTAATGGGGTTATGTCATGTTTTTCTGCTTTTATACTTTCCTGCCATGAAGTATTTTGTATCTTAGATTTAACTCTAAATAGGAATGGAAACATAGTTTGGAATCTGTATTGGTTTTTACAGGAAGTTATCCCTACTTTTGACATGGCTGTCAATGAGATCTTCTTTGATCGTTACCCTGACTCCATCTTAGAGCATCAGATTCAAGTCAGACCATTTAATGCATTGAAGACAAAGAACATGAGAAACCTAAATCCAGAAGGTAATGTATTTAATAGCAGGAAAACGAACAAAGACTTACTTTATCAAAGGTCTTTAAAAGTGGTGGTGATAGCCGGGTGTAGTAGCATACGCCTATAATCTCAGGAGGCTGAGACAGGAGGATTGCAAGTTCAAAGCCAGCCTTAGCAAAAGGCAGGTGCTAAGTGACTCAGACCATGTCTCTAAATAAAATACAAACTAGGGCTGGAGGTGTGGCTCAGTGGGTGAGTGCCCCTGAATTCAATCCCCAGTAAACACCCCCTCCAAAAAAAAAGTGGTTGTAATGATTTATAAATTGACCAAATAATGCAGATTCACATACTTAATGTGAACCCCAATTATGTCTTTTTCTAACTTAACTGTAATATTTGTTATAAAAGATGTGGTTACTAGCAATTCTCTACTTTAATGCAAACCTATTCAAATATAATAAACCTACAGTCATTAGGTAGATCTTT